ACAATGAAACCTGAGACAGACGATTGATGGATAGCAGTCAATTAAGACAGTTCATTCCTGTCTTTTCGGTTATACCTATATACATACAGTCTCCTTACATTCCACCATGATCTTCAACCACTTCATTCACCTGAGGTCCATAACCAGAAAACATAAACACCTCGTATTCCCTAATCACCCATCTGCCCAGGAGACTTCCAATAATTGTTTGTTAAAACAGTCGATAAACCACGATTTCAAAAAGACCATCTCTATTGCCCGTTCATGTTCATCCCAGGAAATACTGCTCAAAAAAAGGTTCTCCGTTCATGTCGATCCGCTGTGCGCTTCGTATTCTTGATGGAAATCCTCCAGTTCCATTCCACGTCGATCGCTTGGGACATTGTAGCAGCCCTGCGAGATATAATAGTTCTTTGTACGCTGGGACCAAAGGGTCTGAACGAGTGACAATAGTATAAGGAGAAACAGGTTGTATCGGTCATAAAGGGTAAAACAAATAATAAACGCCCATCCGTAGAAGAAATAAATACGCTTTGGGATTGTGAACAAGTGATGAGGAACACCATCATAAATCATCAAACTTCGATACCTTCAAGAACCCGCTCTGGTAGGTTTTGTTGAAGTAGTTGCTGTGTCTTGGTGAGTCCGTTCTGATATAGTGAGCGAACAAAAGCCCAGGCAAAGGTGAAGAGCCAAGGGAAGTAGCTATATAGCATGCCGCAAATCATTACAAGGAGGAGGGGGATCTGTATCTTGGTTAGCTCTGAGGTACATTCGAGATAGACTTCGAGGTGACTTACCCAGATGAAGAACAGATTGTGGTCACTGCTAATCCTCTTCATCTTGACTTCATGTGCTCGGCGGAATTGCTCTTGCTGCTCCTTGGTGATAGCGTTCTTTCGGCCAATCTTGAGGACTCCTGGCTCTTCAGTCTTGATTTCAGTCACTTCGGTGACTTCAGTGATTTCGGCCGACTCGGTTTCAGTAGTTGTGGTCTGGTCGAACAAGGCCGCGCATTTTTGATCAGCCTCAGCCTCCACAGCAGCTCGGGCAGCTGACTCATGCTTTTGGTCGAGACTTTCCTGGGGGAAGATCTCCTCATAAGCCGGAGGTGCTGGCGCGGCTGCCTTGGAAGACGAATCCCACCAGCGCTGAGGCTGCTCGCCATCAGCACGAGGACCTGCCATACCTGGCATCAACTGCTGGACTCGTCGCATGAAGGGTGCTTGGTAATCAGGCATGTTAGGCAATGCAAGCATTTGAGGCATCTGAGGGAAATGTGGGAAATTCTGGAACTGCATAGCAATCGACTGTTGGAACTGCTGGAATTGGTGGACCTGTTGCTGGAACTGCTCCTTGAGAGCAGCCATTGTTGTAGCAGGTGGTGCAAGTTCTTCCTCCATTTCACTAGTCTTCTGGCGACGAAGATTGGGCCGCTCACGATCTTGCCTGAAGCCGCTGGGTCTTCTCATGCTCAAGTAGGAATCCTCATCGGGATCCTCATCCTCGAAATCTCCCGATGTGTACTCTGGACTCTCCTCACTGGAATCAGGTGAGATTGGTTCCTCATGGCTGTGAATCTTGGTCATAGGCTCCCAGAGCGATCGAAGGGAAGTGGCACTGCTGGCTCGGCTGTGAAGAGAGCCGGAGCCGCCGCTGCTACGGGATCGGGCATGTCGCTGAGAACGGCGGATGGCGTGGATAACAGCACGCGATTGAGCAATATCGGAGGCGGAAAGTCCAGATATGCTCCTGATGGTGGGGTCGGCACCGTTCAGCATCAGCCTTCGAACGATCTCAGGGTGGTTGTGGATCGATGCGATATGAAGAGGTGTGAAGCCACCCCTGTCCCTAGCGTCAGGGTTTGCACCTCTGGCCAGCAAGGCGGCGACTAAGCGATGGTAGCCTAGAGAGCAAGACAGGTGAAGCATAGTATGCCCGGTGGGCCTCTTGAGATCCAGGCGGGTTCTATGCATGCTGTCATCGAGGTCAATGAGATCCAGGCACTTCAGAAGTTGAGACTCGAGATGAGCATAAGGGGCATGGCTGAACATGGCTCCCCCTGATGAGGAACCGCCCTGGGTGCCATCAGAACCACCAGACCAATGGCTTCCATTCCCGTTATCCAAAATTCTTCGGGCGACGTCCATGGCATCAATCATTTGGCCCGACATCTTATGCCCCAGTACAGATAGAGCAGCTCGGATCAACTTGTCCTCACCGTCATCCAAGTAATTGAAAGTAGGCGGCTGTTTGGCTGTGTTCAGGAAAGCCTGACTAGGCTGTGGGTTCTGGTTCTTGAAAGTGACTGGCACCGGTCCAGGCCCAGGTGCAGGCGGCAACAAGCAGACAACTGATGACTCACCCCAGAATGTAGTAGTCGTTGCTTTGTGGTTGCCAAACCAGATTTCAAGTCCCTGGAAAAACGCCGCACCCAAAACTGTCACCTCAATACCTCCCACTGTAGGGCCTTCATTGGGAATGATCTTGTGGATGACCGGAGGTGCTCGCAGCGGGGTCATGCCCGTGGGTACACTAAAGGTGCTGGCGAGTGCCTGGGCAAATTGGTTCTGCGGGTTGCCAACGATACTGTTTCGAAGGCCATTGGGGCTGGGAGCGCGGCTCGGGTGGCCTGAAGCAGGTGCTGAGTAAAGCTGCGCCATGGCCATGTTATCCATACTCGCGGAGCGGTGATTGGCGTAGAATCCTGGAAGCTCGTTGCTGGGTGTAGGAGGTCCAGTAGTAAAGGCCATTGCTTGCTGTCCAAACATCGGATCGGCCTGAGAGAAGGCACCAAGGTTAGGGGTAAAGGGAGAGGTAGCATTAGATAGCTGGTTGACATCGGCACCAGGAGAGGGTGAGGTATCCAGGCGGGTCATGGTAAGTCCATTAGGAACTCTCGAAGCGCTTGACTTTCTCTTCTTTGCCATCGGGCCGCCAAGAGTTGGCGAAGCCGGGCGTGAGAGTGTCCTGCCAAGAGTACCTGTTGACGATGCCTTAGATTGGTACGAGGCCTGGCTGTTTCGATGCATATTCGATAAATCGCCGTTAGATGGCGACATGCGGAAGGGTCCATTGGCAGTAGGTGGTAGAAGAACGTTGTTCTCAATACTTGCTTGGGGGAGAGATGGCATAGGGGGTTCTGGGATAGCTGGCTGCTGTGTCGCAACCTGGGCAATTGGGTGAGTCTTGTGGTCGTCAGTGATCATAATTGGGTTTGACATGGCTTGAGCGACGACTCTGTCTTGGAAATCTTTAATCGTGAAGATAACATTGAATCCCATCTTTTCGCCGTGGTGTCGACAATAGCAAGCAATACGCATCGCAGCATCAACTTGCATGGTACCTTCAGGAACTGTTGACTCCATGACGCCGCTGGGAGGTTGCCAATCCTTGACTTCCTGTGTGTTGAAGACAATGACACGGCGCTCTTCATCTTCCAACCAGACCTTCTCTTCCTCTGGCTTCTTGATCTTTTTTCGAGCCGCGCGCTTTCGCTCTCTTGTTATGCAGCCTTGGCAAATACGCACATCGCCGCCTTTTGGTTGAGAACTGTTGTTGTCCGGCAGAGGAGGCAGATAGCCCTGTGGGTGGGATGCAGCCCGTTTTAGCGCGGCTTCTTTGACACCAGGCTCATCCATAGCACTCGTGCAAACTAATGAGACATGCAGCTCGAGCATATCTGGGGACTTCTCGGGCGTTGGCTTTGACAACAACTTAGGCTTTGAGATAGTGTGGGGTGGCAGATGCAGTTTGGTGACCCCGGGCGGCAATGGCCATAGGGTCATCTTGATGGGAATCTGGGTCTCGACCCTCGACTTGAGAGGCGTAGGCATGATTTTCAATTGGCATCGTCCATTGAAGCTGAATTGTGTGGGCATTGGCATCTGCTGCGGTATAGGCATAGGCTGGTTCATCTGACCGCTAAAATGCATAGGCAAGCCGTCGGGTACAGCTTGCGCTGCCACGTCGATTTTGTTTGGCCACACATGCTGTGCTCCCACTCCTCCATTCACAACTCTGGAGAAATCTAATTGAGTATTGGGTGAGGGCGAATTGAAAAGAGGAGCTGGAGAACTGCCATGGCTCAGCACCATGTTGGACATTGGCGAAACTTCTCGTGATCCTGATGTTTTTAATCCATTCATGGCTGAAGATACCGAGTATTGCTTCAAGTTCGTTAACAAAGGGCTCGTCTGGTTGAAAAAATTGTGCGATGAACATACTGAAGAGGCTTTCTGGTGACCCTGTGCTTTCTTCCTCTTAGGTGTTGCATCTTTGATAGGGGCTTTTGAGCTGATTGTGGGCATCTGAGATGAAAGAGCCGGTTGTTCGGTATTGAGGCCTTCTGGGCTACTAGAAGCGGTGTCCATATCGTAAGGGTGCTCGAGGATGGGATCTCCAGGTTCGCCAAAAGGGTACATTTCCATTGACGCATCGTCGTGGTTTTGACCAAAAACAAAGTGATCGTCGTCGTTGAAAAGGCTGTTTCCCCATTCCATCTTCATTTCGTCTTCCTCCAACATCGCTTCAGCGTGCATAGCGGTCTTAGAGGTCGGGGTTGCAGTGCGTTTAGAGGAGGCCGTTTCAGATGATGAGTCTTGGTATGAACCGTTTGGAGAATCAGGAAGAGGTGCCCCTGTTAATTCTTGAGGTGTGAGAAATGTTTTCGCGTCGTTTCCGCCGAGCGATTCGAATGACTGGAGGGTATCTGGGCTATTAGAAAAGTCGAAGAGGTTTGAAGCGGCAAGCTCTTCATCGGAAAAATCGTTGAAATCGCCGCCCGACATAGCAGCTCCTGCGATCAGAGGGCTACCTGGGCCGGTAGGAGCGGGCGTCATGACCAGCGAAGAGAGGCTGAAACGACCCGTAGGCGCCGGTGGACGACGGGAAAAGTGGTGATCGGTAGGCTCAATTGAAATTGGCGTCGCAGATTACTGTTGGCGTCGCGCGGGGGAGTCGGCGAAAAGCGTTCAAGACATTAACACACGTAAATTCAATTGCAAACTCGAGTAAAATGTCGATGCTGGTCGTAGGCGAAAATAAGATGTTTTTCTGTTCAGGAACAGAGTGTGTTGCTTACGAGTTCGGGCGTCGAATCGATAATCAGAGAAATCGGTAATCCGTGATTGTTGGGGCAAGATCGTAATATGGATGGATGGGCGAACCCCTAGTGATTTGGGGTTGGTTTGGTTTGGTTTGGTTTTGGATGGTACGGAGTAGACGCACGCGAACACAGCGGGCACAGTCGGCAAGCCAAGCAGGCCAGGCAGGTCGGTCAATGGAAAAACGAGACGGGACGAGCGAGACGGTCAGGGTCCTGTGTTGTCAGATAACCCCTGGTCCAGGTGCGTGTTCGCAGCTAAAAGGTGTGTACTGCGTATGTGTGCGTGTGGCAAGTGAAGAAGAAAAGAGATTACAATTTTCGTATAGGTCAAAGGTAAGGTATGAGGGGGATAAGGAAGGGATGATGATAAGAGGATGAGGAGAAATAGAATAGGTAGGTAGCGAGGCAAAGAGTTAGATGGGATTGATTGATTGATGCGCTGAGTCTCCAGATGGCCTGTCTGGTCTGGGCTAGCAGTACCTCCGTAGAGGCTGTTACTAGCTGGTGTCCCTAAAGAAGAGAGTGGAGATGAATGGGAGATGAATAAAGAGGGACAGAACAAGCGACAGTGCAGGCATTTGCTGGCTGAGATGACTTTGAACTGTGCTAATGTAATAGCTTCGTGGGTAATGGGTTGTTCTTGTTCCCTTGGCTTGGTTGTATCCGTACCTTAGCTGGGCCTCTCGGGGTCGGTCGTTTGCCCAGCGAGTCCCCTCTTCCACACTTTGGTCAGATTGTGTGTGAGAGTGTGTGCAAACGTGGAGACTGGGTCTGACCTTGCAGGCAAATCGTGGTAAAGACACTTTGGTAGGTAGTGGTGTGTGCTCACTCACTTGGTGAGTCTGCGAGTTCATTGTCAGTGGCGGGGGCTGGTATCTGATCCGAAATGTACCTACAGCGCCGAGTGGGTCCCGTTGTCGGCGCAAGACAGTGCGGTTGAGGAGATATTCACACGAGTATTTTGCCTGCTCCTTATCCGATCCGTACAGTATCAGCGCCGGTCTCACACTTATCGGGGCTACATGGCTGGTCTTCCGCTGGATCTCCCTCGCAGTTGCAGACTGTCACAATCGCACAGTACGGTATCAAGCTCCTTGTAGATCCAAGCTTGACAAGCAGATCTCCGGTGGCAGCAGACACCGGCACTGATTGACAGGAAGACACAGTAAACAATGACGAATGAAATTGGTATCTAGAAAGAGTTATTGGCGGCTGATACACACTCCCAAGATTCATTTATTAACGGGAAGCGGGGAATGACGATGGACGACATCCTTGTATCGAGCAACTCATCAAAAAACCAAAAAACCATCAGAGGCCTCTCGCGTATTACGCAAGCTGTGACTCTTAAAACGACAGATGAACAGATACTCGAAAGCTATAGAATGGACAGCCTGTCTTCATCTCAACTATTCTACGGACTCGGACAAGGCGATCGTCCCGTCGGATGAGGATGGTTGTTGATTACTATTAGAGGGTGCCATGCCTTAGACTTAGCAGGACGATGACCCAATGATACAAGGGTAAAGCAAGCTTCCAGTAAGAAATAGTTGGTACCTGATGACCTAGGCCTGTTAGTGGACGCGCTGACATGTCTTTCCCCTCCTCTAGACTATCAATCATTCATTGACTCACGGGGCTTTATCATGGGGCATCCGGGTGTCCATGCGCCAGATACTTTCACCTCGTGCTCATACATCTTGATCTTGATTAAGAAGAACCCAATGTTGTCTCTTCCCGCAACGCCTACATTACGTAGACACAACCAACACAAGAAACTGTCTCGTTATAAGTGGAGTTCAAGACATTGATGGAGGTGGGCTAGACATCCTCCACTGGAAGAAAGAACCCTGTAGATCCAATGAATGGATCAAGCCCAGCCCAGCCCAGCTCTCAGACTCCCCCTTCCCATTCCCCTGGAGTCCCACGTCCAAGCATAAGCGAATCACCATGATTCAAGCCTCAATTGCAAGTTTCCATAAGGCTTTGCCCTCCCACGCAGTACGTACATGCTAAGCTCGCTTCGATGACTGTCCTAAATGTCCTCCCAGTGGATGCTACGGCCTCCGCGGGCAAACCTCCCAGCTTTCCCCTAGCTTTTGCGTAACAGTCCCAAAGGGGAAATACAAATATGTAAGTTGTTATCTTGATGAACTCAACAAACTGCAACTGCCCTGTTTGTCTCATACATAACATACAGACTTGGCCAGCTTGGCCTGACCGTGATATCCGTATGACACGATTGACGCGGGGGAAACAGGTTTAATCATAAATTTAACTTGCAATGGCCTATTAGTTCCCAGAATCTATCAAAAGGGTCTCACTGTAGAAAAGAAAAGAAAAACGTCGGACCGGGTGTTATTGTACTTGTCAGTTCTCTATTTGGCCATCGTATAAAAGCTGGCGCAGTTTGAGTTACGCCAAGTGTAAGTGAAGTGTGCTTAGGGTTATCAAAACCAGTATCACGTCAACCGCAACATCCATTCTGTCCTAGATATGCCAACGACACATAAACGGCCCTACCAGATAAAGCATAGCAGAAACATGGTGGAATGAGGAATATCCCTTTGCAGATTTGTGACTACTACTGCATCTATTCCCGGAGAATCGTACCAGTGGCTTGAACTTGGGGTTCGGGGAAAAACGTAGCTCTGCAGGCTGCATGGAGGAGGGGATGGATTATGGAGGGGCGAGGGGGAAGTAAACTCTGATTATGGTGTTTTCAGTATGGATTGGATGCTTGTTCATCACATAGTTTATTTTAGTCGGAACGACAATGAGAGATTTTTTTCAGTTCTCGCCTTACGATACACGGCAGATCAACTAACACAGGCGATCGAATAAGATCAAACATATAAGTTTCCTTACTTGGTAGTCGAATTCTCCAGCTTGCTAAACCCAACTAGAAGCGGCCCGAGTACTTAGATCGGCCCGGTGAGTTAGGCAAACATAATCATCGAGTCTCGGTCTGCATATACCGAGACAGGTGAGGCATAACTGGTAGAAAGCTAAGGTAGTAGTTACAGCAACAGTGACAAACTAGTACTGGGTATATGGCACCATAGTTGCTTGCTATCATAAAACTAAACCTACCGTCTGCAACTTGTAATTAGTGTGATGTCAGGATGACTATTCAGAAACGCCTCGTTTGCTGCAGAGTTGATTCAATTGAGTAAAGAAAGAGATTAGGAAGGACAAATGAGGTGTTTTTCTTCCCTCTCCAACTACTCGGAGTGTAGCCGGAGGTGGATCGTCTATCAGCACATATCAAAGATGGTAAAGTCGCTCATATCATAGTCAAAGAACCGCAAAGCCACATCAAAACTTTCCGATGTCGCATCCTCGCGGCCGAACGTTGGTGTAGAATGTAACCAAAAGCCCATATTTGGCTTTGATATGGTTGGTGGTTGTACCGCATTATCTCTCAGTGTGCCTCAAAAGGTTGGCGAGACGTGGTTGAAAGTTGACCCAATTGGTATAGATGCAGCCGCAATCTTGCATCTGTAACGAGTAACGAAAAGTTACGGAAACATCCCGGACGATAGTGATTAAAAAAGAAGTATAGTAGTTTTCTTTAGTAACCACTTCAAGGGGAAATTGCCTCTGGAATGGTTTGGAATATGTGATCGAGGTGCGTTATCTGAGCGTCAACGGTTGCATGCTGTGTAACAACAATCCATACCAACGACCCCTGTTTCATAAAGCATTTGCCGCGTGTCCTCGAAATGACTAGACATTAACAAGAGACAAGAGTGTTTGTGGCTTTGACTTCAAACATAAACATTTCGGTGGCCTCTACAGCGTAGCATTGGTCAAGAGTGAATTGTATGCTGTACGCCACCAGATAACGGTTCCTCTTGGTAATACAAGGGGTCAGTACATAAGAAACACTTGTTGAGATACTAGCGTTTATCAGACATTCTGCATAACGGTTCAAGGCAAGGGCGCCTAATTGCGTCAAGTCAACGCCCGCATGTTGCGGGATGGCAGGTTAGGAATTAACTGGTAGAAATCCTCGGGCTATTTAGACTCAGCTTGATTGGTTCTAGTACGGATTTCGAGACAGCTCTTAATAACTATCTATGCATGTTTCTGATACTCCCAGTTGAAAGGACTAGTTAAGGCAGCTTTTCATCATTGAGAAACCAATGAGGTTATACGCAAGGGATGCAGCAACCAACGTGGTATAACTGGCGGTCTAAGAGATACAGAACAAGAAGAAATAAAAAGCAAGTCCAAGACAATGATGAATTGTGAAGCCCAGGATTAGATTCTAGACGCGGGAATAGAGTTTTTTTTATCTCCCTTCATTGACATGTCTTAGATAAAACGCTTCGACTTACACGATCGTCTATCAAAGGTCCTCGTAGTCACTAGCAGCGTCGATCAGCGATGCAACCTCCCCATCGCCATCTAGCCTCACCACCAAACTCCCTGAGCCAATTCATACATCCACGTCTTTCGTTCCCCTAAAGTTTACTTGTTCTTGGGAAACTCTGCGACCCACTTCTCAATCTGATCAATGCCAGCCTCCTGAATCGCTTTGACCTCTGGCCAAATAGTACCAGCATTGCGAAACGTATCTGTACAGTGATTGCCCAAGGGGTTCAAAAAGTGTTTGATGTAGGTGCTGTTGCCGAGTACACCGCCAGGTCTCTGTGAAGAAGCAAATCCTGCTGTTCGCCAAGGATCATACAGGCCATCAACCAAGACAGTCCTCTTCACGTAGGGAGAAGGGTCGCTCCAGCCTCCATAGTGAGCGTTCCATGATTCTGACGTCTCTCCCTTGGCCAGGCCGTAGGTCTCTCCATTAGGACCGGGAGGGAAATAACGCGCACATGTCTTCCTGAAGTACTCCTTGTTCACCAAGCGTGAGACCAGCGTCGGTGTACCCTCTGGCGAGCCCGTCTGCCAGTACTCTTCAGGTTCGTTGCAGAAGAGCCATTGGATTTGCAGGGTCTCGACGATGCTTGGACTGATCAATGTCTTATTGGCGTAGACCAAGCTGTCAGCGTCACCAAAGTTGAAGCAGCCCGTGTTGTTCACCCCCTTCCAGGGACCCCGATTCTCGCATTTTCCGGGGATCCAGACCTCCTTGGTCCAGCGGGCATATCCTGCCAGCGCCTTGTCCAGACCAACGCCTCCTGAGCTTGGAAGCTTCGACTTGTCCGTGACACTGACGGCATTCTCGACGTAATCACAGAATTCCCACGTATCGTGTATGCGCAGAGAAGCGGTCTGATAAGACTGGGGTCCATGGTTGAGCAGGTTCATAAAATCATCGTTGTGCTTGAGGTCAGGAGCCCCGAAGTCTTCCTTAATTTGCTGGATTTCATCTGCCGAGCCTATCAAGTGCATTAGTACCATGGTACTTTTTCAATATTCCAACACTATCTTACCATGAAGCATGACATTGTCCAGATGCTCAATGACCTTCTCGACATCTGCTGTACAGTTCTTGGGCAAATACGCCTTAGCCGCGTCAGAGTACCTCCAGTAATCAGGGATCGCTTGCGGTGGTGAACTCGACGCCCAGCTTGCCCAGAATGTACCTGGATACTGTTTCTGCGTGAACAAGACTCGATTTCCCTGCGCCGAGCATCCTGTGTGAACCCAGGGCACCTTGGCCGGCCTGGCACTCCCATTCTTCGCAAATGGTAGTTTGACGTTTTCAGCAAAGTATATCTTGTCGCGCATTATTTGGTCCTCGGTGTAGTACTTCATATGCTCAGTCGTGAGTTGCTGATATGGCGACGATTGGCCAAAATACCGATTCTCAAGCAACAGCATCACAGCTCCGATGCGTCGTGCAATCATGCCACCAATGACATAGTCATCGTGCAACCAGAATTTCACTTGTTCAGCTTCAGCATCGAGGGGAGAAATGAACACAACAGGGGGGTTGGTGCCATTCGCATAATTAAGGCTATACAAGTACCGCTGCTTGAAGGTTCCGAGGGAAGGGTTGTCGTGATCGATCAGTTGGTCGAATGTACCCCCAACAACGCCCGTCGTATCGTCATCCCGGGTGAGTAGTCGAGATTTGGGTGAAGTATCCAAGTGCGTGACTTGTCGTGGACTAAATCCGTGGACTTGCTGAAGCAAGACAACAGTGGCTACGAGTCTGCTGAAAAGACGCATCTTAAGCTGTTGTCTTGCAGAACCTGTCCGCCGAGACGAGAGCAGGCGATCACGGCATTATGTCCTCTTTTGAGCTGTATACATTATATAGAGGCCAGGGGATCTCAAGACTGGAGGACCGACATCCGGGTAGCCCCGTGCCATTTGATTGCTGTCGTGTCATGTAAACTCAGTGTGTCGTATTGTATAAACTCTGTAGAAGAGAACAGGGCAACGAGCCTCTTTAATATGAAAGCATATATCCTGGCTATTCCATAAAGAGTAATCTCAAGGACTTTTACGACGACAACCCTGTCCCTGCCTGAGAAAGTGGTATTCAACCCCTGTCGAACGGAAGGAATCAAATCGTCCTATCGTGATCAAAGTTGGACAATCGCTCAACTTGTCGTTGGATAGCAACTCGACATCACCGGATGGCACCAAGCAATACCAGGCTAGTTATTGATGGATTAATGTAAATATATACATAGAGCCGAGGAGAAGAGTCGAATAGGTCTGATATTCATTGTTCCTAGGGCATATTTGAAGATAGTACAGCCATGGTCAGAGGAGGCAAGCTTGCCGTGAAGGCATATGTTGCGGCCAGAGTCATGGTTGGGGAACGTCGAATAGGAAGTTTATGGGAGCATATGCCTTCATAGATAGATATTCAGGGATAAGTCGTGTCAGGCTATTGGCTCCCAGCTCTGCGCACCAGGACACAAGTGATCAGAAGTGATGGTTGCAGAGAGCTCTGTAACTCGTTTCGCCATTGATTTGATCATCTATAGAGGCTTGGGTTGCTTAATCCAGCTTCTTGATTATTGTGTCCAGAGGTGGCCCATTGATTTTGTCCTGAAACGGCCCGGATCAACAGTTTCTCTATTATATGAGGGACATCGCACAGCAGACTTGACAGGAGAGTGTTAGTTGAAGGTATACGAAACGAATACTTAGCACGGGACTGGGGCGGCTCCTATGGACAAATGGAGAGCTCAAGACGACATCATCGTGAATACCATCAACCAAGACAAGTGATCAAGTACCCTCTATCGTGAGCAGGGTTAAGGATATGAACGAGTTTGATTTATTCGTGGCCCGATATGAGCTATATCAGGCAGGTATCATTACAAAAGAGAACAGACCAAAAGAACACCATCATAATAAAGGGAACCGAGCGGACTCCAAATATCCGCCCCAGGCCACAGGACTCAATAGCTCTCTGCCTTTAAGCTCAGGCGTTGTTACAGCCTCGAGCAGAATGGACCTGGCAAAATAGCTCCAGAGACCCTCGAGCAAAGTCCTCTCCCGAGATAGATAAGCTACATTCTCGTAGCAGACTATCTCTCTTGGGAAATTCCCGAAAATCAATCGACTGAACGCAAACCGGCCCCTTGATTCGCCAGACGATCTGCTTGGTGATTGCCCTGATCAGTGGCGTGTCCTTTCACCCATTGGAAAGAGGTTTTTGACCTGGCTGCATCCCGCTCCTCTATCCTCGCTAACACACCGCGTATGATATCCTGGTTCTTGACTTCGACTCCTGACGCAGTCTTCCATCCCTTCTTCTCCCAACTGAGAGCCCATTGTGTCACACACTTGATGGAGTACTGACTGTCAGTCACAATCTGAACGTCCTGTGTTGAAGGCGCAATCTCTAATGCCCGAAGTATCGCCATCAGTTCAGCACGCTGGTTAGTCTGAGGCTCGCCAGGAAGACGCTCCGCGAGATTACGCTTGTCATTGGGACCAAAATAAACTCCAAGACCAGCACGAGAGTCAGCCTGACCGTTGGCAAGACTGCTGCCGTCGGTCCAAATCTTGAGTAAATTTCCACTTTCTTCACAGCTAGGCTCGGCGCGAGGTGCTGCTTTTGGTGCTGGGGTAGGCTCAGCCTTGGCCCTCTTGGTAGATGTTTCTACAGGTTCAAAAGCGGCCCCAGTGTACTCCTGCGAAGAGTCTTGCCCACGTGATATACCCAGAGCTCGGCAGGTCTCCGAGCTGGCGTTCTCTCTAATGAACTGCTCCGCGTCTTCTTGCGTTGTGAACCTCTTGTACTTGGGTCCAGCGACCTCTATGACTTGTGGCTGGGCCTCATCCCAGGTAGCATAGATGCCTGGAACATGGCCTACAGCCACGGCATAGAACTTCGGAGGGCCCTTAGCCGCCGATGGGTTCTCCTTGCCATCGATATAGTCCTGGGCTTCCTGTTCTGTTTTGAATGACTTGACTAGAGACAATGGTCAGTTTACATATTTGCAACGGCTAGGTTTTGTGCTTTTCCGTAGGATTGCTGCTCACATTGTGCACCTGGGAACTTGGTCGTTTGTGCCTGGCATTCATCATAATTCAAATAGATGCCAGGTTTCCTTCCCTTTCTGACAGCATAAAACTTTGAAGCGTTTGCCGTTTTCCTCATCTTGGACGATGAACCTGCCCCGAACCCACCACTGGGGGCGCTGCGCTTCTTAACCATTTCGGCGTCGTGTTCGTCTAGAGGATCGGCGTAATCGGTGCTGCAACTGTCTCGATCGAATGCCCTGACCGTTGGTGTAGTGAGGAGAAAGTTGAAAGCCGATAGGTCTACAGGTCCTCTGCTCGCTGCAGGTGCAGGTGCAGCTCGTCGCGAAGCGCTTATATGCCTGCCGCAATGGTCTGCTGGTTCTTTGACGGCGCTCGTGAAGCTACAAATGGCTGTGAATGCAGCGCTAACTGCAACGGCAGGACTATCGCGACGAAGGACGGCACAAGAGGGAAATCGGCGGCCAACGAGTCATAGAAGATGCATGTTGCTGATCAAAGCAGCAATAAACAAACAAAACTCCCCCCTGCTTATCGGTAATCTTGAAAGACCCACGGAGCTGGCGAGCTTCTTTGTAAAGGCTATGGGTCTGACAGTGCAAGCAGAGGGGTTGTTTGGTTTAAAAGGTCAAAGGCGTAGGGTGCAGCACGGATATACAAAGAGGGGCAGGTCCTGAAGCGCGTGGAGCAAGGGTCCATTCACATCTGGCACTCTTTTACTAAATACAATACAGCCATGAATCAATGCAAAGCAGACTGGGCAGACCATATTCCAGACAACAAAAAGTTAATTGATACATACCATGTTGCGCAAATGAAGCTAGCATGCTACAATAAGTTCCACGTCCAACTTCTTCCAATGCTTTCTCCTCCATGCCCAAGCTATTGTTACAAGACCAACGCCAATATTTGTTAATTGACTTCTCACCTGGGATGTAAAGAGCTATCTAAACCCTTTTTGTGTTGTCCAGCCAATGCTACAGCTGCAAGTAAGTCCATAAAACGTACCCTGCCAGGCAGTGGTAGATAATCGTAATCATGTTGTCGGCCTGGATCATTGTTGTCCATAGGCAGTATCGTGCTGCATGTAATACTCTGTCATTGCTCTTTGGGAGCTTTGCTGTCACTTTAGCTTCGCGTATATAGCAACGGAGCCGATGAGTCTCATATCGACCTCGGAGGTGGTAATCCTAAACATGAGTGATGGGGTCAAGAGGAGGCAAGTTGGGTACGCCATCACGTTCCCATTCCCAGGCCATCAAGCTCCAGTTGAGCTCTCGTCTCCAGAAGAGCCCCAGTCCTCGTCCACCTCCATCCGGACGATCGTCTGAGCTCAAACCTCCGCTGCGAGGCATGTGTGTAGCGAAAACAGCCTTTCCCATTCGAGAGTGAAGGATGCCCATAGAGCAGGACACACAAGGCTCATGGGTGACATAAAGCTCAAGCCCGTGGCAGAGATATCCATCTTTGTTCGGATGCTCTTGTTCAAAGCATTGCTTCTCTATCTCAAGCAGGGGACCGTCTTGAAATGCGTCGTATTCGAGATTGGGTGCCTTGAAAGGCAGACCAGCGGCTCGTCTCTCGTGTCGAACAAGTTTCTGGGCGACCATGCTTATAGCACGAACAACACAGTGCGTCATGGGGTTGCTGGTACCCTCCAGCAGGCCGCACTCCTGGTGCCAACGAGCATCTCCAGCAACCCCAACTAGTTCGACTTTTCCTCCCTCCCTCTGGACAATCACAGCTCCGACAGCTTCGCCGATCCCGGTTTCTTTAGCTTGTAAAGCAACACGATGGGCTAGTGCCATCCATACAGAGGCGTCGTCCTTGATATCTTCAGTTCCCCGGGCTACTATACTAGGGTGTGGACCCAAAGGGTTGTTCTTCCGATATACAGTTGGCCAAAATTGAGAAGACCACATAGCTGCTTGTACTTGAGATGTTGGTGCAAGCAGGGGAATTGGGATCTTCTCGATAAAGAGGTCATTCTCGGCGCCCTCAACAATCGAGAGAACCTCTACCAGTTCCTCTCGGGTAAAATCTTTGACTTCCCCAATGATGATGTAAATCCATGTTGATTTAGCTGTATGGATTTGACGTCCCACCGCACTGTCATTCATAAACTGAGTTTTGAGGTGGGCGGGAAGATCACCGGGCTTGGAACATCTGCGCAGATGAGGCAGGGGGTTAGCGCTGTTATCATCTGGTCGCATGTTACGCAAGGCCCTATATGGTTTCGGTAGTTAGTATCAAAACCATCATGTTAATTTGGCACAGTCAGGGTCTGGAGGATGGCGTACGTGATGACATCGTTGGCTTGTTTGGTAGGTGCCCGTGTGATGTACGCATGAGTGATTGTGTGATCTTGCCGAACTTCCTGGGTTGTTTTGAGGGGGATCAAGACACCGCGGCGGGTATGTCCTTCCTTCAAGTCATCAACCAAGGGGTTTGAGACAATCTCAGATGGGCCGTGATGTTCGGCCTTTGGGGGCGCAGACGACTCAACAGGCTCAGGAGTTTGGCAGACCTCACTAGAAGGCCCGGCGGCCGAGTTGTCTTGAGTTGCATCCATCTGCAGTACTGGTCTCGCCTATGAACTGTGGTCAGCTACGGAACAAGACAGATTCAGAGTTCGCGGCATACTAAACGTGGTCTTCGTGCCTGTGAAGAACTCGGATGGAATCAAGCGCGCCGTTTTGGTTTGATGCCGTGCTATGGTAGATGATGGCGAAGTCTCCAAGATTAGTTGCGTGTTGAGAAAAGGGAGTTGGGAGAGTTGAGCTTGGAGGAGATGATGAAGAGACGACGAATGTTGTTATGATGCGAGGTCTCGTGACGAAAGAAGGTGCAAGTTGGGACGAATTTAGGCAAGAGCGCACCGCTCTTCACTTCCGACTCGACTCTCCTGTCTCTCGTTCTTTCTCCTGTTGATTTTTATTAGTGACTGTCCCTAGCTACCTCAGATTCATAGCAACCATTTGCAGTGGGCACTTACCCTTTACTATGTTCCTCGAAAACAAGTCTCTGGGTATGAAAGATCAAAGATAGGGAAAGTATTTGAAAGCAGAAGAGAAAGAATCTTGCAATCAAATAGAGGCCCAATGAATAAGTCTTGTGGGTCTTTCGCTATTCGAGGTTTCTGCACTTGACTCTTGCAGTGGCAGCGCCTGGCAAGAAACTGCCAAGTAAATGTCTGCAGTAACGCCCAGTAACTAGCGGTTTCTTTGACAATATCTACTTCGTAGATCACCAGTTGTTTGTTATTAATTCCAGACTGTGAATGAATGAGCTTTTCGCCTTCACTTTCCAAGTGAATCAACTCTTCACTGCCTTGGCAGGATCTTCAAAAGGCCTGCTACAAACAGAGCCCTTTTGCGATCGCAAGCAGCTTTGATCGAGCTTTCCACGCCTAAATTCTCTTCGTAAGTACACGAAACATCGGTATGGGAGTTATCGTGCTTTTCTGTATTGTCCACTTGGATTATGCTTTCAGAAAGTCCTGTATCCCCATCAACTCGTTGGCATTGAAGTTGACGATAAGTTCTGCCCTGTGGATCAATTGTGGCAGGAACCTGCATATGTGGCTAGGGAGGCGTAAGCCACTTCTTCCAGCTTACCCTATATAATCTGGCTTTGCTTCACCACCATTGTGTAAGACAACACACCAGGCAATTCTTGTGATTCAATGCTGTTCTTTCAGAGCTTGCTGACTGGTACCTAAAGTCCTGGCTACGGATATCGGGCAGTCGTTTTGTCCGCGTGAGGCAGGTTACAGCAAGGCATCATGGCAGTCATCCAACAGAACATACCAAGGGTTTATCATGATAACACGATCATGAGCTCTAACATTCAATCCCCCAAGTGCAAAAGAACAATCACATGAAGTTCATATACAACTATAACTCTATAATCATCCATTTCAACCTACCATGCGAGATAAACATGTCATATCAACCCCGCGTCTCCCCACCAGATGTCATGTTGAAGAAGAGCCATTCCGTTGGTTCGGATGTGCCCCCCGAATATCACCATAAAGAGATGGATGACCGCTTTCGTGGGGTATAGATTTTAAGGCTGCCTCTTTTGGCAACTTGATCTTGCATCCCCCGTACTTTGAATATGCGGAGAAATCACTCCATGTAAAGCATCTGATGCCGACGCGCCGACGCACCTGTCAACCGATCAAGACTGCAGTTGCAGTCATGGCATGTGAAGTACTGAATGGGCCTCCAAGTACTGAGACATAGAAGTGAATATGATAGACGGTTGCCTGCATAAACTGTAAAGAGGCAGTGTTTGGTGCTCCGTCAATCAAAGTGAGCTCTCATGTTGCTTGGGCTGCTTACAATGCCCAACGTACAGCTCAACGTACAGCTCACAGCCTGGCTGAACGTCCCCTAAACGTTACATGCTGTGCGCCCCAAGCATACTCTTTCGGGATCCCAGGATGAGAGCATTTTACCAAAGCCATAATTCGGAGTTTTGGAAACGGTTTTCGGGACTACAGGATAGAACATATCCGGCGGCAGTCCAACTCACCTTGGCACTTACACGGCCTCACCCAGAATAATTAAGCAATAGAGGTCACTAGCGGTAGCATGCATTGACCGCGCTTGATCGACTGTAACAAATAAAAGAATACTACAGTATTGCATCGTACTCGTAGTCGCTGAACCAAGACATGGTTTCAGGAGTCGGAGAATAATAGGATCATTGGGGTTGAGCATAAAGAGCTTACATGTTATGGGACATTGTGCAACGGTGTCCATGCATTGCTGACGATAGGTCATCGAGAAACAAACCAGCCACGCTCGGTACATGTACGATCAGACAAAAGGCCAGAAAAGCTGAGGAGCAAGAGAAGTGGCCTATCGGGACCATCCCCGCGTTATAGCACTGGCCTGTGCTCTCTAATAATGGCAATCATTAAAGTCGAGAACAAGGAGGTCTCATTGCTTCAGGTGTCATGATGCATGGTTCGATAGACATGAATGAAATACGGACAGAATAAGAGAGGCAGCCAACAGAGCCATGGTCGTGTAATATTCGCATGATTGATAAGAGCCATACTGAGACTCGTGGCAAGCCATGAAAAGACAGGGACAGCGACGCAAGGTCAAGGCTTTCCATTCATAGTTTATGATACCCAACCAAGGCTTTGCTCGAATGATATTCAGGGCCAGTGCGCCGGGGAGACAAAAAGTGACTGGGACCCCACGGACGAATTCATGACGCCTAAGCGCCCACGGGTAAACATGATTCGTAGGGAATCAGGAGTTGAAAGGGAAATGGAATGATAGATTGGACGGCAGTCATGCGAGATGACTGTCGCATTATTGGTCTCACCTCTATCTCACCAGGCGATGAGACGAAAGGACACGAGCAAGGAGCCAGGCACTGACCTGTAAAGCAAGGTCAGGGTGAGAGTGACAGTGACGGTAACAGCTCAGCCGCGAATCGAATCTCACATGTCGCATGAGAAAACGAGGCGCCTCCTCTTCTGCAACACGACCAAGTCTTACGCATATTGTGAGGGTAATTCTGTATCTCTACCAACTGCAGAAACCACAAGAAGACCAAAGATAACGGTGGGGGTAAGTTGACTGTCCCCCTCATGCAATGCAATGCATCTGCAGAAGCGAGTTTAGTTTTTTGCTCATCGCTTGCTTCGCTTTGCTTGGCTTGTGAAATTTCCCCCGCGGCGAGATCGGAGAAAGCTGCACTAGAGATGACTCCTTTTGGGTTGAGGTGAAAGGGGGCAGGGATCTTGTACCTTGTAGGAGCTTCCAGCGCTGGAGAAGAAGGTCTTGGACTGCAGTAGCGCGGCGTCTGTTTTTTTGGGTGAGGAGAAGAACTATTGGAGCTTGACTCGTTGTGGTCTAAGACGGTCTATGCTTGGTAGGGGTGCCATGCATAGCTGCGAACAGAGGGTTCGGGGGTTTAAAGTACCGCCGGATTAAGTGCACATTTTTCGAGATGAGAGACAAGAAATTTAAGCTTGAAAATCACAATTTCATTGTAACAAGCCTTAAAAGATTTGCTTCCGTTCTCAGTGTGATGATCTTGATACTCAGACGACATAGGATGAGTTGACTGGCTAGACTGAGTGAATGTGTTTGTGTGGCTTGCAGGGAAAAAAGCATCCATGGATGGAATAGACCCAAGCTACCTAGAGCCCTGATTTTCTGTGACAGAAGTCTATCACCAGAGACGACAGTTTATATGAAATAGACTTGTCGTATAATCTAAGCAAGGTTTTGGTTAAAAGATGACACTTTAATGGATGGCATTTACAGTTCAATAAACATTTAAAAACAAAAGCTTAGTATTTATTTAAGAAGATTGTGATAGGTATCCAACTTCAGAACATGTCTTACCACGACTGGGCTGTCGACTGACGCGCATGTCATCTGCAAAGGTTTTGTAATGCAAAGGAGACTGATGACGACCAATTCACAAGCTTTATCCCTTCCAGCCCTCAACGCTTCAGGCGAGACAAGCACCAGCACAACAAGACACAAACGAACTAGAGATCAAGCTCGGTGAGTTAGAGATTCATTGGTTCGAGTGTACCAGCAAGGGCCAAGCGCCACCGTTCCGTGTCTCAAAGGCTCTATTGAACCATTCAAAGCCAAAAAGCTTGGCGGAATTTGGGGGCTTGTAACAAGCATCCTCGCTGGAATCTTGTGTAGATAGAGTTAACAAAAAGAACCAAAAATGGCCACGGAGTCGTGAATCCGAAGTCCTTGAAACTCAGCCGCCAGATTTACTTGAAAGGGACAAATCCGAGAGGTGCGTTGAAAAATACATGCAGCATATCTCGGATTTGTGATACCGCCAGATGCCGTAGATTTGAACAACCTTGTCCTGGACACGCAAGGTCTTGACATGTCATACTTTGTTATATATGGCGGGATACTCGGTACATGATTAATTGAAGGAGCTGGCAGGTGAAGGTGGCCCAGCTGGACGGTACATATGCTCAAGGATCTCGGGTCCCGGGACATGTTATTTCATTTAAGATGGACATACAGTGCCTCAACCAGACCATATTGTTGAGAATGAGCCTATGCTCGTTGTCTGTGTGGAACGTGCATTCGTATACAAAACCCAAAAGGGGGTGGAAGTGACTTGGGATCTTGATGCAAAGTTGCAGGGCATCCTGTACCTGAATGCCAGTTGGTGTGTAGGATGCACAGCTGAGGTTGGTTTAAAAAAGTACAATGATGTAAGATGTAAGTCGGTATAAACAAGACCGAGGGATCGATCCAATGTAATGCAGCGCCACCCAAGGGCGACGAGTCTCACGAGCCACTATCCCTACGCCAGCAGACACACCTTGGCTTTCCTTCTGACCTTTCAGGCTTTCACCATAGGTACATACAGCTTTTGACAATTGACTATTCCTACAAGTTAGCCCTGAACTTTACATTGCGGTACAGTAGAAATGGATTTTCCCGCACACTTAGTTAGCCCAAAGCCTGAGGTGCCTGTCTGCGCTTTGGGGGGGGGGGGGGGGTTTGACTTGACTCTGCGGCCATTTACTCGGGCTCTAGCTTCTCGCCTGTTAATAAAACCACCGACACGGGCCCTCAACCACCTGGGCTCACATCACCTCACATTGCCTCGTCGCTCTCCTGATATTCATTCAAGCGTACCAGCAACCCTAGTCAGGGCAACTGAAATATCCAAGCAACACATTTCGAGGCTACCAGTATAATAATTGCAACCTGCTGCGTTTCGATCTGCAGACCCTCTGATGGGCACAGCCTATTCTGGGTGACGTATAACAAACAGACACAACCAGCAAAAATACAGGAAAAAACGACTGCGCCAAGCACACGAAGCAACAAGCCTTAGCTCAGATTATAGGAAGACGAGGCATACAGCACAGCACAATAACAGCACAGAACGTTACGACACACGGAGTTTATCGACTCATCGACACCGAGTTTTTGTTTAACACCAAGAGACTGAAAAAACAGTAGGGCAAGGGCTCAAACTCAACAACTCCAAAAAAGGAAAGATCTTTATCAAGCCAGACCTCAACTTCATTTTATCCCTTCAGGGCCTGGGCTTTTACAAAAACAAACCACCCAGCGTCCATCGATTCAACAAGTTCCCGCGGGATTAGACCCTCCATTCCCACTCCAAGCCAACCTTACCTGAACCTGGGCGACATTAGCTTAGGCTAAGCTTGTGAAGAAGCCAGCAAGCAACAGCCAGCGCCACTACCGCAGCTTTTTAGGGTCCTGCATTCTTCCCCACTGCTAGTCGCGGCACGGCACCACCGAGCCCACCAACGACGACACCCCCAAGACCTCCAAGTCAGCCTCCAACTGCACTGGGACTGGGCTGCTTGCGACCTGGTGGAGGCCCTCCAACTCTACCGTCCATCCTTTCAGTTCATCTCACCTCTCCAAGACTCGACTCGACTCAGACTCACCTCCGGTCAAAGGTCAAGGAAGCGAAGCTAGTGGATGCCCCGAGCACCCCGACAGATTGACGCCACTGAAAGGTACAGCAAAGGAAAAAGGGACCCCTCCCTCAAAGGAAACACACACCAAAGTCCACTGAGGAGCCCCCTGTGGACCACTACGCCGGGCCTTACTGGGGCGATTTTCATTGTTTATTGGTCGGCGTGTTTCTTGAAGACTCAGAACCTGTCGCCAATTGCTCGATTTGGAGTTTAGTCTCCCTCGTTACTCAGATGCCTTCAGCGATTCCGGTGGCCCCTGCAGGTACGTACATGGTCGTGGTTTCCTTGTCCTTGCCTTGTTTCTTAACAGCTCCTTCCAACAATGACTACGTATTTGCCCTGCCATTCTCTCTTACTTTATTAGCCATTCAACTGCTGCTACACATCCAATCTTTCTTGTTGTTCTTCTTCTCCTCATACAAACTTTGAATCTCCAAAAGATCTTCAACATCCATTGCTACCTTGTTGTTACTTTGATCAAATCATACTGTTTCAATTCTGTTTATCATAACTTGAACCCCTTATACCTCCGCGATCGCATCTAGGACTCCAAAACACCAAACGCTCAACCATAAACTTATCTAAAATCTAGACGCAGGTCGCCGACAATCAAAACAGTCCGGACTGTTAAAATCTGTGATGCATAACCTTCTTGGTGTATCACCTCCTTCGCCAGCGCTACCCGCGCAACATTCGTCTGTAGCGCCACAGACATCCTCAGATTCTCTACCACCTACATCGAATCCTAGCTCGAATCCTACCTCACACCCAACTTCAGATCCTTCCTCGAATCCAAACAACCCAAATAACTACGCGGTTCTTCCTCCACCAGCAGATGGTGACCATGACCATCTTCCTCCTCCAGCAAATGCACCTTCCTCGTTGGCTGTGGCGCTGCGATCGCTAAACGATTTGACCGAAACCCCCACATATGCGCGAAGCGTCACTTCAACAGCGCCGAGCTCGCCACGCATGTAAGTGCCGTCATTTTTTTCTCTTTTTTTCCACAGTTGGGGTCGCGAACCACATACCCACCACCTTCGGCCCTTTTAGTACTGGCGATCCCGCTTTTAGAACCCCTCAATTGACGTATGGAAATAGTCCTCCGCTACGACAGAATTCTGGTCATCAAACACCACGAGTCCGACCACATGCGACAACGCTCAACATCCCGGGCATGACCCGGTCAAGAGTCTCACCCGATGGAAGAATTCCTTCTCGTGATGTTGCCGCAAAGCTTGTTATTGTCATGGTTGGCTTGCCAGCCCGAGGAAAGTCTTACATCACCAAGAAACTTCAAAGATATCTTTCTTGGCAGCAGCATGATTCTCGCATCTTCAATGTCGGAAACCGAAGACGTGTAGCTGCCGGACGCAGGGTTTCTGTCCACCCTAAGTTGCAGCCTGAGCCGGAACACATGGATCCTCCTGTGCACGCGGCTTCCATTTTGCTAAATGGCAACCCTGCACCCTTTGGTCCCGAGCAGGATGAGCCGGAGAAGCTTGATTTGAACGATGCCGCTCAATCCGAGGTGGACCAGTCCGCTACGTTCTTTGATCCCAAGAACCAAACTGCCGCGGCCATGCGTGAGCAGTGTGCTATGGATACTTTGGACGAGCTGCTGGACTACCTTCTCGATGGAGGCGGCGCTGTCGGCATTCTCGATGCCACAAACAGCACTATCGAGCGAAGAAAGAACATCACCAACCGCATCAAGCAGAGGGAGCCTAAGCTGGGTATTCTTTTCATTGAGAGTATCTGTCAAGATCCTACTCTTCTGGAGGCGAACATGCGGCTGAAGCTGTCTGGTCCTGACTATCGTGACAAGGACCCTCAGAAGTCACTGGAAGATTTTAAGAAGCGAGTCGCCGCATACGAGAGTGCGTACGTTCCTCTTGGTGAATACGAGGAAAAGCACGACTTGCAATACATCCAGGTTTGTGGAATTCGCAATGATTTTGACCATCAGTAGCTGACCAAAGTGTAGATGATTGATGTCGGCCGAAAACTGATCCAGCACCGTCTCAAGGGTTTCCTCAGCAGTGGTATTAGCACTTACCTCGCTAGCTTCAATCTTGCCCCTCGACAGATCTGGATTACCCGACATGGCCAGAGTGTCGACAACGAGCTTGGACGATTGGGTGGAAACTCACCACTTACGGAGCGCGGCCATTGCTACGGCCAAGCTCTTCACAACTTCATCACATACCAGCGCAAGCACTGGCTTATTGAGCAGAAAAGCAAGAAAGCTCAGGCTACTTTCCCTCCTGTGCCCGGTGACAACACACCTCCCTACCCTGAAATGTATCGGGAGATTGAGGACAAGAACTTTTGTGTCTGGACTTCGATGCTCGATCGTAGCGTGGACACAGCTGAGTACTTCGAGGCCGACGATGATTACGATGTCAAGAACTGGGAAATGCTCAACGAAATGAACGCGGGCCAGTTCGAGGGTATGACATATGCGGAAATCGCACAGAAGGAGCCCGAGGAATTCTCCAAGCGAGCGCACGACAAGCTCAACTACATCTATCCTGGAGTTGGCGGTGAAGGCTATCTGCAGGTCGTGAGCCGTCTGCGCGACATGGTTCGGGAGGTTGAGCGTATTGAAGACCATCTTCTTATCATTGGACATCGCTCTGTTTGTAGAGTACTGATGGCCTATTTCATGGACTTATCCCTGGCGGACATCACAGACATGGACATTCCCCTTGGCATGCTCTACTCTATTGAGCCCAAGCCTTACGGCCTTGACTTCCATGCTTACCGATACAATGAAGATCAGGGCTGGTTTGACGAGCTCCCCAACTACAAACCTACAAAGACGGCTCGTAACAGCATCATCAAGCCACAGCATTAATCGCTTCCGGCCGTTTGCCGATTTCAACCGGCTTGTACAACATATTTACTCTAACTACTACGATTTGACATTTCCTTCATGGATCTTTTTCTTTTGGCGTTATAGCGGGGATATGATATTATACGAATGACGCGCCAAAAGAGGGACTATCCACACTATCAATGGAACGGAATGGCATCATACACAAAACAACAAAGGAAGGGCTGGCGTTTTCCGTTCGATTGATAAAGGGAGATACCTCCGATGTTGCGACGCAATTATTTGCATCGGTTATTTCAATTAGGCGTTCAGGGGGTTAGGATTCTTCTCATATTAAATGATTGAGACTGTATGGATTTGGGCGGTTCTGGTCGAGTCATGTACCAGCTTATGTTTGGAAGTTGTCGGTCTCGACCTACGGTGTTACGTGTTGTGTTTTATCCCTATTGTCTCCTTGCCGCGGGCGATGAAGGAATGAAGAGAGATTAGATGGGGATTTGGAATGTGATGGATAGATACACAGCACGACGCTCACGCCGACGGATATGCCGCTCATGGGAAACTTGAAGTTTTGAGTGCTTGTTCGAAAGGGATCTTTTACTGTCTAGATCTGATAGTTATAAGAATTTACGTTTCTATATATATATCTTCCTTCAGTCTGTTGCCTATCTGATGTCCTGCTTGAATCAAGTTAATATCTCATGTTCCGAAGGGCCGTAATCTTGCACTGAGGTTTGGTCTATGAATCACGAATGGTATATTCTTTAAGAAAGTCATCTAGATTACCCATAAATAGACGACCCGAACGCCTTGCAATGCCCTTCCATGCCTTTGTAATCCCACTAAACTTTTCTCATTGCTGCAACTGTGAGGCTTGTTGCACTTCCCTCACTTCTCTCTCGCCAGAATCATCTTTTCTCTCTCTCCCCTGCGTCTCTCGAATTGCTTCTTAGTATGACGACGCTCATTCTCCTCACGGCGCTTAATGCTCTTGAGCTCCTCAGCCTTAATCTCACCGGCCTTCTTGAGGACCTTGGGCACATGACGGTGACGGTGAATGCGGCGAACTTCAGGCATGTGCTGGTAACGCTCGATAAGAGCTTCGTTGTACTCCAGGGCCTGTCGTTGACGAGCAGACTTGACACCTTCACGGCGTGAGGCGTTGGCGCGCCAGAGTCGAACGTTACCATCGTCGGATCCAGAGAGAATGTAGCGCGCGTCAGGGGTCCAGCGAGCTGCTGTGACACGCTGCATGCGCTTGGTGTGGTAGATATCTCGTGAGTGGCCGCGGTCTCGGTTCCAGAGACGAACAGTTCGGTCCCAAGATGCGGATACAAGCTCTTCACCAGTAGGAGACCACTCGACATCCATGACGGCGGCGACGTGGTCCTTGAGAACGTTGAGAGCACGGTCAAATTTGCGCATGTCGAAGATGTAGATGTTATGATCTTCAGAAGCAGCAGCCAAGTTGAAAGCTTCCATAGGGGACCAAGACAGGCGGTTACTGGCGAACTTGAGGACGGTCTTTGTGACGGGTGTAGATGTGCGGAGGTCGTAGATGACGATGGAGCGGTCGTTGGAGCATGATCCCAAGATTGAAGTCTCGACGTAGTTGAAGGCAACGTCGGTGATGGTGTCGACAGACGTAGGCCACTTGAGGATCTCAGGTGCAGCGGTGTGTCGCTCGAGGTCGTAGATGTTGATCACACTTGAAGCAGCAGCAAACGAGTTCTTGGAGCGATGGTGCGACAAGCTGGTAAAAGCACCATTTCCGAGCCACGAAGATATAGGAGCCGCATCGCTAGGTGTGTTATAAGGGTCAAACAACTTGATCGTTCTATCGGCCGCACAGGTCAAGAGCTTCTGATCGCGAGTCCATTCTAGACCCTTGACGATATTCTCATGTGCTGTCGCATGCCATATCTCATCCCTATCGGCTAGGTCCCAAACCTTGACAACACCGTCACCACTACCACTTGCAAAGTGCTCAAGAGAGTTGGGATCCTTGGCTATTGAGTAGACACCGTCAACATGACCTCGTCCTAGCTGGCCTACGAAAGGCTGCGCATGCATCCGCTCGAGCTTGACGGCATTGAGGGCTCGCTGGTACTCGCGTGCGCGCTCGAAAGGATGGAGGGCAGAATCGAGGTTTCGTGGTTGCTTTGTGACATCTGAGCCGGCTGCTTGTTGAGCCGATACGGAGCGGCTGAGGGCCTTGATCTTCATATCGAATGGCCCTGTAAAGTTGAATTTATTGACTGTAGCTGTTCTTGAGGCTGGTAACTTTGGCGGGGACTGAATCAATGGATATTTTTTTCTGTTATCGCTGAAGCACCCTTGTCAATACGGGCGATAAGGCGGGATTACTATGTTCCGGGCCCGAGCCAGGTACACCAGCAGATCGCATATGCACGTCTAAAGTCAGGGCCTCAGTTCGCATTGATGCGAAAACTCACACTCTCTATTCCATTTACACCTTCACCTTTTGATCCCCGCAGTCTGGAATCCTTTTTCCTTCCCGCACGTCAACCTTACAATATCGGTTTTTGCTATTCGCGATATTGCGCCTCCTTTGCTAGTTGATTCTTTCAGGCGCGCGACGCTTGCAAATATGGACGGAATGGATTATGACCCGATGGTGATGGATGGGGAACCAGAGCAGCCCCAAGTGAAGATCTCTGCGGTATGAGAAGGCTCCCGAACCTTTTTTTTTTTTTCTTTCGGGGGACACTCAACTGATGTGATTTGATGCGACTCAGGCCGATCATACCCATGTTGATTTCGAGCTATCGAAGACGAATCTTGCCTTCGCCAATGCCGTGCGGCGAATTATCCAGGCAGAAGTGCCCACAATCGCCATCGACCTGGTCGAGATCGAGACCAACAGCTCCGTGCTGGCCGACGAGTTCATCGCCCACCGCCTGGGTCTTATTCCTCTCGACTCAAAAGGAGTTGACGAGCTCAACTACTCACGAGACTGCGACTGCGAGCAGTACTGCGAACAATGCAGTGTCACTCTGACACTGCACGCGAAGTGCACGTCGGACGAGATTATGAAGGTGTATGCGCGGGATTTGGTGGTGGATGGACGTCATATGAATGGAGTGGGAAGCCCTGTGATCACAGATCCAGAGGGTTACGGCTGCTTGATCGCGAAGCTGCGCAAGGGCCAAGAGTTGAAGATTAGCTGCATTGCTAAGAAGGGAATCGCAAAGGAGCACGCCAAGTGGATGCCTACATCTGCGGTCGGCTTTGAGTATGATCCTCATAACAAGCTGCACCACATTGACTGGTGGTTTGAGAACGACACAGACCCTGCTGTTGAATGGTGAGTTTCACGGACAAGGTTCGAGGCTATGGCTAACGTAGTACTTCAGGCCCAAGAGCAAATATGCTGAATGGGAAGAGCCTCCTCAAGAAGGCGAACCCTTTGACTACGATGCAGTTCCAAACAGGTTCTACTTCGAGGTTGAAACATCAGGGAGCATGGAACCTGATCAAATCGTGCAAAACGGTATCAGAGTATTGCAGCAAAAGATCGGTGGTCTTCTAAAGGGCCTGGACCCTAGGAAGTATGGCGGTGACGAAGCTGATTTCGATGGTCCTCGAAGTCCTGATATGAACATGGACGGCGGTACCACACCTTGGCAGGATGGAGGGTACACTACGCCTTACGGTGGTGGTGGTGGCGGCCAGACGGCGTACGGAGGCGGCATGACAGCCTACGGAACAACACCGTACGGAGGATCTTCTTGGCAGTAAGGGACAGAGGCGTTTGATGGGTTAGGCAATTCGTAATCAAGAAAGGTTTGGAGGTATAAACAGGAGGTGATCTGGAAACTAGTAACAGTCTCGAAAAAACAGCATAGCACGGTCTTAGAATGGGATCTTTTTTCAGGAGACAAATCATGGTACGACGTATACATTTTAGTGCTTTGAACAACAATGCTAACTTCTATACCCGCCCCTATCCTCCTCTATGTTGAGTAAGTTTTACAAAACAGGTTCTCCCAAACAAGAAGCTCATATAAGAGATTTTGAATAACAAAGCAGTAACGCCAACAGAATGATCACCGCTCTTGAGTGACGAAACGACAAAACGACAACGCCAAAACATGCCCTTCTTCCTGGTCTATCATGTCATGTCAAGTCTACAGGTTAGTGTCCAAGCCCTTTACCTTGCGGTAGGCCTTTCGGTGCATCTCTAGGAAGACAAATGTACAAATAGTTTGTCTGCGAAAGCGTTAGTTGGGAATTGACGTAGAGAAAGGAGGTACGTACGGTCCGAGTCGGAGGAAGCTGGGAACCCAGCCCTTGAACATCCACATTAGACCGTCAGTTCGGTGAATGTCGCGAATGAGATGCAGGATGTTGTGATCATACGCGGAAGACATAACACGAGTCTTGATAACGTCGATGGGGCTTGTTACAGTAGCAGCTACCAAACCAGCGATGAACGAAGAAGTAAAGTGAGTCTTGAGGTTATCCTCCATGGGCGTATACTGAAGAAGCAGACTCTTTGAGACATCGTAACTGGCAAGCTGGCCAGCAGTCATGAACATGGCACGTCCGCTGTTGGGCAACCAACCACGGAACATGCTCTTGGGCCCTTCCTCACGCGCCATACGAACCATGCCGTCAAAAGCATGGCGGTAGTTTCGACGCTCAGCAGGAGGGAGCGCAGCATCATGTTGCATACGCACGTTGAGAACATCTGCAAAGTTTCCAGCAATACCTCCTATGAAACCAGATCCAGCGGCTAGAGCAACGAGTGTTACAAAGGATGGATCGCGACCTTCGTTACGGCGTGTAAGACGTGTCTTGACCTCTTCGTAGACGCCGAATCGCACAGTTGAATATGTCATCTGGCGTAGTAGGGAGGCGGATATACCGCTGTAAAGACCGAGGGGACCATCGTGACGAAGAATGTGGACGAATGTGCCGACCATGTTCTTAGGCGCATTGCCTGTGCGCATTTGAAGACGAACCTAGAAGAGTGTAAGAGTTGTTATACTGTTACGAGAAGTTGTGAATAGTTACCTTGACTGTTCAATGTTAGCTGGATTTCGTCATGTTTCGAGATCGCAAAACATACCAAGATCCAGAGGATGTGTAACGCAAGCTGCCATGCTACTGGCACTTCCGCCAAACCAAAAAGGATATCTTATCGTCGTCTTCTTCGCATCAGCCGTCGCCTTTCCCGCCTTTACAGGCGCCGTCTCGGTCGTTTTGCTCATTGCTCCCTGAGTGGTGGCCATGACGTGCGTTGGTTTTTTAGTTTCACAAGCCAAAGCAAGAGTGGGAAAAAAGACGAGTTTAGCTTAGACTATCTAAAGTTAAGCTGCTCAATGTCGATCAACTGAAGAGTCCATAACTTGACTTGTCTCGCAAGTTAAGTCAAGTTGAGATAAGAAGTGGATGATGTGGGAAGGGAAAAAAAAAAAAAAGAAAAAGGTCGGTTAGTTATGATTACTACGATAGCAAGGGTTCGCTTTTTTAAGTGCATGAGCCTCAGCTGTTACTACCGACATCACGGAAAGTTGTCAATTGGCCCGGTGTTTAGCTACTGTAACCGGACAATCGGAGCGGGATCGGCTGTCAAGTCGCCGAAGCGAAGCAAGGATAGCGCTAGATTAATGCTATGCGAGGCCGTTGGAGAAGAGCTGAAGTTGAAGTTTGATTGTGAGTGAATTGGATTGGTTATATCCGGAGGAGCTGTAAGGCCGAACGCCGAACTTTTCTGCAGTTTTGGTGATACAACCAACCAATCGTGGAACCACCTCGGCGTTTGAATATTCAATTTACGATAAATCAATCAGCCATTGGCGTCTATTGCGTGGCCCGTTCGGCCTGTAATGTAATTGTCGAGCTTCACAAGTCTTCAGAATGAGACTCTACGTCCAGGGCATGCGATGCCTGAGGGCTTCTGCCCCGCGAGCTGCCCATCTTTCCCGGAGCTCTATTCTCCTACGGACAGCTTGCGCCGTGAGGACTTACTCGTCGGGTCGGTCTAGTTCCAGTCAATTCCTTGCATGGACGTCTCGCTGACTGGTTCGGCCTTGTTGCAGCACCCCCGACGGGATCTCCAGGCTCCGTGACTATCCGCGACCAGATCATCAAGACCGATCCTCAATGGTTCAATGTACCCGATAATGTCCTCGATGCCACTACAAGGAAACTTCACCTATTGAAAGACCACCCTGTGTCTATCACCCGCCAGATTATCCAGGCCAATTTTCCTGAGCCGACCTTTAAGTATCACAATGAGTTCAGCCCTGTGGTATCGACAGCTCAGAACTTCGATTCGTTAGGATTTCCTGCGAACCATCCTGGACGTGCACTATCCGACACATACTATCTGAACAGCGAGACACTTCTGCGGACACATACGAGTGCTCACCAGGCCGACACCTTCCGAGCTAACCAGAGCGCGGGGTACCTAGTTTCTGCGGATGTATACAGACGAGATGCCATTGACCGAAGCCACTATCCTGTATTCCATCAGATGGAGGGTGCAATGTCATGGGATCGTACTAAAGTTCCCAATGGCGATGTTGCTGCTGCGGTATGGAAGGACTTTGAGAAGCTACCCGTTCACGGGGTCAAGGTCGATGACCCGAACCCTCCTATGCATCCTGAGACAAACCCTCTTCAAGATGCCCATCATACAGCCGCTGAGGCCGAGGCCATCGGTGCGCATCTCAAGAGGTCATTAGAAAACATGGTTGTCGATATCTTCTCCCGGGCCAAGGCTGCTGCGATTAAGGATGACCCTAACTTTGTGGATGAGCCTTTGCAAATGCGATGGGTAGAAGCTTACTTCCCCTTCACCAGCCCCTCATGGGAGCTGGAGGTCTACTACGCCGGCGACTGGCTCGAGGTTCTGGGCTGTGGTGTAGTCAAGCAGGATATCTACATCAACGCTGGTGTACCCAACCAACTGGGTTGGGCTTTTGGCATTGGCATCGACCGCATTGCTATGCTCCTCTTCAAGATCCCCGACATTCGCCTCTTCTGGTCAAAAGACAAGCGCTTCCTATCTCAATTCGAAGGCGTGACCGATAATCTCGACAGCCTCAAGCGCTTCGTACCCTTCTCCAAGTATCCTCCCTGCCCCAAGGACGTGTCCTTCTGGCTTAGCTCCACGACAGCAGCAGGTGGCAACACCAAGGGCACATTCCACGAGAACGACGTTATGGAGATTGTCCGTAACGTGGCGGGTGACGTGGTCGAGGATGTGCGCCTGATCGACGAGTTCACACATCCCAAGACGGGCCGCAAGAGCATGGCGTATCGCATTGTCTACCGCAGCTTGGAGCGGACTCTGACTAACGATGAGGCTATTGCTTTCCATGAGGATGTGCGCAAAGCTTTGGTTAAGGATCTGGGCGTTGAGCTTCGATAGACTGGGCTAGAGCTAGGGTAGCTGAGCTGAAATAAACGTGTGGAGAAGCTGGAGCTTATGGGCCCAGCTCGACATGGCAGCTTGGACCCTTGATTGCCTTGAGCTAGTTGTGAGACTGTATAATCTGTAAACTAGTCGCATCTGTATAGTATCCTCTGTATGAATCAATGAAAAGCCCAATGCTCAAGGGCTGAGCTCTCCTCTGACGTAATCAAACCGTACTATCACGAGCCCAGCTGCTGCGCCATAGTAAAATCACGGGCTTCATTTCCATAAGCCAAGCCACGAATCAAGCGTGGTAATTGCAAATTGCAGGATTCATGAATGGCTTTGCTCGAGTGACGTTATTGTTGATCTGAGCCACGTCTGGTCCGGGCTCTTGGTTCCTTGCATAGATGAGCTGAACTGAGCTGCCTCCCAGCGGGGCGGTATCGAGAACAGGGATGAGGCGGGTGGCTTGTGCGTTGTGGCGTTGCTGGTTTCGGAGGGAGAGATTTGGCTGGGAGGCCGACGAGTTATTGGATTCCTCGGTGTTGGATAGATGAAAGTATCACTAGGTATTGGTATTGATTCTAGATTCGAGCTCGAGGCTTTCACTTGGACTCTGGTCAAGTCTAATTCACGCGAGATATCTGATTCGATCATCTAGCCTTAGATGAGCAACCTTGGTTCGTAAATCGAGGTCCCAAAATCCCATGGATATCCTCACATAACCGCCTCGTTATCTTGATTGCAGAATATCGCAACAACTTGAATTGTCGATCAATTGATCTTTTGAAAGTCACCTCAATCCTCGCCTAAAGTCCTTTGCAGTCCCAATGTCTTGACTTCCAGATCGGGAAGGTATAGGACGACTTTTCCACTCTAGTTGGTGTTGAGATAACTGCCCGTTTGAATATCCCTGCAAGGATTTCGAATTTGTATGTCACTGGGTAAAGCAGGGGACAATTGTAAAGCTTGGCAAAATTGAGGAGTTGTTTGTGTAGAGACATCAATATGCTGGCATATTCTGAACTAATGTTGGCTTGAGGCGCATGGGTTTAGTTGATCAGAGACAGTGATCGAGAGCAGCATTGAATCGGATCTCGTGACTGAACCATGAGACAAGCTGCCTCTTTCTCTCGTATCGGAATGTAGACATTGCAAGAGTTGGCAAAAGTGACGACATTGACGATAGTCTCAGCAAGACTTGGCCAAGGCCTCACCCACGAAACGAAGCCCCGCTCGGCATAGAGAGCTCCATATCCCGAGGCCATGCCTTGAATATGGGGTTAAGTTAGACAATGCCGTCGGTTTCGGGACGACCCCAGCCTAGTCAAGAGGGCGGAGGTTTACCGCAATCTCGCCAAAAGATATAGCCACAAGACCAAAGCTGGAGGCAGTACAGAATATTGATCCTAGGACATGTTCTAGGCTTTGCTGTATGGCCTTAGGATTACACTTGAGGATCTCATCGTGTTCGGGAGTCTCGGACGAAAGAGGAATGAGCTCGCCCGAAAATTGGGATTCTAATTGTTGTTTCTCCTCTTGCACAGCCCCCTTGGCCTTTGATGTTTTGAGAAGTGTCATTGGGTGATTAAGAGCTGTGACTGGCTGCACCTGATGTGCCGTGGGGGATTCGCGTTTAGATAGGGAGCCTTGTTAACAGTCCAGTCGATATCTAAGAACATTTGGGTATTGCAAACTCATTACGAATAGGAAAAGACGCCTTTGAATGGACATATTCTTCTCGAAGTACACCTTATTCACAGTAAATATTAAGCTTGTGTTGTACAATCTCTTGTAACACCTGTTTATGGCAAAAGTCTATCGAGGTTGAATGTCCGGGGTCAAAATGCAACACATTGCAGTAGCGCCATGCAGGTTTCCAGGGGGTGGGTGTGTCAAATTCATGGTTGGATCGATTCATGAGCGGTAAAACATGAGATGGCTTGGATGGAGTTTGAAGATGGCATTTCGAGACATAAGATCAGACAAGTCAACCTTTGGTACGAGGGCTGTGATAGATTAACACGACAACTCATCAGTTCAGTAAAACATTATTTTTATCTTTTCCAAGATCAAAGTATAATTCGAGGAATTATAGACTTCCTATTCTAAAAGCATATCTGAGATACCTTGAACAGTAGCCAACTTGGCCAACCAGGTTCTGTTTGATAGTCATGAGTCTCTAGTCCTACGGACTATCATTAGTCGAGACGGGGCAAGACATGACAGTAACTTTTTCTATGGAGACAAACATGAGTCGAGATGGCATTGGCATTTCTTAACACAGCCCTCACAGATCTCCTCAACAGAAAAAAAGATACAAGGGCCTTCCTCGTTTTGACTGATCGCAGGAGAAAAAAAAAAGCTTAACGTTCTGGCCCGGACCAAGTGGAATCGCCATCGCCAAAGCCGTCAAGGCCTCACTGGCCCAAAAGAGGCAAAATACTGGGACCTTGCAGTGCACAGCCCCCAAACTCCATGAACAACACCCCCTGTGAGTCCGCTAGCCCTGTTCTGTACGTGCCCTGGCCACTGGACAAGAGCGAGCAGCGAGTTCCCCAGCCGCCGGGAGGCTTAGTTGACATGTCGTCGTGTTCCTGAGGCGGGAGGCGGCGCTTCCATTGGAAAGTGGGAAAACCATAGAAATATAATAGCCACCGACCTTCGCACTTTTTGTCTTATTCATTCAACTCAACTCAAACACTCAGAAACATTCAAGAGAAACGATATTCCAATACTCGATTCAAACATCAACAGATCGACAGGAACACCCGGCAGATCTTGCACTATTTACATCTCCATCTCTATCCAACATCATCCAGAGCCAGTTATCATAACTGCTCTTCAACCTCACCTCTACATCTAAATTCACAACAACCACATTCAAAATGGAGACCTCACCGCAACACTCGCGATCTTCCTCCTCCGCCTCGCGCCGCTCAAACCTCACTCTCGACCTTTCTAATATCCCACCCATGACCCCGCCTACGCCTCCTTCAAACACCCTCCTCTTCACCAACCTCACCGACCCGGCCATCTTCCTCCCCGAGAACCTCCAAGTCATCCGCGACCTCATCACCCATTCCGCACCTATCCACGCTTTCGCGCCGCTGAAATCCTTCCGCCGTATTGTCGTCTCCTTCTTCGACGAGCAGGCTGCTATTGCCGTTCGCCAAGTATGGGATAACGAGGCTATCATGGGTCAGCAATGCCGTGTCTACTTTGGCATGCCTACACCTGTTGATAAGCGCGATGAGCACCTTGCGCTTCCTGATGCTGGCAAGCTCTTCTTCATCTCACCGCCACCTAGCCCTCCCCATGGCTGGGAGATGCGCCTCGAGGATGCGCCCAACAAGCTGGTCCACGCTGAGGATCTCGCTGATGCGCTTGCTAAGCTGCACCACCGGCCTGGACCTATGGATGAGGACCAAGACTCACCTGTCACTCCTCCCGACTCTGCACTGCCTGGCCGAACACGCTCGCGCTCCTCTACACTCATCTACAAGCCTGAGGATTCGAAAAGCACCATGCCTGCTGTCATCGTCGACGACATGACGGATGAGCCCGAGGAAGTCAGCCCTGTGGAGCAGTCCAAGCCGATCTTGGCACACACTGCCCGGCCTCCTGTCGAGCTCATGCACCATGCTTAAGCTAGTCGCAGTCGAACACCTTCAATTATATTGTGATTTACTCTGGCGTTAAGGGTACTGATAACGGTAACTGGGGATCGGTGATGGTACGATCGAGCGGTCTGTCTACCTAGGTTTACAATGGAGCATTACATCCTCTTCAGCATGTGTTGTAGGAGTTGGTAAAATATGTCTTTTGGGGTTACTATCACGGAAATGGCGGTAAATGTGCCACACATTGTTGGCTTTTACCTACTGGCGCAACTGTATAAAATAGCTAGTGGCTTAATACCAGTTCTGAAATCAGAATGATACTACACATATTGTTTCCAACCTCGCCCAAATGATTTGATTTATTGACAACCTTTTCCAGCAAGTGATCAAAACACAATACTAATCAGCCCAGACGAGGCTTTGCTGCGCCAAGACAGCCGAGAGTAAATGGCGCGGTATATTCGATACGCCCACGAATCTGACGAGGCTCACCGCCGTAATAGCTCCAACAATCGTGCCGACTAAGAGCACTGCCCTTCTCGAGATGGTCATACTCTTGGAGAAGTCCGCTGACGTTGCCCTTTCTGCCTCAAGGTCCTTGCGCACGCCTAGTTCAGTGAGCATACCGAGGCGCGGGAGATACTGGAACTCAAAAGTGCTCGATTCACCGAGACCGCCCGCTTTATGATTGTGGATCATGAAATACGCAAAGTTTTTGAATCTCTGTTACACGGCGTCAGCCACAAGGTTCTCGGGTTCGTATTACCGTGGAGATAGGGGGGAGTAATGAATACGTACTTGTTCTTGTCGCTTCTGCATGTGGGCTGACATCCAGGGGTAACTATAACTTATGAAAAAGAGAATAGTACACTGCATCCATACGACAAGTCGGGATCGAAAGTCTGGCTTTTCGATACCGAGTGCGCTGGCGAATTCATCGCCATTGAGCCTATATGCGTGGGCAGCGAGTACCTCGCGTGGCATGTTTAGTGGTGGAGCTCGAGCTTCTGCTGTGAGAATATTGTTTGCGAGGATCTGAGAGCTCGCTGATGGAGCTACTTCGGATACTGCTATGGACTCCAACATGGCTTTGGCTTGTTGTGGTGTAGCCATCCAGTCAACAGGCGTTCCAAGCAAATATCCAACATAACGCCACAAAGCGAGATAGTCTGCAGTTTGTTGCTCCGATAAGTAGATACCCTGACGAGGAAGAGCCATATAGACAATAGCAGCAGAGTACGCTGAGATAGTGGCGATGGTATGTAAGTCGTTGATAGGAACTCCCCATTTCTCCATATCGAAGTATCCTGGGTTTTGATGCTCCAGTTGCATAAGTCGTCTTCGAACTGAAGCGTGTAAGAGACGTACTCGTACTGAAGAGACGTAGCCTTTTCCTCCAGGTTTTATTGCATCGAGATCGTCAACGACTTCCATAAAATGCTGGAGTGTTTCCAGAAGACGTCGCCTAGTGACATTGATGCCAAAACCACCGGTTCGAGAAAGAGTCTCAACAATACGATACGCCCCCATTCCGCCCAATAATGACTTATACATGAGCTTGTAGACCGTCAATAAATCTGCTTCTTCATAGAGGTTTTGTGACTTACGCCGAAGAGAATCTGTCCACTGAACTGATACACGACCCGTTGTCCACGCTGAATCTGCTCCCAATCAACCCATTCAGGGACCGTAGAGACTTCTTCCCATAACTGACCCAATATTTCATCTGAGTTGGCATGTTTCTTAAGTAGTTCGTAAATGTCTTTCTGGCCCGGGCCAGAACCATGAGGACACTTCCATTCCTTTGTCGTAGGTGGAGAGATAAGGTCTAAGCGATCGAGAGCATCTGTGGCTAACTTGTCGTATGAATAGAGGTAGTGGTCAAGTTCTTGAGTGGTCTTATGGCCCGAGGTCCAGTTGAATCTATGACCACCAATGATTCTGGTGTCGTTGAAGTAAGATGGGTAGCAGTAATCCATGGTCAGATGTGGCATGGATCATAAACTAGGAGTGAAGAATATACTCAGTTGAATCACAAGCTCACAAGGTAGGAGATGGCAATGACTCTCAGTCCCGAACGAAATTGAGCTTTTGACTTGACGGACCACGACTCATGATACTTTGGAAAGGCCTCTACGGTACTCCTGCACAAGCTCCGGTTTTGTCATTGCGGATATATAGCATTAAAATACCACTGGAGTTCTTCCATGACGAGGACGATATACCCAATAGTAGCACATGACAAGAGATAGTTTCTGCCACATCAACCTACACTCCATCTCATATTGAACGACAGCGGCGCTAAGGATGATCGGCTAGGCTTTTACTTCAACGGACATGTTGTTGGCACGTTAGAGAGAACAAAGAAGCCCAATGATATGCAAAAAACAAGCAAAATGGGTAAAATGGGAGCGGGGAACAACACATACACACACATGTCTTATCGGAGATGCGTCTATAACGGATCAAAGACACATGCTAGCTTCACCTTACCCGGAAGAAGCTCCGGTCCCCATCATGTTCCATCGTTATTGATGATGAGCGATATATCGTAATGGCATTGCCTCGATATTAACAGTCATAGCTACTTCAGCAAAGTCAAGGCTTCATCAAGTCTGAAGTGGGCACGAGACTAATGAAGTTGATATTGAAGCTAAGTTCCTGGGCGTTCGATGCACGATCAAAGACACTAGAGGTTCGCCTCTTCGTCATCCCGTTACTTAGCAAGTTAGACAGATTCTTGTGTAGCCAATGGCGGATGCCATTGATATACTCGAGGAAGTGTAATGGTTGAATGCATGGATGGGGCATGTTTGACAGCGTGGCTCGAGCAACGGTATTCATTATCCGACTTTGTATCGACACGAGCAAACGAAAGTATCTCGACTTGAAAGATGCATACAACAACGCATCATACAGTGAGAAGTGACTCCGAAGATGAAGTGGCGAGACTTTATGCAACACACCAACACAACGAATGGAGGATGGGCTCCTTTTTAGCGTCCCTGGAATGGAATTCGAGTCGTGAGGGGGGATCAATGACAACGACATCTCAATGTTGGTTTGGGTAGTATTGCAGAATAGTTAGCATGCATGTGATACAGCATCGGGTTCTTTGATAAACCCGATAGTGAAAACTATGGGATTTCGCAGGAAACGAAGGAAGATCTGCAACGTATCATATGACTTATAGCTGAAGGAGAAAGTAACGAGGAGGCAATCTTGAGCATGATACCAAGCAAGCAGCCAGGAAAAAGGGGATAATAGGGTGTATGTCATTCCAACCTATTGCTAGAAAAGATTAATGCGCTTCTTAGTACAAAGAAGCTGAGAAACTCATATGATGCCTCTTATAAACAAAGTTGATGCAGCATTGCATTGAAGCTTGGCGTGGTGTTAGTAGAACACTTCATTCTCTTGCGGGTGTAGAAGAATCGAACTACATTGTTTTCAATCATTGGTGATCGTGAGGTGGGTGTCAAAAGGGTTTTTAGATGATATCTCCGAACTTCAATGCCAACATTGTAGGCGTATTCTGAAATCATGAAACAATCATGTTGCAAGAGGGAGGTTTGGAGTCACGGGGCAATGTAAATCCGTCGCACCAAATCGAGTCAAGCCCGTAACCCTCGGCCCCACTTCCGGACCCTTGCTCCCATCATGAAGCCTCTTTGCGTTGGCCAAATTTGGTTCACTTTTTCTCGTCACTCTTCGGATCGCACTCGCCGATCCAACTTATCATGATGAGCTGCACATGTCGAGCCACGCCCCTGAAAATATTCGTACAAGGCCTATCTCAAGTTCACAAAGTCGACGCATCGCCTTCCCTTCTCCGTCTTCCGATTCGCACTCGACCATCGTTGTACCAGAATAATTTTACCTTGGCGCGACAGGCCCGATCTTTGCATTTTTCAAAGGCTCTACAAGATGCTTCCGGAGCAGCCGCAAGAGATGACGACCCCTTCTCCCATATTCGATCGGAAGATGAAAATCGCTCTGTGAAAAACGACGACCCTTTCGCCACAGACGACAATTCAGAGTCGATACCCTGGAAAGCACAACCAGGCACCAATAATGAGGCTCAAAAGCCTCGGAGGAGGAGGAGAGAAAAGCCAGAAGATTTCACGACCTTGAATTACCGCCGAAACCAGAGCGTGAGACAGCAACTAGAAGACGATAACGAGGCAAACGAGTTCAATGGCAATCCCAACCAACGAATGAAGGGTCCCTCTTCGTTACAACCACAACCAAAAGAGAATTACTGGAAAATCCAAAAGGCGGCTCTGAAAGAGAAGTTCCCAGAAGGTTGGCGTCCTCGAAAGCGTCTTTCGCCCGATGCTCTGGCTGGTATCCGCGCTCTCAACGCCCAGTTTCCCGAGGTCTACACTACCGAAGCGCTATCGAACAAATTCGAAGTATCACCCGAGGCTATTCGTCGTATTCTGAGGAGCAAATGGCAGGCTAATCCCGAGGAGGAGGAGAAGCGGAATGCGCGATGGTTACGCCGTGGAAAGGATGTCTGGGAGCAGAAGGCTGCGCTGGGCATTAAGCCGCCGCAGAAGTGGCGACGTGAGGGTATCACTCGAGATCCTAGCTACCACGATTGGAAGAAAGAGGCGGTTGAGCGGAACCGTGAGAGAGAGGCGCGGGATGATATGGAGATCAGGGGTGATTATACCCCTCGTTCTCGTACTTATACTCCTCGATCTGAGGGTTATACGCCTCGGTCAGCTCCTCGATCCGAAGGTTATAGTCCGAGGCCTCGTACTCCTCGATCTGGGGAGTATCCTCCACGGTCAGTTTCTCGATCCGACGATCATACTGCTCAATCAATTCCTCGAAATGGACGAGGAAGAACTTAGAAAATGGCGAATGTACGATGGTATGATGGGGATTTGCATATAGACCGGCGCTGGTGTATTGTACTATAGTTGTAAACTTACTCTACTATTGAAATGAATTATGCATGTTGGAAATGTATATCATGATGCAGTTTTACAGGGTCCCGGAAGAAATTAATGGTGTATAAACAATCAGTATAAAATCTGATCATATAAACAACGTATCAGGAGTGTTTCTACCAATGAATTGGTTCATCACATTTTGTTGAATTTGCTCCTTGCCAATGGAGGTTCTCGTTTAAGAGCCTCTGCGAGGTGGGCTCATGGCGACAGGGGTAAAGTGTTTTGTAGCAAGCTGGGCGCTTAAGTTAGAGATGAGTTTCACTGCCACATGCTAACGTTTATCGAGTCTTGGCTAACTTCACCACTTTCTGGCCTTTTCGGCCTTTTCGTTTCTCTCATAAAAGGTTCATCTTGAACTCTACACTCATCCAATCCCTTCACAGATATACAATACCTCACCTAATTCTTACTTGTGTATCACACTCATTTCTCATACATCATGCCTACTCAGTACCCGCGGCCTCCGCAGCGAGAATCGTGGTTTGCGCCACTCTCCATCGACCTCTTCCTCAAGGTCCTCAACACAACTCTTCTTCACCCCTTCGTCTGCTGGATTATACCGCTATGCTTCCGCGCGCAGACAGTAAAATGGGAGGCTCCGCCTATGGTAGCCTCAATTGCTTGGGCTACCGTCGTGACGCTATTCTGGATGGCCAACGTGGTTAACCAGCGCATCGCTCACGGGATCCCTCGTGAGGTTGATCTCAGTGAGGAGGTTATTGTTATTACTGGAGGTGCGAGTGGGATGGGTCTGCTCGTTGCTGAGGTTTATGGCATGCGCGGCGCGACGGTGGCTGTGCTAGATGTGAATGAGATGGAGAATACTGAGGCGAGAGGCGTTACGTACTACAAGTGTGATGTTGGCGACAAGGATCAGGTCACAAAGGTTGCGCTTGAGATTGAGAAGGATGTAAGTTTTGAGCTTTTGAGACTATCAGATTCGTTGCTAATGAAAGACCAGCTCGGCACACCAACTGTGCTCATCAACAATGCGGCTATTGTTATTGGGAAGACTCTCTTGGATCTGTCGCTTGATGAGATTGACAAGAGTCTTACAACTAACCTTCTCGGGCCATTCTACTGCCTCAAAACCTTCTTACCTGCTATCATTCGCGGTGGAAGAGGCGGTACCATCGTCAACGTCTCCTCTGTCATTGGTACGGTTGGGGCCGCGCAGCTGACCGACTACGCTGCTGCAAAGGCTGGTCTCACAGCCATGCACCGTTCTCTGACAGCCGAACTACGTGAGAGCCATCCTGAGATCCGAACAGTGTTGGTTACACCTGGTCAAGTGAGCACGCCGCTCTTCTATGGGGTCCAGACACCCAACTCCTTCCTCGCACCTGTCGTTGAGCCCGTGGATGTTGCCAAGGAGATTGTTGCTGCTATAGATAGTGGAAAGGGTGCTACAGTTGCTATGCCATTGTATGCCCGTTGGGTCGACTGGCTTAACGTGTTGCCTGTGGGGGTGCAAACTATTGCACGATGGGCAGCGGGAGTGGATCGTGGGATGAAGACATTTGTGGGGAGAGAGGGACAAAAGCTTGAGTGAACTTGACGCTGGCGTCAGTTTTGATGAATAGGAAGAGTAAAGTTTGAGTAGGATCAAGAATAATAATGTGAAATTAGACGAAGCTTGTTTATTGGAGCATTAATATAGAATCAGCACGAGGGTATAACCTGAGGAAGTGATCCTGAGTAACCTTTTGGCTGAATGAGAATACGGTATTCAGCTCATGGAGTTCTGGGAATAGCCAATGGAAGATGTGCCGATTCTAATTGACAGGCTTCCTGACTCTTGTCAAGTTTGTCGGAAGAGCACCGATCCATAATATCTCCTATAGGCAAACCATTCGAATATTCGAGCCTGTTGTAGCCCACCACTTACGTGACAACCTAAGCGAAAACAACTTCTAAGCTTACAAATGCATGAAACATGCAATACACCTTGAGGGGGAACGACATCTTATAGGACGAGAAAGGGGATCGAGTGATTGACCCCTGGCTAACCGGGCTCTAGACAGTTTAATACCGTTGACAGCTCTGGACAGGTCGGGTTGAGCGGCCGGGTATAGAGAACCGCACCACATCATGAGCTGGAAAGATGGAAGAGGCCTTGTGCAGCTCTGCGGGCGCTGTTTAGGTTGTTGTACGGCCGTTGGCCATATGGTATGGTTTGTCGCTTGGACATGCCGGTAAAGGCTAGGAATGGCCCTTGATGTTCGATACGGGGTGAGACTGTTGCTTCTACTTGTTGTTGAGTCTGACGAGTTGCTGAGAAGAGAGTAGGCGGTACATTATTATAGTATGGTACAGGAATGGATGTTTCAGCCCTGGTTCTCCTTCGGTGACGGAAATGACATTGCGCCCGTTAATACGGAAGAAGCGAGGCTGGGTGAGGTTTCATGGAATGTCCCGAGAGTGTGGAAAGTTTGCAAGCCTAATAAAGTCTCTTTCTGCCTGTGCTGTCTTTGTAAGTGGTGAGAAGAGGCTGGCGTAGGTTGGTTGTCAGTCAGTGGTGGTGGGGATATAGACCCTGCTTGGCGGGGAAAAACACCTAAACGTCATGTCACTTGAGCCTTGTCTACGCCCGCAGAAGCTGCACCTTGATCCATTGACGGGGTGGATCGATTTTGAAGTATTTTCAGCAAGTATACACTCGAGATGTGGATCGATCAAGTATTGTTATGTCTGATATTGTAGATATTGTCGAAATATTAGACTATCAACGTTGGATCCGATATTGGAACATGAGCACGCGACAATTAAACATTGGATCAAAGCCCCTGCTTCCCTTGGCTGCAAGATTAATTACGAACTACAAACTACTTATAAATCGAATCGGGACCGACGACCCGTTGTGCTGTAATACGCCCGCTGGTTCCGTTACTTTGCGACATAAAACGCCCGCTACAGCTAGAGTCAGGAGTCACAGAGTTCGAGAATCTTTGAAAGGATATTCATGATCATCTGAAATCAGACAATCATGTAGTCACACAGCAAGCCACTACATCATAGCACAACACACTCTGTAATGCTGCTGCAATTGACAAGATGATTGCCCTATTTCAACTCCATCTTCAAGTGTCACCAAAGTCTCAGAGACTAAAGGTGCTGCACTTCAGAGGCTAGACCTACCTTATCTGACCCTTCTCCACCAATCCAATCACGCCGCCATCACATTCTGCGCCCAGCCCAGGCCTGCCCGCAGCCACGGAGCGGGCAATCCCACTTTGGCTGCAGAGATAAGCCAAGCCAGTCCAATCCATCCTTCATTTTCTCCCACGCCCTTTTCTTACATTCATTGCAAATACAGCTCCAGCTTGAATCCAATTGCAACTCACTGTCACTCAGTTCATCCTACGGACTTTGTTCTGGACCTAGCCATGTCCATGTATGTCCGTGTCACGCCTTGAACCATGAGGCGAACCCTGATACTTATCCCTTATCCCTGGACATCACATACACAACTCAACTGAATCATACATACTTTCATATGAAACTACTCATGTCCCCTGTTCCCAACCTGTCAACTGCCTGTCAACTGCAACTACTACTGCTACCGTCTCGCCGAGTATTCTGACCTATTAGACACTGATATTGCTTAAACTCAACATCAACCTAGTCGCCGAGACATACACCTAGTGTCACCTTATGAGAGACTCAATCAACTGCTATATAATCGGCCCCCAACTTCTCTATCGACAACCACAGATGCAGGTCTAAACCACAAACATCGCACCGCAAGGGGTCTTCTCCTACCTTTCATCTCATCAAGTGAGCCGATTCGACAATGGGACAGTGGTGGGTTGACTCTCGCATCGAAGCTACCGTTACCCGGTCCTATGTCGCCAGCCAACTCCTCCCGGACGAGATTGAGCGCCTAGATCGTCCCGTTGCCTTTGGTGGCGAGGACTTGACAGAGCGCACATACTGGGAGAGCATTCGAAATGATGCACCTCGCTTATTCCTTATTCTCGTCGACCTCGGTGTGCCAGATCAGATCTTTGGTGTTGTCGACGATGGCTGGGATGACGCTGAGCTACCGATTGCCCTCGAAGACGTGGATCGTCTCTTGTTAACAGCAACTCGTGATGAGAAAGTCGAGAAGAAGTTTTACCAGCGCCAGTTTCATTACCTTCTTAAACCCTTGCAGCGAGGGAACCACGTGGCGTATAAGGATAACGAGGTAGTACCCCTAGACGTGGTCGAGAAGCCTTCCTTACCAACGCACAAGTCGCACGGAAACGACAAGGTCAGACTTCCAAATATCCCAGGGGAAGTCTTTTATCGAAGACGATATGTTCTGGGTAATGGTCCTGGAGCTATGCCTGTGCAGGACTTTCTCGATGCTGTCCATGGGATCAAGGCTCTGCAGAACGAGCACATGATCTCATATTGGGCGTCGTATACGCAGCATGGATATGGATACGTTTTGTTTACGCCAGCAGGTGACTTTACTCTCAAGTCATTCCTGGCGACGACACCATCTCAGTTCAAGCATCTTGCTAAAGCTCGTCGGAGGGAGCTTGTTATGAACTGGATTTTGTGTCTTGTCGACACACTCTGTGACTTCCACGGCAAGAATCAATCGCATGGATATATCAAGCCTTCGACCATCTTCTTTACAAACCAAAATCACGTCTTTTACTCCGACTCAACACGACTCACGCCCGATAACGTGATTCTTCACACCGATAAATCGTCGTTTGACCGCGAACGGTACGACTATGCTGCGCCAGAACTGTGGTCTCGACCCGCAGGGGCGACGAGTCCGACGAATAGATTCCCATCTGACGAACATTTCGGAATGGTGCAGACGTACGATCCGAGCGGCTCACCAACGGCGATGTTCATTGCACCAAACCCTCAGCTGAGCGGACAGCAAGCCGACATCTTCTCAGTAGGCTGTATCATCTTGGAACTTTTATCATTTTTAGTCAAACGAACGACGAGCAAGTTTGCGACCTTTCGATCAGCGAAACACAAGACGGCCGGTCGAGGCGGTGCGGTGTTGGATACTTCTTTCCACAAGAACCTAGGACAGGTGGAAGCATGGATGTCAGGTCTTGCCAAAGATGCATCTAGAAAGTCATCGTCGAGCAAAGATGGCGCGAATATTCTCAAAGGTGTAACCCCTATGCTCCACGTCGTGACGGGGATGCTGGCGATGAATCCATACGACCGACCTCCAGCGATCGAAGTGCAGCAACGCATTTATCAGATTCTGACCGAAGTTTGCGGTATCTCAGAGCCACACTGCGTACACCAGTACGCGCACGATCTCGAATCCTCGTTTGGAGGGCTGCAGATTCAGACTGTTGGTGATAACACGATGGGCGTCAGTCCGCCAGGGGGGTCCAACACGACCTATGGTACACCGCGGACGTATGAACACAGCCGAAATGGTAGCAGTGGGGGATATTCACAAGTAAGCCGCACGACGGGAAGCAGCGAAACCGACATGGATGCTATACACAGCGTAGGGTCAGTTGGTCTCCAACAGATACGAACTCAGGGTTCATGGCCTCGCAATGTCGCGTATACACAGCACACGAGCGTAGCGCAATACCCTGTGGGCCAATGGGACACTACATGAAGACATGTGATGTTCTCCCGGGATGATGATTTTGATGAGCTTGTGGGGACCGAATCCTTTTTATTAGGATTGAGGAGATGAAACGAGATGGCGATTATTACCTTCTGTTTACATCGCGTATGCGGTCAGCAAATTTATGCTTCATTTATTTGAGGCAGGGCTGATTTTACGGCATATGAGGCTGACTTATACCAACATTTGAATTTATTTGCCGGAGCAGGTGGGAATGGAAAAAGAAATTATCATTATCAACTTTCGGTGAAACGAGGTTGGATGGTGACTATTGATATGGGATTAGGATTGGTCATGTGGAATTATGCACGACTTACGATTGAATGAGACTTCGATTTCAATTTCATCATAACTTACGTTGACATTGATTGACTGGTATGCATGCACGGTATTTATGCAGGGTTCAGCTTCGCTTCAGCTCAAAGGGTCCTGTCTGCCTCACGTTGGTTGCATGTGTGTTTGAGACAAGCGTGAAAATGAAACACGAAGAAGGATTCGAGACTTTCTATGTCTTGACTAATAAGAAAACATCAACGTAGCAGTAGGAAACAACGCATGACATTTTCATAATTGTGATGTTCTTCACAATTTTCGGGCCTTGCCGAGTTAAGCATCATGCAAGACCGTTTCAAAACATGGATAGATAAGATGAAGCCTTGACACAAGACGTGTGTTTACATGTGCCAAGAATATCCTGCAAGCTGTGACTTTGACAGTTTTTAATGATACAGATGGAGATAAAGATCAACAATATTAAACGCTTGTCCTCCGACAGATCGTTATTCATCAGACACAAACTCAGTCAGGATACCCTGGTCTGTAAGTTACGGAGCATCCAATCGGCGCAATAGTGGGACCGTGATGCAATTTTTCGAGGCGTACGTCATGAGCTATGGGAATGTGGGGGATTAGACTGGTCTGGATGGAAGAGGAGCAGAGAAGAAAGAGAAGAAACCTTGAGAGAGAGGAGAGAGAGGACACGCGGTTATCGCGCAGTCATAGGACAGAGAGAGACGGAGACAAAGTTAAAAAGAGGGTCCATATGAGGGGTTTTGTTTGTTGATGGCTCCCTCTTGTTTTCGGTTGACAGCTAGAGATCAGCCTCGTCTCTGCTTTGGACCAGTAGGCAGCAGTAGTTCAGGGGCATTGTGGCAAACAAGTGCTTTGTGCGTATTGCCATGAGTCGTTAAACCTCCTGAGGATTTACCTACCCGAGGGACTTCCTTCAGAGGCCACAATCTGTAGACCACGATAACACAGAAATGAGACTTGTTCTGCTTGATCAAGAAATGCCCGAACGTTGAATGTGTCGTCAGTATGCAACTCAGCGTTACATTGCCACAATCCCAGCCCTGCTCGATCCCCTGCTCTCCAAGCTGTAGAACTTCTTCTGTTCAATCCCATGCAAGGCTGCCCGCCCAACGAAAGAAGGATCTGACTCAACTTCAGTAGCATGTTCCACTAAAAAGAAAACACTAGCACAAGGCTTGCTCGTCTTCTAGCGCCGTTAAAGGTTTTTCTTGGCACAAAATCAAGAAAGAAAGAAGAAAATTCGAGAGTGTCCAATCGGTTGAAACTGTTTTATCGGGATACCAAGCTAAAAAGGGTGATGGGAAGATCCACTTGAGCTTTAGCTTAGAGGCTGCATATGCAAACTTTCGTAGCTCGAATCAGGAAAAGGGATGCGGATAAAAATGAGACTCACAGGGGGTCGATCCAATATTGATTGACAGTAATGAATGAATGAAGATGAGGATAAGGGTCAACCAACAACGATCATAAATCTACCTAATCCACTTCTTTATTAAAAACAAGGAGAGTAAGCGAAAAAGCTTGAACTACTTTAATATCTTACTCTCCCTTACCCTCCCCCAGTCAATTAATTGATTATTCGTTCCTCGCATTATCCTCCTTTTCGTCATCATCAACAAATTGACTTCTCCTCGAAGCTTATCAGGAAGCTCTTCTCGCCATCTCCAATCAGGTCACTCCCGATAAAGAAAAAAGCCTCTAAGCAGGACCAAAACCCCCCCACGATCGGAACGCCCACACACACACTCCTCAGCTCACCACACCTCTTTCTAAGCCGTCGTACGCGTGGCCGGCCCGTCCAATCGTTTTCTCTGCAACTTCTTTTACGGTTTTACGGTTATTCAGCTCGGGCTGCGTGTACAAGCGAGGCTGCCAGGAGGAAAATCCACCCGCTTTGAAGGACTTTTGAATCGGGGCCTCGTCACCTTTCTTTACAAACAACCTTCGTTACAGTTTTTGGGGTTTGTCGACAGGGACAAGAAACCTTGGAAGGAGGGGAGACAGAAAAGGTTAATTACCTTGTCGATCGATCGTTTGCGACATAATAACCTCGCTTGTCTTGGATCACTATCTTTATACTACGCCCTATCCGTTCGATCTTTTTTCTGGAAATCTTCTGGTATTGTTATATCGGTCAACGATGCGGTCACCAATCTCGCTCCTCATCTTGCTCTGCGCATTTATGGCTTTAGCAGCTACAGCTGAAGTTCACATCTCGAATAACAGAGCTCCCACGTCTCAATTCGCGACACATGGTGAGATACTCTAATCTCGTCCTTTAAGCTTAAAGACTAACATTGTTAAGGTGTTACTTCCCAATTACCTTCCCGCGACCGAGCCATTCACGCCCAAGACCGCGCGCGACAAATCGCCTTATCGCAAATGATCGGCCCAACCGCAAAAGTATCCATCGTCGAGACCGCGTCTCTCAATGTCAAGGCCTTTGCGCATGGTGGCATGAGCTTCCTCTTCGGTCTGGCGTCCTCTTCCAACGACGTACTCGATTACATCAATAACGGCACGAACTCTGTATTTTCACGATCTGTTACCAGCGAAGAAGGCAGTGGAGCTTCAGGGCGGAAACACGTTGCTTATACTAGCATCGCCTTGGTCCTCGTCATGCTCTTCTTTGCTGTGTGGATGTGAAAAACAAATACAGAGAGATACAACATTTACTTTTTCGCGCGCATATTATGATACCCCTACCGGATTTGGCGTTTTATCTGGGTCGGCTTTTTTGCATTTAATATTAACCTGTTATGTTATTTCTTCCACTCCGGTGCTGCTCCTCTGAGTGGATGCTGGCTCATGGTTTGGAGATACATTCCTTGGTGGAGCTGGGCAGCTGTGCTGCATCCGGAAGAGAGTGTTGGTTGAATGGATGGATGGATGAACGATTATGGTTTCATAACTAATGATGGCTACGTAATGACGTGTTTGGGATATGATGTACATTACATCAAGGGTTAGGTTGGGTATATTTCAAGGAATACAGATAGAGTATGTACATGGAAGGAAATCAAGCACAGAGTTGCAGTCAATTTCTTGGCTTTTTGATAGAGCTTCAACATTAAGGTCTAATCCAATAAGAGATATTGAGCTTCGACTTGGTCCACTGCAAACATGTAGGCTCGTCTAATTAATGACTGCGACAACGAAAACAAGCAGAAGCATGATAAACAAACTTGGTCGGAAAGCATGCCACGCACCCGATTTCAGCTTGTTCAGCAAGTCCTCTTCCTCGATGGGCCATGTTACACTGTCCTCATTCTCATCTCCCCAAAACAAAGCGGAGATCTTTCTTGGCATAGACGTTGTTCCCTCACCACCAGCAACTTCATCCCCGCGTTGCTTCGTGTTCATCACGCACTCCGCGGGGCCCTCGTTAGATTTGTCAGTCAGGGCGCGGTAGTTTGTGTTTGATGTTTGGTGGAAGACACCTTGTGGCGGAGAGGAATGGGTCTTAACCGGTTTAGTCAGTTACCCTTGTGTTTGAGGATGAAAGTGAAACGGACTGGTTAGGTTTTTGCGAAGCTTGGTCTATCTTTTAGTTTTAAAAACTTCGTGAGGAAGGGAATTGCAACTGCGAGGACGACGATCACGAAGAAAATTGACAAGATGATGGTGCAGCCAGTACCGCTGACTCGTCGGCCACGTAAGCCTCCTTGGTAGTTTCGAGGAGCCCAGGGTGAATATCGATTGCGGGATCTCCATCGTGGTGGTGGCGCAGAGATTGTTGGTGGTATGAACACTGGTGGTGGTGGTGGTGGTGGTGCAATAGATGATGAGCAGTCACCCATGACGAGGAACGTGGAATAGACTTGATGGAATTGTTGTTAGGTTATACAGAGTGTGTATGCAGATATAGTAGTTTTGAATGTAGAGTTTCAGGTCCGGATGGATGAATGAAAGCGATGATGGAGTTGTCGAAGTCAACCATTGCTCCCTCTCGCTGAGGTGAATAAACAAAAGCCCATCTCTTCCTCCAAGTCAAAAAAACACTAACAAACTTGAGCTCCGGGTAGGTAGCACTGAACATCATATGATTTCCTTAAGCAGGTGCAGAGTTTAGACTACCTTCCATACCAAGTTGACTCTCTTGTAGCATGAGGTAGGTAGCCACGGAACTGTTTGCGAAATGGTAAGAATTCTTGCTCCTGGAATCATTCTGATCACAAGGCTTTCCAAGTGTTGACCAAGTGACATATTTCTAAAGACACTACCTATGATAAGTTGCTGTTGCATTGTTCAATCCAATTACCGCCCTATAAGATATCCATTCCTGGGAGTTACTCAAGGCAATCATCACTTTGGGGTGCAGCTTCAGACGAACTATCAATAGGTAAGGTAGTCAGGAAAACCTTGACTGTTGTGGTCTCATGCCCGAGAAAGGTCTCTGTTTGGCGCAATCTTTGATTACAGCACATACATCAAGATGCCTAAGTGATCCCTCATATAATCTGCTTCAACTCGTTGTTTTATGATTGCTTAGCACAGCGATGAAGAGTGAAACAACGCAGAATACAAGGGAACATAAATAAGAAGTTAAGTTGCCCTGAAGGGAAACTCCGTTATCAAAGATAGGTGAAACCTCTCCATGATTTCTTTACTTGTTCCCAGCAACCTGTCGTTGCCTACTTCAGGATATTATGATTCTCCTTCATATGACAATAACTCTCACTCCCCAGCCTGAAATGGTAAGCTAGCATTGGAAGAGACCGCAGAGCTCAGAGGTTGCGAGAAACACTATATAAACGACTCTCCCTATACCCCAACGATTCAGAGCCGGCTACACTGCTCGATCACCTCCGGACTGTTATAGATTACATTGTGTGCTGAATTCCCTGTCAGTAACTACTGCCCTATACCGTATAGCATATACATACAAAGTATCTCACTTACCACCACCAGCCCAGGTGGTATGGGGAAACCCCTGAGATTATTGCTATGGACGAATGAGAGAAGATGCATCGGTACTGCTTCGCCATCGCCATTAATGATGACTCAACCAATAATAAAACCCATCACCTACAAAACAGCACCAAAAGGATAGTTCGGTGTCTGAAATAACGTCACTTTATTCTATTCGACGTCTACTATAAAGACACTGGCCCATCTGCACCTCACTTCCACACCCACGCCTACGGCTATCAGCACTAGTTCTCGGGCCGTCTTCTGTCCCTTCTTTTGAAGTGAAGTACCTGCGAGAGAGATCACGAGACAGATCCTGACACATCTGTCTCTCAGTGCTCAAAACTTCAGATTTGGAGGCATGGAGATTTCACTACTCCTGAACATAACTACAGTTACCTCTCTTTAGGCCCAGGCTCTCGACTAAAGAAGGGCGGCTTTTCGACCTTCTTGTTTATATCCAAGTCAATAAGCCGTTCGATCAAGGAAACTCTGGATAGCATAAGAAGACACATATTATTCTGCCGCTTACGATGCCTGGGGAAGTGCAAGGCTAGAAAGGATCGGTATAAGCCGGATATACCACGTTGGATGCCCCCTGCAATGAACAAGACAGTGGAGGGCCACTCTTTACGAGTCTCCCATTTCTACACACACTGACCCCTGGAGAAAAAGGCTAAGATAGACGGTGTTTACCTGGAGTGGATCTTTCACAAAGCTCCTCTACCTAACAAGTATGAAATACTTCGCTACGAATGAAGTAAGTCTCGTTCTCCCTCCAATCTTGCCTTATAACAGCTTGGATTGAGGCATGGCCATCATTACGGATCTAGAAGAAGATGTTCGGAAAAGGTCTTGATTATTTTGCTGGTATCTCATGCTGGGGCCATTACAATTTCATAGACACTACCCTCAACTTTGTGATGATACGGATTTTTTATGATCCTACTAGGAATAAAAGGATCTTATTTGACTGTATTTTTAGATTTTGCATGCTGTTTATCGTGAACCCAAACATTTTTTTCCCATAGAGTTTACTGAACAGACCGGCGACGAGGGGAACTTGAGCCGTCAACTTTGTGAACACATCCGTTGCTAAGACTGGTAAGAGGACCTCCGGTGGCATATTACTACTGCCAATGAGAGGGGAACTGAAGAACTCTACAAGTATGACGATGATTGTCCATTGAATCCATTGGACATAAAAGATCATATGCCAGGCATCACTTACACGGACAAGTAATGGCCAATCACGTCTCTTCTATTGAATTTAAGAACGCAATTTTTTAACAAAGCTTGTCCCTAGAGAGCTTTGTTCTTTTTGTAACCAATGAAACCTTCGAATCCCAATCCCCAGCCATTGTTTGCATCCATCTAAATCGGCGCTGGTAATGGCCGATCCCCGCCTTCCCATGTCAAAAAATCTTCAGTCGAGGCAAGTACTGGCCAACTTTTGATGGACCTGCCAGAAAAACACAATTTTTTGATCCAAGAAGAGTATAATTGGATAAACTCACAAACCTTCAGTGATTCAGCAACACGCCAACTTGAATCTTCCCATCATTGTATACGTATATCACCGAGGTTCTTCTGTTTTGAGGTGACTTCTTCGAGTTTTGCTGCCCCAGTTTTCTTCTGTGTATCGATAGTAGATTTCGTAGGGCCGTTTTGGAGGGCAAAAACTTCCAACAATCATCATCCGCCGTATCGACGACTACGCCGCCGCGCCGAACAGCACCACGCCTCGAGCTCATCTCCTAGAAATACCCTGGAGCTATCCTTGGACACTTCTCCCACTGCTTATGCTTTAGTGAAGTCGAAATAATGGCTGAGCCTGGCCAGCCTGAGCTCAACGCGGGAATGTCCCCGACGGGTGCGTACATGTCCCGCTGCTCTCCGTCAGATCGCGATAGACGAACCTTGCTCAATGCTGACTGTAGTGACCCTAGGGATCAAGCAAGAGCCCACTAATGAAGCTGACATTCTCGAGGGCCTCGGCCTCGACCTTGATTCCATCATGCAAGCTGCGACTAAACGACCATTCGAAGACGAGTCCAACAGCGACGACCCATCTAAGAGGGTCAAGACTGAAGCCGAACCTCCCTCTCAGAACACGCTCGATCTCGACCAAGGCGCCGAAGAATCACTCGAAGATGGCCTTGCGCTTCTCGTACAGAATGCGCTCAGCAATGTAAACGACTTCGTCTTCAGTACCTCAAACGATCCCATGGAGATTGATGGCATTACCGACCACCCTCTACCGCCGCCGCCCCCTCCTCCTTCACCTCCTTCAGTCTCATTCTTCTCCGATCCTCAAAAGTATTTGCGCAAAGCCAGTCGACATGCGCTTGGCAACTTGGTAGGTGGCGCGACCTGAGAGACACCGCAGCGCTTACATGGCTGGGATAGGCACTTTCTGTCCTCCTCTTATTCTCGCAATCATTCGACGACTCGATAAAACCTATCCAAGATGCCGATTCACAACACGCCAAGTCATTTCGCGACCTACAAGCTTCTTTTGCGCAGATCAAGCAAATATATTCCTCGGGGCCCATTCTATCAGCAGACGACCCAGACCTCCATGACCACGAATCCCGTACGATCCTCGATCTAGCGAACCTGGCTCAATTCGGCATCTGGCTATTGCAAACCACGCCATCCTATTCCGAAGCTCATCAGCACTTCCATGCGATTTTCAGAGGCCAAGTCTCAGACCTCGGTTCCGACGCGCTCGATCTATACCTCTCCCTCAAAACCCAGGTCGCCATCGATGCGCTTGCTGCAAAAACACAGGAACAATCTAAAGAGCAAGTTTTGGAAGAGGCACTAATCAACGGGATGGAAGAAAAGCTACGGGGGCTTCATAATGGGTTCGATCTTACGCCTGCCGATTCTGAGTTTATCACTTCCGTCCGATCGAGGAAAACTTCTCTCGAGGGTGAAGCTTCTACCGAATCTGGTGAGTGATTTGTACGAAACGAGGGGGGTCTTCTTACTCACCAGTACTAGCTGTTTTGAGAGAAAAGTACAAGGTCGATGATTTATTGCGACAAGTCTCAACATGTGTAAAGACACGCCTTGCATTGATGTCAGATCTTGGATCAAGACTAGGCCATCCTATGCGATCTAGCGAAGAGACTGCAGTTGACCTCCTGGGCGATACGACCGGCGATCCGAACCTCGACTTGGACGATCTCTCATCTTTCTTTGAAAAGACAGCTTCTGGGCTTGTTCAAGATGCCTTGGCTGGACTGACTGAAGATACTACTGCCACCCCGGCCAACACTAATCCCCAACCCGAGCAAACACCCGCGGTCACCGAAACAATCGAACCGCCACCAGCGGCTGAGCCTACCAAGAGCCCCGAGAAGGAACCCACCTTGACTCCTCAGACGAACGGCAAGGTGGAATGCACTCAACAAGATTACAAGGAGCTTGAGGCATTGGTGGCCCAAAGTACAGACCATTATGTCAAGACTACACTACATGGACTGTCGCCGGTACCCTATCAACCTACAGTTCCAACAAGCACGAGTGAGTTAGGTCTCGGAAGAGGACAAGAATCATTAGCTAATATGAACGCAGCTCAAACATATCTGAACCAGCTCCAACAACAACAGGCTCAAAACCCGTACTATGCAACATATACACAGAGTATCCCTGAGCCACAACCACCGCCTCAAGAACCGGGTCATCAGCTGCCGCCACATCAAACCTGCTCTAGTGCATTGTTGTACGATAAGGCTCGTCAAGCCGCCCTTTCCAAAAACGCATCTCATACAAGAAGAGAAGGCATCCACTCAACACGTCGGCCGTGGACTCAGGAGGAAGAGAAGGCTCTCATGGCAGGCTTGGACTTGGTCAAGGGGCCCCACTGGAGCCAAATACTCACCCTGTTTGGAGCGCAGGGCACAGTATCAGATATACTAAAAGATCGAACACAGGTCCAACTTAAGGACAAGGCTCGCAACCTCAAGTTGTTCTTCCTCAAGACCAACTCTGAGATGCCATATTATCTCCAGGCAGTTACTGGCGAGCTCAAGACGCGAGCTCCCACACAGGCAGCGAGAAAGGAGGCTGAAGAACGTGCAAGGATGAACTCGGAGGAGGACCAGGCAAAGATTCAGGGAATCATGACACTGGCTGGAGGGTTGCAGAACTCTCCACAGGGACAAGGAAGAGCTGCAGGAACGCCAGCGTCAGCCGTTGGTTCGGGAGTTATGACGCCTGCTCAGAATGCTGCGCAGGCAGCGTCGTCCCAGCAAGGCCAGGCACACAATCAAGCAGCTGCCCACTCGTATAACCCAGCCACTTCATCGGGATATCCTCCATCAACTTTGCCACAGTCAAGGCCAAGCGTTATGTCGACAACACAACAGTCGCCCCATCAGGCAGCGCGTCCTCAATCGCAAATGTCTATGTCTCCTCAGACCCCGCGATCCCAGCAACAGCAACTACCTCAGCAGCACCACAGTGCCATGCACTCTCCCACCCACGCCCAGGCTGCTGCTCAAGCTCGTTCCCATACGTCGACACCCGTCGGACAGCTACATCACTCCCCGCCATCAAAACATACGCCGACTCCTCAACCCGCGACTCAACACCATCCTCATCCTCACTACCCGCCTGCTCCACATACTCAGCTCACATTCCCTTCTCCTCCTCCGCCCACAAATGCCACTCCTAATATGCACGCACATGGTCAGGTGCCAGTTCCAGATACGCAAACACATATGGATCAACACATGCACGACAATGCTGCGGAGGCGGCACTGTTGCAGGGGCTTCAGGCAGCGGTGGCAGAGTCTTTGTAACACAACGTTGCGCAACATGCTTGAAAATACCACAGACAGTGGGTGGGCTATCTCTATGCGCAACCTTGTTAGGATCAAAACTCTGTTTGTTCTTTCTGTTTACTTTTTCTGTTTATAAATGTTGATTTCACGATGGACCAGTTGCTCTATAGCGAGCCACGGCAACTAGGGACGCATCACAGGGGGTGCTAGGCGCAGTTGGCTATAGTCATTTCCACGTAAAAAAAGTATATTCTTCTATAGATCCCAAAGCCTCGATGGCTGAATTAAAGGAAAGGAGGGGGGGAGAGAGAAGAGAGAAGAGAGGACTAGTGATAACGCAGTGAAGTGGAGGTCTGGCTTGGAATGATACCACGAATTAGGAGGTGAAATGATAGATGACGACTGGAAACAGCGGAAGATAGACAATTGAATCACCCTTAACCCGCAACAAACATTTTACTCTGATACCGTGATATGTTGTGCTACTGACGATGAGTCAAGATTGGAGATTGCCACCGTGGTTGAAGACGCTCGAATCGCCTATTCGCGATCTTGCAGCCGGGAGCTTACAAGAGCATCCAGTGGTTCGTTTCATAATGCAGCTCGCCGTGTGTCCTGCATCCAGTGGTGATACAGATCCACGTTGGTGGCAGCCCATGACTTCGACTGTTTATCTTGTGATACGTGCCGTCAACGTTTAGTTCAAGCGCAGAGCCGCATGAGCACGACAAATGAGATTATAAATTGCCACCATTTGGTCCCGTATTGTTGGGCTTTGATTTTGAGGTATTGAGACAAGATACGTTAGCCCTTTTCAAGATGTATCACATACCATATCGACAAAGGCGCGGCTATGAAGCGCCCTGCGCGGCGACAGGGACTATATGTCACAACCCTCCAACAAGCCTGCATGTGGATGGGCAGATACTTCCATCGCTGTATTGCCAGTTCCATGCCTGCATGCAAGCTGAGGGTGGGCGAGCATGTCCTATCCAAAAGTTACCCAGAGCTTCAGTTTGCGCCCAGCGTGGGTTGTTACTAATTCTTGACGGATATCAAATTACTAATGAGTGTGCAGACATTCGATGTCAGGCAGTAGACAATGGAACGAGATGTGCTTTGGAGGTCAAGAATGGGAACATGGAAGCATACAGATACTGCCCACAGCTTCGTAAGACAGCTCATTCACTCTCTTTGATGTCAGGGCTAATAAGTAAAGATCTTTGTGAGTACCTAGATTGTCAGAATCTGAGATCACGACACCGTGACCAATACCTTCCACTCTGCGACGGCCACCGCTGCCAGTACGACAGTTGCCGGAATCCTAGAGACGGTGGTGCTGGTGTATTCTGTCGATCTCATACTTGCAGCGAGCCTTACTGCGGTGCCTTCGCTCCAGGCACAGATCTAGACGATCCTCAACGGTTCTGCGAACGTCATCGTCAATGTCTAAGACCGCACTGTCCACGTCTCTGTCATACTCGCGACAACGGACATCCCACACCTTTTTGTGGTGCGCATTACTGCGAAGCACATGATTGTGACGATGGTCGTGACGGGGGTGCTTTCTGCCATGCGCATACGTGTGTCGAGCCAGGCTGTGTAAGAGGCAGACAGAACCCTGGTGAGTATTGCAGGGAGCATACGTGTAGGCATTGGAACTGCCGGATGAGGAGGATTGGGAGGGAATTTTGTCCGCAGCATGAGTGTGCCTATGATGGCTGTAACGCTGAAGTGGTGGAGGGGCGGTTTTGTGACCGTCACAAGAGACGTATGGGGGCTGGATTTGGGGGGAGAAGATATCCGGCTCCAGGGATGGGATATCCCATCTACGACGACGGTGAGTTCACTTGATCCATTCTGTCACAACTTCTGGTTCAGATGCTAAGAGATAGATCCTTATGATATGTGCCCAGGCATCCACGACAGAAGAGGATGTGGCCGAAGGCCTGAACACGGCAGCCCATTCTGCCAACACCACATCTGTCACGTCCACAACTGCCCAGCCCCTAGGACTCGATCATCTCAGTTCTGCATTGATCACGAGTGCCCTATAGAAGGGTGTCCTCGCCCAAGGCGTACACGACTCCACGGGATTAGAGATGGCGACTCGCGGTTTTGCGATCAACATACTTGCAGCCACCCTGGTTGTCTTATGCAAGCTAATGAAGATTCGGATAGATGCTTGTTTCATGAGGGCGGTATGCCTATGTATAGGAATAGGATGATGGATGGTGATGGGGACAGAATGGGAAGGGTTCCTCGAGGTTTTAGGAATCAAAATTACCATGAAGATGATGAAGATGGACTACCGTATCGTCAAAGACGGTTTGGCTGGGCTGAACCAAGGAGGAATCAATTCGCAGCATGGGGTAGAGCAGTGTGAGGCTACCAAGGGTGACTCATTTCAACCAGGCACTCAGCCCCAGTTGACGAGGACTGAGTGTTGGGGGCGGTCTTTGGTGGGATACATAGAGTAGAATGTAAATTGAGGCTATTCACAAAGACAATGCGATTGTGGATGCAGGGTCTCGACCGTGGCTGGGCCGAGCCGAGAATAAAGTGCTTGCATTTTATTTTCTGCAAGGGCAAGCGGAAGTGCAAGGGGTCCCGTGGTGACGATGCCTATTTTTTGAAGATGATGGTGTTGAAGAGGAGAGACTGGAGGCCTGATGTACCTGTCATGCGGATATGTACAGTTATTTCTGTCTTTCACACTGTACATAATACAGTAATACTGGGCTTCAATACAGTGTGTACAGGTCAGATACACAGTCCCCTCTGGGTCTCTTGACTATCAGCCCAACCACGCGATATCCCGCTCACGCTCATCAGGGACGAACACCTGCACATGCACGTCACTCAGCTAAAGATGCACGACACATGGCGATTTTGATATTCTATAGGTGGCCTTTCTTTAGTAGTATTCATTAGTCGCAGCCGCCAGGGCTTTAATTTCGATGATCTCTTTGACGCGCTTCGACAACATCATTAATACACTGGCCTATCAGCTCAACTCATCACCTCAAAGAACTTGTAAGCTCCGATCGATGTAAAAACATAGCTTTATCTATTATAAGTCTTGTCTCGTTAAGTTATTGTATCTCGTAAAGTCCTCTGGGCGTATTGCTGACTTCCTCTGTCTGTCTGCCTGCTCAGTAAAATGACCACCATCATCAATGAGACAAAATCGGCAGATGGCCACGCGCCACTCCAAGGACTTAAAACTACTCATGTTGGTTATTCTATTTCAACCCATACTAAGTTAAAGGCCCATACCATGTATTGCTCTGCCACAGTTTGAGTCCTACGCTCAACCCTCAACCAGACACTCACTTACACTTTACCACATCATACGCTTCTACAAGCCACGATGTTGAGAATTTCGCGTCCGCGTGCTTCTCAAAGTGGAACATCCAAGTCATGGTGTCTTTAATGCGAGTTCTTAATGATTGTTTAATTCCAACTGATTGCTTATAAAAGCCTATGCTCTTCGTAGGCATAATTCCCTTGTTCAAACACTTCTGACCTTCTTTGATCACCTGCATTGGCCCGACTGTCTCTTTCAACTGTCATTCTTTATATCCGTGGGAGCTGTTTTGAAACAACAATAGGTCATTCATATCACTTCAAGACCTTTTCATAAGTCTCAAGTTATCGAGACACTTTCTTTATATCTTCCATCCTACCCAACTATCTTAAACCCAGATCTTCTGTCTTCTAAACTTGACGCAACTCTGGACTATCTCGACTGTCAAATACGAAAGAAACTTAGCGAAACGAAACATAGACTCAACATGTCTCGACGCTGTTATGTCGAGACCAGCCCCGATGGACGTCCTCAGCTCGTAACCATCAAGCGCTCGCGATCTTACCACCACTCCCACCGCCATCCATGCGACTACTACAAAGTCAGCCGTGAAGAATGGAGAACTCTCGTACGACAGAACGAACTTCTCGATGAGGCCAACCAAGCATACGCTTCCCAAAACGAAACCCTTCGATCTCGACTCCACAGCTCTGAAGCAGAGACTCATCGACTATGCCACGTCGTCATCCCCTCTCTCAACGACCAAATCGCCAAACTCTCCCGCGAGAACGAGTGTCTTCGTCGTGCAGCCGAAAAACCCTGCGATCCTCCAGTTCACACTTATCACTTCGAGCTAGAGAAGCTGCGCACCAAGATATGCAGACTTGAAAGGGAGAACAAAACTCTACGAGATGATAATGGAGATCTTCGCTTTAGAGTGCGCGAGCTATCTAAGCAGATTGACCAGAGTCTCAGTCGCAGAGTTGCAGACTTGACTAAGCAGATTGAGTACTGGACAAACCAATCTGGATTCTGGAAGAAGAAGTACGATGAACTACGGGAGCGACATCTTGGTCTGATTACGATTGTTGAGTCCAAGACTGAGAAGACGGAGTATTACGATGATGTTTTGAAGCGGCGGCGCGTTTGTTAATTTCTTATTTGGTCCTTCTTTATACCCTCAGATGGTTTCGTTATGAGCATCATGATATTATTCAAATAGAACAATGGTCAAGGTCTAGACGGGCCCTTGATCCCCCCTTTGTTAACACCGCCATCATCTGGCACTATTCCCTTGCGCTATTCTTTTCTTCCACAGAGACTTTCTTTTTTTCTTCTTCTTTGTTACTAAGGTATAAAGAAACCTCTATCTCATCTGTTGATATACTGACACTCCGCAGTTGGATATACCCCTTTCTGAATGAAAGTTAGGTTTCAGGTCATACAAACTCAACGTAACCTATATCTTTTGCAATGATTACATTCTACTAGAGGAGGAGGCATGGCAATACGTTGGACGGAGTTTGTTCATACACAGATATCCTATGTGGTCGAGTAGAGAGAATGATAGTCTCCCACTAAGAGCATCTTGCACCCCTCATGAATTGACAAAAATAACGATTCTATGTGACCGCGTGGCTAGGTTAGACTGCATGAATGCTATCTTGTGACGTACGAATCCCATCATAAACAAAAAGGATGGAATGGTCATGAGAACTCGACTCGACTCAGGGTAGTATCCAGACATAAAATGTCTTAGAAACTTCACTTTTGCAACGATACTAAGCATCAGGTAAGCAAACTAGCAACACCAAAATGTCACTAGAGATTTACAGTTTCGTCTCAGCTCACTAGAAGCAAAAAGAACAGGCTGGATTCTGATCATTTGAGCATTATACACTGTCATGGCGTAATGTGGCATGATGGCAGTGCATTTGAGCCGCAATAATCGCATGCTTTGTAAGACTGATGTTCTCGACAGCTCGATATGCACACTGATGCCTTGCTGTCTCCTGGCGAACCATACTAAAATTCATTTTGTTTTGACATGAGCTGAGTACTTTACGCGGTGCAACGCGATATTCCGTGGTATCGCGCACCGTTTCCCGAAACTCGTGGGGCATGTCAAAGACAACGACGACGTGGAATGGAGGGGCAGACGAGGCAACCAAGGAGAGAGGGGTAATGACCAATAGAGGCGGCCTCAAAGTTAGAAAACAGGCGGGAAACGTTGAAAGAAAAAGTCCTATTCTAGGCAGAAGGGGACTTTGGGACCATAAGGATTGGTCGCCTGGTTTAAGTGGAAAAAGGCGACCAGGATAACCTTTGGGGGCCGACAAGACATTGGATGTTGATGTGTGGAACTGGTGGAGGAGCGGTTTGAGAATATGTGTGCATATGGCAGTGCCTTGATCCGCGAAAGAACAGTCTGATGAGGGTGTGGTAACAAGGTAAAATGGCTGCACACCGAACTAGTATCGAGGTTTGAGGGACCGTGAATGAATGGGTGTGGAGTAGACGGGAGGGAGCCGTAGTGATGGTATCGTGGCGGATGTGGAGGACATGAAGGCGCCAAGAGGTGTGAGTCTGAAAGCGGGTGACCAGTGCGAAGAGGTTGCGAAGCCTGGCTCAGGGTTGCCTGGGTGAAGTAAAGTAGCTGGGGTACAGTATTTTCACATGACCTTTCCTCACAGCATTATCCAGTTGACTCACATGGAGGGCCTCAGAATAAATTGGTCGCGCTTATCAAAACAGGGGCTGTGTATAGTCTAGAGTCTAGGAATGACGGGCAATTTGATCAACAAATTGCATTGTAAAAACGGCACACCTCGATCTCAAGTGTGCGTGACTTGAAAAAGCGATATGACAATGTGATACGTCTTTGGTTGAGAGTCGCCAGCAAGCGCGGGTAGATCCGCAGTTTAATTAGCGATGCCACGGTGAAAGGTTTGACGTTTACTTTCCGAGTTCGGAAATCTCATCGAAGCCTGTCAACCGTGATATACCCGCACCGCAAGCCATTTAGCGACCGTTACCCTTAGAGGCAAACGAAACCTGGAGGGTGGAGGTGGACGGGAGCAGCCTCCTCCCGCTGGGTCGGTAAGGCAGGGTACGTACTGGGTTTGGGGCTGAAGACCTCGTGTCGGTACACAAAATTCCATATCTAAAATTGATCAACAAACAACCAAATTCAGGGGGTAGGAGTTCAAACGCACGCAATAGAGCATAAGGAGCTAGGGCTGGAAACGTGGTAACGGGGGGTAGCTTGGCGGCGGAATGCGGGAATGCAAGGAGAGCCCACGATAATGACGGAGCTCGCTCAACTCAATCCACAAAAAAGCTCATAATCAAGCATTGAATGCCAGCAAGAGTCAAACTAGCTCGAGGCCACCTCACGAGCCGAAAACAAAGGGGGGCGCTTATGAGTCTAATGACCCAGCCCCAGTCAATATCAAACACTCCATTCCCACCGAGTCAGAAATTTCCTTTCTGCCCCAATTTTGTTCTGACAAGCGGGTAGGGAAAGAAGCTCGAGCGTTTAGGTTATTAAACCCCCAGAAGCGGGAGGCCCTCCCGGCGGATGTCCCCCGGGTCCGGGCCCAGGCGACCGGCGATGGGCGGCGGGCGGCTTCTCGAGTACTAGGGCATGGGTCTTGACTTGAAATGGTTTTGCTCTCCACACACAAGCTCTTCCATTCCGACCTGATGAGCGATGTCTCCCCACGATTATGTTGGAATACCAACTAGAATCGCAGTACGATATCGTACCTACATAGGTAGTGTAAATCGTTTCCCTCCATTCATGATGCGCATGATATCGCACGTCCTGCAGAATACATCATGGGTTACCAACCGAAGCCATGCTGCCACTCATCTGCTCGCGGATGCAAGAAAGTGAGCTGAAAGGGTTGGGTAACCACAGACAAACGAATAAGGAGGGTTTCACACACATCACATCAATGGCTGCCCTGGTCCAGAGTAACGCACCACGGGAGTTCAAATTGGATGGATGTTTGCACACACACGAAATAGTTGTAAAGCTTTCTTTCCATGTGCCGAATAACTCGCATTGACGACAAGGGTGACGGCGCAGAAACGCAACCAACGATACGGCGAAACTTCCATGTTAGCTTGTCAAGCGAATCCTTCCCTCCGCCAGCCCGATGAGTCACTCTCCTATAGCTTCCGTCCAAAACGGACTCTTTTGGGTGCTTTGTGGGCGGCGGAGGCGCTCCAGGGGCGGCATAAAAAGTGACTTGGTCGCTCGCTCAGATGGCGGTGTCCGCACCGGTGACAGTACTTAGCCACGAAGCGGCATGAAGCGGAGTCGTCGTCGGCCAGCAGATAATCAACAACACGACTTTTTTTTCGAAAATAGGTTGGGGTTGGCGAACCAGTATTGCAAACGTTGCGACAATGTGAATCATAATTTCCTCCGTATCTTTTTTTGGAGGGTGGTTAGTGGGAGGAATGCAGAATGTTCGTGGATATCATGACAATCAACGGAAGTCAAACTGGCTGTTTCCGACCCCCCCTGTCTGTCATCCAGGGTGTCTGGTTGATGACTGGGGGGTAGCTTTTAAAGACGGTGACGATGTCGGCAACGCTTTTCTAAGCCCTTTCCTCTGTCTAGGCCTTTTCTCGTTGCTTTTCCGCTGCAGGTGTTTTCTTTTGCTTTGCCTAGGTTACGGCGTAGCACAGGCCGCGGAATAGCAATAATAATATCCCATATCATGCCCCTTTTTCGGCGATATGAGGGATTCAGGAATCAATGTCCAAGCAAAGAGCCGGGGGTGGTATAAGAGCACAGAAAGGCCAGAATTTAGAAGCCGAACCGGCAGAGAAACAGAAAAAGACCCCGGCTTTGACAGGGGTTTAACGTTTGGAGGTGTGGGCGAAGTGGGCATTGGGCTCTAGTCGGCTCCCCTTGGGCACTGAGCGTTGGTTGCGGTCCCTGGTGTTGGCGTCACAACGCTTTCACTCATCGACTTTGCGTATACCGCACTGGCGGGTTTAATGTGTTGAGAAAGGATCCATGGCTTGTCTGAAGCGCAAATGCGAGTCTGAGTGTGCGCCAGGCCCAGTTTCCATTTACCATGTCTCTGATGTTCCAATCACGAGGTTGGAAAAAGAGTTCCCCTTCACTCCCTCTTTGGTGGTTTTCACACCCTCAACTCCCTTTATTCTCTCAGTCTGGACAGGGGTTGATGCTATTTTGTAACGCAGCGAAGAGGATGGAGAGGAAGAAAATGCCTGTTCCCTATCCCTCGGGTGCATGTGCGGTGCGGGTGTGTATAGTACTACAGAGTACGTAGGATCAGAGGAGTCTGCATACTGTCTGTCTGTCCCTTTCCCGTCTCTCTCCGCGTTTGCGTGCACCGTAATGTACCGACTCTGCATAGACGTGCAGTTGAGTAAAGGTAGACCATAGCAGACCGCAGATAATCGTCTCCCCATCTGCGTTTTGTCGTCATCTGTCCATGTTGAGCATAGATCAAAGAAGAGTGTAAGTGTGTAAGAGGATAGATGAAAAGCAGGTAACTTCATGAACTCTGAGGCAGGCACAGACAACAACAACCATGTCTTAGAAGGAGCACCTCATTCACTTCAATTTCCTTTCTTTCCATATTGATACTCTATCCCCTGCCTCTCTGTCTGCCTACCTGCCTTGCTTTGTCTTAGACCTGGCCCTTCCTTTATTGCGCCCCCCTTCTATAGCCCACCCCCCATTCCAGACAACTAAGACACCTGTAGCCTGTACGCCTTTCTTTTTTTCTCTCCCACAGCCGAGTTTGACAAAACCCATATCAACCCGAATATTCTACTTTTTCCCTCTTCTGCCTGCACCTGAACTTACTTCTCTTTTCACCACACACAGGTTTATTCCGACCTTTTCTCTCGAATATTCTATTCTACTCTGTACTGTGTTGCAGAAAGGATATTTATCTATCGTCTTTGTTTTACTTGTTGGTAAAGCAATAGTTAACAACTAACTTGAGTTTAACACTCAACTCATCTCTCTTAACTCGACGTCACTTTTTTTTGCCTTTGTGGCCCCTCGCGCTCCCGCTCCCGTTCCCGCTACAACCCCTCCAGTAGAGAGCTTCCAGCCAAAAACGCCCGCGCTCTTCTACCCGCCTGCCAGACCAATTTACACCGCTGGTCGTTGGGCAGAGCTGCACCGCAGCGAACAGAGTTAACACCACAAAATAACCACGAACACAAATTATCGAGACGACTTTGGCGTCACTTCTCGCCTCTTCTCTATTCCTTCTTTCTTATTGTTGGCGATCGTAAACAGTCCAAACCGACGCCATGCCTCTCCACCAGCGGACTTCTGCTAGCCCATCTAAGAGGAGCAGCTCCTCTGTTAGGAGCACTGTCTCTGCCAGAAGCACTAACTCTTCTTCCTCCTCCAAATCAAGGGCATTGACTGGTATGTTCAATGGTCGCCTTTCGGGTTCCCCGCCTCAGCTGACTAACCTCGCTTTTCCTTTTGTAGTACAAGACCATGACTACGAATATGAATTTGATATCGAATCCGAGCTGCGCGACGACCTTCAAAAGGCAAACACAGAACTCAACAAGGCCAATGCCGAGAACGACAAATTGAGCGCCCAGAACGACAAGCTCAAGGCCACCATCGAGCAGCTCACCCGCAAGTTGAACGAGTCCAAGACATCCCTCGAAGAAACCACCCGCAAGCTCAATGAGTCTACAATCTCATGTCGTGAGCTCAAGGCTCAGATTGAGGGTGTCCGCTCTGAGGCTGATGTCCTACGAGAGGACAACCGCCGCCTGAACACAGACTTCGAGGAACTCAAGGGCGATAAGCGCCGCCTGAACAATGAGTGCGAGGAACTCAAAGAAGAAAAGGAGGCCCTCAAGGAGGAAAATGAGCGCGTCAAGTTCGAGCACCATGACCTTGAGCAGCGCTTCATCGGTCTCCAGGCTAAGCATGAGAACCTCACCATGCGCCACAATGCTGTAAGCAGCCAAGCTCCCTCGTCTGCCATGACGAGCCCCATGTCCAGCCCAATGCCCAGTCCCCTTCCTGCCCCTCTACAGGAGGGCCGTAAGAACCCCTCCCGTCCTTCCAGCAAGGCCTCCAGCAAGGCCTCTAGCAAGGTTTCTACCAAGTCTTCCAGCAAGCGAGAACCTCGCGAGGATCGCCACCGTGAGCAGGAGGATCGTCACCAGTCTGAACGGGAGGAGAGCTCTCGTGAGGAACACACTCGTGAGAGACGTCACCGGGAGGATCGCGAGCGCCGCGACCGCGACCGGGAGGATCGAGGACGCCCCCAGCGCAGCGAAAAGCCTAAGGACAAGGAAAGATTCGAGGCCAAGGAACGCTTGTCGAAGCGGTTTGATGAGCGCCCTGCCGTGGCACCTCGTCAGACCAGCTTCATCGAGCCATGGGGTCCCGGAGGTTGGTCTCCTCGTTATGATGCCCCCTCAAGCGACTTTGACGCTTACGGCCATATGGCAACAGGACGCAAGGCCGCCAGTGTTGTGTCTAGCGGGGCTTATTCCAATGTCCCTCGCACGACCAGCATTGTCAATGGTCACTTCAGCAGCGACAGCAGCGCATACGATGATGAGCGGTATGAGGATGGTTCTTACCATGCCTACCCCATCCCTAACTAATCATTCTTTTGTCTTGTTTGATCTGCCATTCTCAAGGTTACCTGGTCTCTGACTGGATGCCACCAGATAGAATGGGCCACAGGTCAAAGCAGGATGCTCATGGGGATCGTCATCATTCACATGAGCATACTCCCTCCTCGAGACGCCCTCGAGGAGTGAGATCCTAGTAGGTAGGGCTTTACACCAAGCTCCACCTCTTATCTCTTCCAATTGTTACCTATGATCGGATTCTGGCCAGTCACCTTCCTATTATGACTCAATTCCAATGGCGAGTTGTTCCAGGCCTAGTCTACTAATGTGTCGCCTTGCCCCCGCATGGAATATGGTTACCGACGCCGGCCGAGATATTTAAGCCCCCCACAGGATTATCCAATCTCACTCGCAGCATCCCAACTTAGACTTACATTTATTTTTCTGTTGGTTTTTGCAGCTATACACAGACCCCAATCGAGTTGATTGGGATCTCTGCTTTTCATACATACGTTTTACATCATCGCCATGAAGCTTTACCCTTCCATTCCCGAGGACCTCGCCGCCTGGGTGCAGCAGCAACCTGTCTTCTTCACAGGCTCTGCTCCTACCCATGGCTCTCATATCAATGTCTCTCCCAAAGGCCTTACAGACTCGCACTTCGCTATCCTAGGACCCAACCAGTGTGCCTACATCGACCGCACTGGTTCCGGATGTGAGACTATTGCCCATTCATACGATAATGGCCGCCTGTGTTTGATGTTTATGAGTTTCGGCCCCGCCCCTCGGATTGCCCGCTTCTTCTGCCGGTCCAGGATTGTCGAATGGGATGACCCAGCCTTCCCAGATCTGGTCCGTCGAATCTCCAAGGGAAAGCGTTCTACATTTGATGGCGCCAGAGCCATCATTCTGGCTGATGTGTTTGAAGCCCAGACAAGCTGTGGCTTCGGTGTTCCCCGGGTGAAGAGGGGTATATATGCACCTGATGAGACCTCTGAGAAGAACTTGTCTCTCGAGCAAGTCCTTCGCGAGGGTGTGGATGGTAAAGTGAATGAGCTGGCTGTGTTTGAGGAGAGGCCTACAATGGATATGTGGGTGGCAAAGCGAGTTGAAAACAATACGTTGTTGGAGTATCATAAGGAAACCAACGTGCTGAGCATGGACGGTTTGCCTGGACTCAAAGCTGCTCGTCGGAGCGTGGGAGAGACGTTGTGGTTTACGGACGCAAAGGCGCATGCAAGGAAGGTTTTTGCTCAAAGCGAAGCGATTGCAGTTGGATTTGTTCTCGCATTGTTGTTGTACGTTGTCATGGTTTCAGTTGGAGCGATTTCAGCGTCATGGCCAAGGATTCAGGCTTGAATGGATATAGGAACGGCGCAATTTTCGGTTTTGGGATACCAAAAAGTACAGTGTTGTTTGGCTTTCTAAAAAGGTGTTCCCTCGAAGGGATTGGATTTCTTTTATTTATTTTTTTCTTGTTGTTCTTATTCTCTTTTCTAGATACACATTTTCGCTTTTCTTGTTGTCATACCAGATAGATTTGTAACGCGTTTGCTACAGGATGCAGGTCCAACAGCCTGTGTAGGAACGATACCACCCATGTTAGGATAGTTTATTAGTATTAGTAGCACTAGAGTCTTTTTTTGAATATTCTGTTAAAACACTTGTTTCCTCTTCTGCCTCTGTGAATCTGAATGTCTGATTCCCCCTCACTTTCTTGACGCCTCGTGAGTCATAATAGGCTCTCCGCACTTGATTCAGGGGTTATGCTCTTATGTACGCCATGACCACCCAGATGACGGCATTCACCAAAGAGGTTCTTGCGGCATTTATTTAATAATGTGATAATGATCGAGACCTTTTCTTGTTTCATGGAAGACCTACCATCTGCATTGTTCGGGAGGGAGGGGTTGGGAAAGCTCATGAAGCATCCGTATGTGCCAGTTGACGTTTTATCCCAAGACCACGCCGCACATCTAGCCACATTCTCAATGTAATCACTTATCAATACGAACTGTAGACGCAAAAGTCATATTGCTGCTTCGATCTCTGAACCTAGCATAATCACCCCCTTCCTCACTGTGCCACCTCTCGCTTCCTCAAACGCCACTTTCCGTTAGAGTAATTGTCTATCAAAAGATCGACTCTGCATTGGATTCGTAGCATGTTCGCGCAAGGCAAAGGCACAAAGACTAGAAATGAGTCGTGCTCTTATCCGCCTGCAATGGTTCAGCTGCTCTGCTACCCGCCTCCTGGCTGCGTAGTGTCCATGCTTTGAGATAAGTTGGACTTGTTGAGCAACTGGATTGCACATTGGGCTCATAAACAGCGGCACAACGGGGCAAATCGTGCTGCTCGATAGAAGAGTAAGATGTTCGAGAAAAGTCCGAAAACCATCTCGTTACACTCAGCCGCCAGTGTTGGCTGGAGCTGAAGGAGGAGCAGCAGTCCCTTGATTGTTAGGACCAGAATCCTTTGCCTTATTGCCTCCACCTCGTCCACGTCGACCACGGCCAGACGCCTTTTCCGACGCAGCAGATCCAGCAGCTGGTGCAGGTGCTGTCGTGGCCGCGTTTGCGTTCGTATTGGCAGGCTTCTTGTCCTTGCGCTCCAAAACTTGCACAGTACCCTGTGCAACAGTGATGGGACTGGCTGTAACAGCCTTCACAAGACCCTCGTGTTCAGCAAAGTCAACATAAGCGAACCCCTTTCGCTTGTCAATCTCAACAAAGGTGATTGTGCCAAAATTTGAGAGCGTCTGTTTGAGCAACGCCTCAGTAACGCCTTGGGAGGGGTTGGCATGCTTGACAAAGCCACGAGTAGCATCAGGAGAAACAGTAGGGGGCTTCTTCTGGGCATTGGGTCCCTTATTAGGTCCGCCTTTAGAGCCACCGGCTGCATTGTCTGTTTTCGATCTCCCTCCCTGTGCGGCCTGCGCTTGCGTTGTGGTATTCGCTGGCTTCGTCGGTGAGTTAGATTCAGCATCATTACCTTTCTTCTTGAGGAGCACAATTGGAGGGGTGGGAGCTGGTTGACCCGATGTGCTCTCCTTAGCTTTCTCCTTACTATTTTCCTTACCCTTCTCCTTTTCCTTGCTCTTCTCAGCATTCTTTCCGCCTCGAGTTCTGCGGTTTGACTGCTGCTGCTTGTTGGCATTTCCAGCACCTCGTCCCTTCGGTTCTGGTGCTTCTGCCTCGGCTGGTTTGACAGGCGAAGATGGGCTTTCAGAAGCACTAGCCTTTGTTTCGGCAGTAGATATGCTCTCCTTTTCTGGCGTCTTTGCATCTGCATCTGCTTTGGCAGCGTCTTGACGCGCCTTTCTGTGCGCACTTCCGGGACTGAGACCAAGATCTCGTTGAAGGATCCTTGCTGCAGCCAAAATTCCCGCACGTCGGCTCTTGGGTGCAGTTTCCTGGGCGCTTGAGTCGTTGGGCTGGCTTTTAGTATTGGTCTTCGAGGTCTCCGCATTCGGCTCAGAAGTTGCTTTCTTGGTGAGGATTTTGACCGTCTCCTTGGGGGTCTTTTCTACTTTATCTGCCTTGGACTCTTTGCCCTTCTTCTTACCCGAGTCTTCGTCCTTAGACGAGTTCTTCCCCTTGCCGCTTCTAGAATCCTGCCCATGTTTGGAATTTTTGGAGGATGAGCTCTCCTTTGCTTTGTTTGCCTTCTTCTCCTTGAGGTACTCGATGAGCGGCGTAGTGGTGACTTTAGCCTCCGCCTTACCAAGGTCGTCGCCCTCTTCTCCTTCGACGGTTTCTTTTGGCGGCGCTGGGTTCGCTAGTTCCTCCAGGAAAGCCATGAATTCAGGATCCTGATCGATTGTTCCCTGTCGAGCATCGGTGCGCTTCTTATTGCTTGGGACCTTCTTGTAAATGGCAAACTCAACTGAAGGAGGACCAATCAAAGAAGGGCTATTAAAAGATGCCTTCGCATCCTCCCAGACAGCGGTTCGCACAGCATCGCTCATAGGCAAGATATCATCCTTTTTCATAACATGAACGTAGGCGCGGCCAGGCCGAGAAGGTTTCGAGGGGCTTTTAATGGAGTCAGTAATGTAAAACTCGGTCGCAACGTTGAGTGCCATACTCAGTAGAAATCTTTCCTCCAGCGAAGGAAAACCAGTCAACCTTGCCCTTACCCAACTCCCACTCACTTCCAAGAATTGATACAAATTCTGCCTGGGTCATTCCAGGAGGCAGACGACGTATCACGAGCTTTTCACCCTCGTTATGAGCCTTGGTTTTGGTGGGTTTTGGAGTTTCGCTCTCATTCGCATGCTTTCATCATAGTTAGTCAGAGTGTCGTCGTTTCTCGCGAATCTTGTAATATCACCTTATTGGCCTCGGTAGATCTTGCATTAGAGCCTCTCCCTCTAGCTTTTCCATGAGAACTGTTCTCGTGTGACCCCTTTCCCTAAAACAGGTCAGATATCCATGTCCCTTAGTCCCGAACGTCACTAATCACCTTTGTTGGTTCTGAGGTCTGATTTGATGATGTCTGAAGACCTCCGTTTGCCCGTCGAGACAGGACTTGTGGTGCTTGAGCTGACATCTCGCATACCGCAAATACCTTAGGTTGTAACTGACAATACCGTTATGTTGATCGATATAGCGAAAGGCTCAAGTGAGTGCTGTAAGGCTCGATGAGTCGCGGCCTTGCTGCCCCGCCAGTGGCAGTGGGGCGATATTGGAGAGATATGCGATTATCCACCGAATGATGAATTCCTCACGTGTGATCTCGATTATCGGTGCGTATGATCTTTTCAAGGATAAAAAGGAATCTGTAAGTTAGTAAAAGAGGAATCTTGAAGTGGGTAAGAATTATTTATAACCTTAACCAAAATAGCAGGTGAATATCCTGTCAAAGTTTCTCTCTCTGGTGATGGCCGAAGAATTCCCGGCGTTTCACTATCGCACCCCTCCATAGCAAGGCAAGCAGGCCTAAGCATAAGCCCCACCCCATTCGCCGCATGTGTACCAGTACTACGACCAACACCTCACATATCGCAGTACAGGCTTCGCTGGGCTGGCATATCTCTCCCCGCCATCATCCTCCCATATAGATCTTCCATTGAAGGGGCATGCTAGATCATGGCTTCAGGCGTACCTCGACCAGGCCCTGCGAATCTGGGGCCCAATGCCGGCCTCGATGAGTGGCTAGAGGAGGCCAAACAATGTCATTATTTGCCTGAGCGCGCTATGAAGGAGCTGTGCGAGAAGGTCAAGGAGATTTTGATGGAAGGTGAAGACCGTCAGACTCAGATTCACCGCTGACCTGCTGACTCGGTATCTCAGAATCCAACATTCAGCCAGTTTGCACCCCCGTCACTGTGTGCGGCGACATTCACGGCCAGTTCTACGACCTTCTCGAGCTCTTCCGGGTATCTGGCGGTATGCCAGGCGAGTCCAACGTGCAGGCGCCGAAGACAGCTACCACAGTCATTACCTCTGACGATATCGAGCCACCAACAGAGATTACAAACCCCAAGTTGAGGAAGAAGATAAAGTCTTCGGGCGAGAATGCAACATCCAGCGGCGCGGAGGAGACCGAGGCAGTTGAGGCAGAGGAGGATCCTGATTCCACAATGGCAGATCAAACCGAGTCTGGTGTCACAGTGAACAAGTCAAGTCAGAGTGCGGATACTCGATACATCTTCCTAGGAGATTTCGTGGATCGAGGTTACTTCAGTCTGGAGACCTTCACATTACTAATGTGCCTGAAGGCGAAGTAAGCAGCCTTTGGTGCTGGTCGCGTGTCTTGGCTAACCATATTCCACAGATACCCTGACAGAATAGTTCTTGTTCGTGGTAACCACGAGTCTCGGCAAATTACCCAAGTGTATGGATTTTACGAGGAGTGTCAGCAAAAGTATGGCAACGCCTCTGTTTGGAAGGCATGCTGTCATGTGTTCGATTTCCTCGTCCTTGCCGCCATCATCGACGGCGAGATTCTCTGTGTCCACGGCGGTTTGAGTCCCGAGATTAGGACGATTGATCAGATCCGAGTTGTTGCCCGTGCGCAAGAGATTCCCCACGAGGGTGCGTTCTGTGACTTGGTGTGGTCAGATCCAGAAGATGTCGAAACGTGGGCTATCAGCCCTCGTGGCGCTGGATGGCTATTCGGAGACAAAGTTGCAACTGAGTTCAATCATGTCAACGGTTTGAAATTGATTGCTCGAGCCCATCAGCTCGTTAACGAGGGTTACAAGGTATTTAGCGTCCTTCTATCACGACAAGGGTTGTACTAACGATCATCAGTATCATTTCCCAGAGAACTCAGTAGTGACCGTCTGGTCGGCACCCAACTACTGCTACCGCTGTGGTAATGTTGCTTCTATCATGGCTGTGGATAAGGACTTGAACCCCAGGTTTAGCATTTTCTCTGCCGTTCCTGACGACCAGAGACATGTCCCGGCAAACAGAAGGGGACCTGGTGATTACTTCCTGTGATGAAGGATGGTGTACGTATAACGGACTTAATGGCATATGTTGCATGTAGAATAGCATAGGGTCAAAATACCCATGGTCCATCGGTGATTTTAGTGGGAATGGAAATGGATGGTTTTGGGTTGGGTAGAGTTGGGACCTCAATTATGAGCAAGTATGATCACTTCATTTTATTACATTTGTGAAGTTCCCGATGCTTCTTGGCTCTTTAAATGAGCAGAGTGGTTATTTTGTTCAATGGCCTCCCACATGACATCGTCAACTCTGTTTTGATAGAAGTTATCTGAACCCTTCTTGGTGGATCACTCACAAAACTCCACCTCCCACCAACATGCCAAAACCAAAGGCCCCCAAAAGCAATCCAATACAAAATGCCATCAACGAATGGATTGGCTCAGGGCTAATTTCCAAAACCGAGACAGATCAAGAATGGAAAGCCGGACTCTTGAACAGCGCACCCAAGCGCTTTACCATTTATGAACCAATGGTCTTGCTGCCCACAGGAAGCTTCACATCCCTACCCTGGACAACCACATTGCAAGACGCGGGCCCAGATTCATGCCAACAACTCTGGTCTAAGATCCTAGAACAACTATCGACACAAGCAAAGGAGCCACTGACTCATCTTGCCGTGAATGAAGGCATTCCTCTACATAAAGCAGGTGAGGAGGCGGATGAGAATGTGAGAAGAAGCCCAAGTGGGCTTCGCACTCTCTACGGAGATTTTGGATCTTCAGATGCCTCAGCGGATGAACCCTCTGAAGAAGATTTTGAAAAGTCATTATGGGTCTCGACGAAGCAAAATGGAATATTACAAACATGGGCGCCCAGATGGACAATGTTCAGCCGGGGAAATGTCAAAGAGAAAGCAAGACTGTTGGACATGGGAAACAAGACACTCCAGGGCTCATGGGCGGCTGATCTCTATGCTGGAATCGGATACTTTGTCTTTTCATATGCTCGACTTGGCATGAGGGTCTTATGCTGGGAGATCAACCCATGGAGTGTCGAGGGTCTACGACGTGGTGCCAAAGCAAACCGATGGAGCGTTCGAATTGTCCAAGGCTCAGACTTGGCCCTACCAAATGAAGAGATCCTAAACGGAGGAGAGCATATTATTGTGTTCTTGGAGAGCAATGAGAAAGCTCTACAGAGGATACAGTCGCTACAGGGCAATGGCATTGCACAAGATGTACGGCACATCAACTGCGGTTTCTTACCCACAAGCGAACCAACTTGGAGAGACACATGGGATATTTCTTCTCCAGCCAGTGAGACATGGCTGCATCTTCACGAAAACGTTGGCGCAAACGACACAGAAGCAAGACGCCAGGAGATCCAGTGCAAATTCGACGACTGGAGCCAAGGAACAGATCGGGCAGCTAAGGCCGAGCATATCGAGCTTGTCAAGACATTCGCACCAGGCGTCTGGCACTGCGTCTTCGACGTTCATGTTTACAAGATCTAGCTATATCGCGTATCATGCCTATTATCCCAATAATATCGAATACATAGAATTTCAGTTTCATCCCTCATGATGTCATGCGCCCCTATCACACACACCCCGAGTCCCTGCCCCAGTCATGGTATTCTAGGTAAAGTAAAATACAGTTCGGTATCGCGTTCTATCGTCTATTGTCGTCGGAACTTTTGAGGAATGTTGGCCTCGACGATGGAGAGCTTCTGCATTGCTTCGAGGCGTTCCTGGGCGTCCTCCATCTCGTCATGTTTCTTAAAATGCTCAATGTCTTCGGGATGTGTCAGGTCCTCGAGCTTGGTGTTGTCGTCGTGGTACTTCTCCCAATGATGAATTTCATACTCGTACTCATCGTCGCCGTGGTGGCCAGGGCCAGTGTTTAGGTCGGGGAGTGTCTTTCCAGACTTGATAAAGTCCATCCACTCCTGGCGACTGACAGAGGAGTCGCCGTCCTTATCGAGAAGACCCAGCAGAACATCGCGAACCTCGTCCTTCTTCTTCTCGGTCATGCCCTTGTTTGATTCGTCGAAGAGACCGTACGTTCGCATCAACTCAGCAGCTTGCCACCAGCCGTCGCTGTTGTAATCGTGGAGGGTGAAGAAGGAGTCGGCGTCCCAGCCTTGAACATGATGCTCCTCTGGAAGAAACATGTAAGTATAGTCACAGCGCATTTTGAAGAGAACAACATAGTAACATACCCGCCATATGTTTGGTCATCCAGTCGGCATTGGCATCAACAACTGGCTTCTGCGAGTGAGCGCCGCCATGAGCAAAGACAGTGGTCGCAAAAGCGACACTGAGCAAGACACCGGTGCGCATTGTGTTGTAGACCTGGCGCGAGAATCACAGAAGAGGAGCAAAAAATATAGACTTGCGCGATGCGGGTATTACAAGGCAATTGACGTTGGGAGAAGTCGACTTTAAAGGAGTGAAGTTCCAATCTGAAAGGACCTAGCAACGACTCAAGCGAACGTGGTCCCTATTGATCTGGATTTGGAGGTGGGCTGCCAGGGGTTCCCAAGCCGCTGAGCCACTAAAAGCTTAACTCCAGGTACAGCGGTATGGCTCTTGGACAGCCTCAACGCTGAGTATCAAGAACTTGGGCTGGATCGTTCTTTGAACTTTGGAGGTATGTAAATTAACTTTGATATTTTCTATGGCTGATCTAGAACAGGAACAACCTTTCTGTAAGATCAATGCCATACCTGAACTTTAGGTTGGACTTCATTGAACTTCTCTAAATTGATCCCTACAAACTCATCTCCATTCCTTGTTGTACCGAGAGATCTACAAACATCATCTGGTGGGGGGATTCTAATTAAGCACAGTCCATATCCCGTGATTTGGCGTCAGAAATAAACCTCTGTCCAACGCGTCTCCATACCAACCGCGCTCTCCATCTAAATATTGACTCCTTGTTCAAGCTGCATCAAACCTCGCGGCCACAAGAATTCCAACTCATCAACATGAGTCGTCAAATTGAGCAAGCGTTGCTCTCATTAATGCCAACTTATGGCTCTGACTTACCTCCAGCTCTCGTTGAACTTGCAGGTTCTTTGCTTGCCCAGTCTCGGCACCAAGCAAGTACCCTAAAGGCAGATGAAGAGATTGCTAGAACATACGCTTGCGCAAACATTGCGTGTGATCGGTATGAAGTATGAGATTAATTCGGGATACAAAGCTTACGATACCAGTCTCAAAATCACCCTTGATCTTCCACCTATCGAACCAAGACCACCAATTCCTCCCCGTATCTACAAGCGTCTCTACACTCATCTTGATAACATTCTGCGCGGCAACTCAACTCCCACAAGAGCTACTCCAGGACGAACAAGAACGCCAGGTTCAAGGTTCCGTGATGCCGATAACTCACCTGCCTCTGGCTCACGACCACTGCCATCAAGAGCTACACCAACAAAAGAACAAAGTCTAGCACAGTTCAGAACACCAACAAAGGGGGCAACTGGTACACCGACAAAATCTGCACGCAAGAAGGAAGCTTTTGCCGGAGTTAATCTTCATGCATGGATTCAACCTACCACAAGATGGGTATGTGCAGAAACTGACCACAAGAAACTGGCTCCTACGATTTTGGCTGGTATGGAGACCATCATAACACCTGCAGGTCGACGAACGGATGACGAGTGGGTTCTACAGAATCTCACGGCTTTGTTTGCCGCTATCTACTTTTTCGTGACTATGCGGGTCAAAGCTCTTGCTTCTGGAGAAGGTATTGACAGGGAAGGGTATGTCCCTCTTCGAAAAGAGATTCTTGCTCTACTCACCAGAGCACGAAACGAAGTTATAGTTAAGGATCTGGCGGAGGAGGATGCTTGGGAAGGTTGGTCGACCGTCAAGTCCAAGGATTTCGACGATGCGGTTGCTCAAGTCAACGAACGAGCATGGCTCACGGGTGACTGGTATCAAGGAATCGCAGATGTCGTCAAGCTGACTCAAAGAAGCCATCTCGAGGACGTCGAGATGCTGGATGAGGAGACAATCCCAAAAATGCAAATAAAAAAGGCGGACACCATGTTTCAAGACAAGTACGACTTTCTCAGCGATGCGAAACGGACAAAGTACATGCACTGGAAGGAAGATATGTTCGCCAAAATTGCTCTATCGACAACTCAAGGTGCTGCCATGGAGGTAGATACATAGTGAAGTGCTAAGCCCTGCTTCTCACCCGAGAATTATAGGAATACGAACTATCCTCTTCATTTCCTAAACATAGAAGATCCATCAAATCATTGTCTATTCAACATGAATCCGTTTACTTGGAGGATCGAGCTCGCTTCTGAAAGCCTCCGTCCTGGCCGTTGCCACCACCGAAGCCCTGGCCGGGGCCAGCAACGAAAGTAGGGATAGCACCGCCAGGCTGGGTTCCGCTGCCGCTACCGGCTCCCGGGGTCTGGACGGGAGCTTCAGGGACATCGGGAGTGTTGTTGTTACCGCCACCAAGGCCAGCACCGGGAGCAGGGGTAGCGACGGGACCGTTACCACCATCGAAACCGTTGCCGGGTCCAGCGACGAAGGTGGGAATGACACCGCCGGGCTGAGTCTGATCACCACCGGGAAGGCTTCCACCAGGCTGGTTACCGCCAGGGAGGCTGCCGTTTCCGCTGCCGGGTGTCTGGACGGGAGTGTCAGGGCTGCCAGAGTTGCCGCCCTCACCGAAACCATTGCCGGGTCCAGCGACAAAAGTAGGGATGGTACCACTGGGTTGGCTTCCACCTAGACCACCTCCAGGCTGGTTTCCGCTGCCAGGAGTCTGAATAGGAGTGCTAGGGGTGCCAGGGCTGTTACCCTCACCGAAACCGTTTCCTGGTCCAGCAACGAAAGTAGGGATGACACCGCTGGGAGCAGTGCCAGGACCCTCAAGTCCACTGCCTGGGGAGGGGACAAGAGTGGGAGCGACAGGAGCCTCAGTAGCATCGTTGTTTCCTCCATTTCCACCGTTTCCACCATTGCCACCCTCGCCGAAACCGTTGCCAGGTCCAGCAACGAAAGTAGGGATGGCACCGCCGGGCTGGCTTCCACCGAGGCCGCCACCGTTTCCTCCATCAGAGTTACCACTGCCTCCAGGGGTCTGAGGGGAGTCTTGGTTGCGAGATCGACCACGGCCTCGGAAGCCACTGGATGCACCTTGCACACCACCTCCGGTGCCCGGGGTTTGAATAGGAGCGGGGGCGGAAGCATCATCGCCGGTGTCGCCATCATTCCCTCCAGACAGGCCGCCACTTGGAGCTGCGGCGGGGGGATCATTGTTGTTGCCGCCACCGCCGAAGAAGCCACCTCCATTACCTCCGTTACCTCCTCCAAAGAATGGGAGGTTTCCAAGGCCGGGAATGCCACCACCACGGCCGCCACCAAAGAAGCCACCGCCAGTGCCTGGAGTGGTAGCAGGAGCATCGTTACCACTGCCGCTGCCGGGCAAGTTGAAGCCACTGCCAGGGGTTGGGATGGCACCTCCATTACCGCCTCCTAGGTTTGGAAGACCAGAAGGAATGAGACCAGAACCACCACTAGGAAGGGTAGTAGGGAGAGCACCGCCGAGACCAGCACCGGGTGTTTGGGCATCGCCTCCGTTGCCAAACTGAGGGCGAGGACGGGCCATGGCCGGAGAAGAAAGGGCCAAGGCCAAGGTGACAAGGTTAAGGACAGCCATTTTGATCTTGAAAGAGGAATATAATGTACTTGAAGGAAATAAAAAAGAGGGAAAAGATCGTGAAAAAAAGACTGACCACAGATGCCTGCAACTGAAAGTCTAGTGATGAAAGAAAAGAGCGAGTGAAAGTGGCGATGGAGAGAACCAGAAGTTGAACAGAAACATCAGAGAAACGGGCATTTATATACAATGTGCCTCGAAACAAAAACATGGGATGGACGTCAACGTCTGTCAACTACTCCTATTACCGAACGTAACCCAGAACTCGCGTAGACGCCCCATATTGACGCCAGCGAACCCCAGCTCCGATGGCAAGCTGATGGTTTCAAGATCCAGAGGCTCTGACAAACACAAGCAGGGAATTGATTAACCACGATTGGATCCCCTGGCGATCTCTGCAAGGGACAAGGGGTAAACCTTTGACTGCATTAGTGGAAAGATCTGGTGGATTGAGTTTATTAGTTTGCAGGAAAAAAGGCCGATGGATAAGGCTAACAAGCTCAAGTTTCGTGTTTAGAGACCTTGTCGATATTCGATATATCGGGGACAATGTGGGCGTCTAAGTCTTGGCCCTATTGGCAATCGATTTTGAAGATGACGCGGCTCACGTTTATCAATCACGTTTTTGGTGAATGTTTCCTTGCTATTCCATGGAATGAAACTCCGTTGCTCAAGGGTTTCTCCGTCGCTGGGTGTTTCAGGACCTTTTAAGGGGGTATTTTGAGTCAGGATCGGGTTTCGACTAGAGTCGTACTCCGAAACTTGGGTCTCCATATTTTTAGTCGACGGACATGTTTAAGTCAAACGAAACTACATATAGATCATACCATCCCTTGAGTTAATGGGGAATTTAGAGATGGGCGTTGGTGGATTATTGCGTTTTGGTGATGGTGTGACGGAGAATTCCAGAAGTTTAAATTCTCCTGATGGTGTCATTTGGTGATCTTTGTTTGAATCAAGGATATAATTATCGGCAGTAATAACGGCATGTGATTAAGGGCAATGATCAGCTTGTGCCTTGAGAACAGTTGGCTCGTTGTTGATGGATCTGTGGTTCATACAGTGTTGTTGTAAACAGTAAGCATACCAAATTGATGACCTCGAGGTAGCACATGGAGAGAAAAAAGGCATTTGAAAGTGGCTATTATAGCGACAAAAGAAACGAAGAAAACATGTGGTGATCTTCGAAAAAGGCAGAAATAGAAACAATATTTGCCTCGTGTTGCCAAGCAAACATCACATCTCGCTCTGTCATGATACGATTGATAAACAGTTCAGTTTCATCGGAACCCTCGTCACATCCGAGTAGCTGGATTCGCGAAGGGTTACCATCTCGACAAGAGTTTCAATAGAAACACGTCGCCGTTTAGCGGTTCAACTTGATGGGTTTGATGGGTACAGGGAGTGCGTCTTATGCCTAGGCATGGGCTTAATACAGGAAATATCGAATTCACACATAAACACTCCAAGAAAAGGAAGATTGATGCTGGGATCAAGAACTCGTAAATGATATGTGTATTCGGAAACACTGTTAGATGCTGATATGCGAGCGCTTACTCATGAGGATCAGTGTCGTGGATAATATCCCAAAGTGTGTTTTATCTCCGCTTCCTGGACGGTATAGCAGAGATGAACTATACTCCCCCTTGACAGACAATCAGCCCAGTTTTCCAGGAACAAAGGGGTGGCCAGCACTCAGCCCTCCATCAACGGCCCATGCCTGTCCGTTAACATAACTGCTCTCATCACTTCCCAAGAAGAGCGCAACACGAGCGATTTCATCAGCATGACCGCCTCTCTTCATAGGATTCAACTGTCCAATCTTCTTCTCACTTCCACGAGCCCTCGCAGCTTCATACACAGGCGCTGTCATGCCAGTCTCAATGAGACCTGGGCAGATGGCGTTCATTCGTACACCTGTTCCTGCGAGCTGATATGATATCGTCTGGGCGAGAGATACCACGGCTGCTTTGGAGGCTGAGTACGGTGTGGAACCTGCGTTGGAGCGAATTCCTGCGACAGACGCTGTACCGATGATACTGCCGCTGGCTTGAGGCTTATCGGCAGAAGTTTGCATCATTGCTGGTGCCGCGTATTTGGCAGCTAGAAAGACACTGCAATATGCAATTTAGATGATACTGATCCAGTATGTAATGTGGGGAGGTTCGCATACCTTGACGTGTTGGTGTTGAGTATCGACATAAACTCATCTTTGCTAAAGTCAGAGAACAACGTGGTTCGGCCGACGACTCCAGCATTAGCAAAGAAGACATCCAAGCGACCGTAGCGTTGGATAGCGTCATCGACTACCTCCTTGACCTTGTCCTCATCCGCTGCATCGAAACGCCTCGTGTGAATTTCCACCTTGGGATACGCAGCGTTGATCTCCTTCTTATGAGACTCAAGGTGCGTATCGTCAAAGTCGCAGAGATACAATGCTCGTGCACCGCTTTCAGCGTATTGATGCGCTGTAGCACGACCAATTCCCAGCGGTGAGTTTGTACCTATATCGAGTCAATGTTGTGCTTGGAAGAGGCCTCGTGTTTACGTACCTGTTATGATGACGACTTTGCCTTCGGCGCGAAGCTTACTTGATCCCGGAGCTACCTTGTTGATCGGTGGAAGAAGCTGTTTGCCAATGGCATTGATACGACTCTGAGCCTTGTCAGACATGACGTGAGTGTGTCTACTTGCAACTGTGGTATTATGTCAAGTAGATTGAAAATACAAAAAGGCGGGTTTTGATGCTATTAATGTCTTTATCATGAAGCCGAGGCTTGGAGTTCATCTGGGGTATGCCCCTGTTGGGTAAGAAGCTTCCCCGGCTAAAGTGGAGTCATGAGGGGAGTCCACCCCGGAGCCGAGGCTCGGGGAATCTATTCAAGACTTCCGGACTTTCTTCCGTCAAGTCACGTGAACCATATATTCGTATTCAATCGGTCATTGCTGATATTGCTTATTGAAACCATACTTCGCTAGCCGATAGTTACACAGACCCTACTCAACTTCAACAACATCATAAATAGGAATCATCTCCAAAAGTGTTGCCTCCAACATCTCCTTCTGCTCCTGAAGAAACTCCCTCACGGCATCTGGATTGAACTTGATACCCGCAGCTTGCTGCTCGCGAAGCTTCTTGGCGTGTTCCCGGAACCGTATCTCAAGAACATCTGCTCGGTAGGTACAGTAGTCATATACAAGTTCTGACTGATTACTTATGGGTCGAGAACCCGTGAGGACCATCTCGTCCTTGACAAAGGGAGACTTGGGACGGAATGCTGTGATGAAGGAGATTCGTTCTTTACCGATGGCTTTAAGTGCGGCGTGTTGGACATAGCGGCCTTGAAGAATCACTGCAGTACCCTAGAATATTATTAGTTTATATGTCTATGTTAAGTGACTTGTGCAACTTACCATGGTTGGACCGCGGACTTTGAGGACCTCACCATCACCTTTGAGGACTGCAGTCTCACCGCCCCTCATATCCGAGCAGTCTGAGAGCATTGTAACACAGACAAACGGAAAACTGTCGTAGTGCCAAGAGAAGCCTACGTTGTCGCTAGCGCCCTTCTTCTCATCTTCGCCATCGCTGAAGAGGAGGTTGCAATGGCCGATCTCATACTCAAATGCGTGAACTAGATCTATACCAGCCACTTTTGAAACCGCTTGCTGAACTTCGGGACTCTTCCAAAGAGCGTGAGCAAAGGGTGCTTGTCTATAACATGTCAGTCGAACGGCCTATCATTGTGTGTGAGGTGATGTACTTTTGAGTATATCCTCGAATCTGGTTCTTCGTAAAAGTTGAAGCATACTGGCACGTCCCAAGAACATCCTCACTGAGAAGTTCACGACGAACTTGCTTGACAGCAGCTTCAGTGAATAGAGGGAAAGGGTCGGAGGCAGCGATGGGAGAAACGCCTTGGTTTTCGTATCCCCATTCCTTCATAGTGTAAGTCCGCTTGGGGAACTCGAAGTTGACGTGCTTCTTGGCGTTGAACTCTTCAATGGGTGTGGCTTGAGCTGTGTCGACGACATCTTGCGGGATCTTGTTGGTAGGTCGGAAGGGAGCTTTGTTAGTTGGGCCGATAACGAAGGGTGCTGGCTTGCGGACTGGGAGGGAGGTCGGTGTATTGTAGATTACTGAAGGCATCTTGACTAAGATGTATAGGGATTCGATACTCGACTCCTGTACGGACAAAGTCCCTTGATATGAGTGTATGTATCAGTTCTGAACTGTAGAGCTCAAGATAAGAAGGGCGAGGCACAGAGGAACTCCGGTGTTTTATATCTAAGATGCTCCTGCCCAACCTCCGGTAGACTACAGTAGATTGTCCAATGAAAAGGGTGATTTGCTATCACAGATGCCTCGTTGAGTGGAAGGGTGTATGTCGAGCTATCATTCTTCGGTCAAAGGATCATGAATTTCATTAGTCCATGCCAAATACCGATGCAAGAAGGGAGAAGAAGCATATCCATAGTCAAAACAATTGCCTAAAATAGACTGATGGCTCGGATCTCGAGCTTCTAGCGTTTCTACCACGTCTGGAGTTAATGCTTCCATTGCATCGTCTTGTCGAGTTTGGTGATAGTTCGGTTCAGCTGGTGTGTAGGTCGGATATAGTTCCCGCAGCAAGGGAACCTGGTCTCCGTTTGAAGCTAGATAAAGATACAAGTTATATGTAACATGAATTTAAGAGGTACAAGACGTGGATTTGATACACACTACATGCAAAAACCGAAGAGGTGCTATTTACCATACTATCTACCAAGTATCGAAGGAAACAGCACTGAAAGAGAAGGTGACGACCACAATATAAGAAGCAAAAACATCGACAACGTATGGATTTTCCTCAAGAATAGACTCTGTAGCTATTGTCCAGATGATCGCTTCCAGGTCATGCACACACCATTCATAAACACTCGGTCACTATTGTGCAGTTACAACAACAGCCTGGTCTAATCTTGGGAAACTAGATGAAACCCAAAATGACAAGGGGTAGTAGCTCAGTTTTTGCATACCAGACGTTGATACCACACCCCCCGAGCATTATCAGTATGAGATTCATGCTAAAATTCTGTACTCTCGTGTTTCTTGACAACACTCAACTGCATACACTTACAGAATGGGGATTATATATCTATATAGCTCTTAAGTCATGTAACTTCCTCATCATGTCTCTTGACTTGTATGAGAAGTGTCTAGGAGGGTTGGAAGTGTAGATGATATGAATTCTGGTATCTATGCCCATTTCCTGTCTTATCATGATCGTGTGACACTCTATCTCGGTAGTAGTGTTCCATAGCCACGACTAGTTTCATTCTGTTCATCATTGCAAGTGTTCTTGTTCAAGCTGAGAGGTCTGCCCTCCATGACAAGGAAGCAAGCATCAATATACTTTCTGCAAACATCCGCACCCTGTACACGGTCTGTTCATAGAGAAAAACATGTCATGTAAGTCTTATAGAGACATAATCGATTATCCTAGAGTCTTTTAGCTGGTAACCATCTTCCCTGATCATCTGATACCGGGCAAGTTTATTATCCCCAAGCACCCTCATGATGCTTCCACTTGTGCGTATCATGTCGATAGCTTCACATCCCGCTCTCCTTCACCTTGACTCTCATGCAAGACTTGCAAAGAGGTTTCCTTGGGAGGAATGGCGCACGGCTGAGGTAGCAACTCGATAGTCGAACCCGAGCTCTCTAGCCATCAGACGGCACTCAATGTGTCTAGGCTCGGCTTCTACCCCGATCGGCTCTGAACCCCGAAATGCTATCGTGGGCGCGACTTATACAAAGCCGAATTCCAGTCTTGGGGTAGAGAGGGGAAACAATGTTGGGGTTCTTCTCCAACATAACCTATCTCGGATGCTGTTCCCGACGACATGATAAGTTGACTCAGGGGGTTCAGAACGGCCATCAAGTACAAAAATACTATAATTGGAGAAACGCCTCTTTCCAACGGCATGTTTGTTTGCCACTTCTTCGTTAACATGATGAAGAGGTCGTCAAACCAAACGAAACCTAGTGGAATACTGGGTCTGGCATTGAATATGGTAAAAGATGGCAAGTATGGTTATACCGAGTATCTCTCAATGAAATATAAATGTCGCCCTTGAGGTGATGAGATTGTAGTGACCATGTTATCTATCAGGGACTCCCATTCCCCTTACTTGTCAATAATGGTATTCTTTCCAAGAATGATTTAAATGATAATGCACAATGTTGGGATCGTCTCCTTCTTGTTCCCTTTACAGAGCGAGTTCCCGCCCCTGGACAGTACTCGGCCAGGAACCCGACAACTGCGGTATATAATCAAAATCTGGAAGCTGCCATGCTAATCACCGGGTAGTTTGGCTTCTTTGAGACTAGTTATACTGTCATAATCTTGTAGTGATAGAGTGTCTTGAGTATAGTGATTGTTGCTGCCACTATGGAGTTGAGGAGGAGGCACGGAAAAGATAACTCAACAACGAGGAAACACTTGGTATCATAGACCTTCAATGAGAATACTCATCTAAGATCTCAATATCATTTATTTCAAAGATACTTTCCATGCTCAGTATAGAGTAAACTCCACTACATAAACACTGGAAAACAAGTTGTCAACCTCAACTTCCGTGGCACTATACTTATCCCGATACTTTAGTCTGGGGTAAATGTGGAGGATGCGGGGAGACTAAGTTTACCTGCATGGTCCTAATCATCTGTATGGTCATTGTAGATTGAAGTGTATTGCAAATTACCATCTTGGGACAGGTCAGGATGGAAAGATGGTCAGGACACCAAGACAACTTGGCGGCTACGCTAACCACGAATATGTGTTGCACTTCTAGAGACAAGAGATACTGATGGACTTATAAGTCTTCATATATCCAGAGTCAATGTCGAGTTTCAAGCTGGGTTTCTTATCACTCCTTCTTAATCTAACACTCTTCTCCTATTCTAATCTCTTTCATCTCACCTATTTTTCTTCTGCGAATATTCCCCTCGGAAGCAGGCTCCTTACTTACCATGGCTTCCCACGACGAAAAACAACATATAGAAACACCAAGTACCCAAGACCACAAGCTCAAACAAGCGCCCTCCAACGGCAGCATCATCCAAGGCACAATAACTCACACCTCCCAACTCCACCGCAAGCTAGGTAACCGTCAAATCCAGCTTATCGCCATAGGTGGCTCAATCGGAACAGCGGTCTTCGTCTCCATCGGCACTGGCCTCGCCCATGGTGGCCCAGGAAGTCTTTTCCTCGCCTACACATTATACGCTGTCATGGTAGGCCTTGTGAATAACTGCATGGCTGAGATGGCGGTGCAGCATCCGGTGTCTGGTGCTTTCATTAGAATGGCGGGACACTGGGTTGATGAAGCCTTTGGGTTTATGGTTGGGTGGAATTTCTTCTTGTATGAGGCTCTTTTAGTGCCGTTTGAGATATCGGCTCTAAATGTTGTGCTTAAGTTTTGGAGGGATGATATACCTGTCGCAGCTGTTGTTGCGGCTTGTATTGTGCTTTATGGGTGAGTTCGAACCTCATACTCCGTTCAATTCCTATTAACATGCATATCCTAGTGTCATCAACGTGGGTGCTGTGAAATGGTTTGGCGAAGCTGAATTCTGGCTCTCAATCGGAAAAGTCATCCTCTTCTTCATCGTCTTCTTCTTCACCTTCATCACGATGGTCGGCGGTAATCCTCAACACGATGCATACGGCTTCCGCTACTGGAGCAATCCAGGCTCTTTCGCAGAGTATTTAACAAACGGCGATCTTGGAAGATTTCAGGGGTTTCTCGGCTCCCTTTGGATCGCCGCTTTCACCTGTGTTGGCCCTGAGTATGTCTCTATGATCGCTGGAGAAGCCAAGTTACCGCGCGTTTATCTCAAGAATGCCTTCAAAACCACATACATCCGGTTCGGTATCTTCTTCATCTTGTCATCTCTCTGCGTGGGCATAATTCTTCCTTATAATGATCCTACCCTTGTTGGTGTCGTTAGCGGGGGTGACGGTGCTGGAACAGGAGCTGCTTCTCCATACGTTATCGCCATGGGGAATCTTGGAATACGAGTTCTTCCTCATGTCGTGAATGGGCTTCTCGTCTCAAGTATCTTCTCGGCTGGCAACGCCCTGACATACTACGGCACCCGGTCTCTTTACGGTCTGGCTCTTGAGGGACAAGCCCCAAAATTCCTACTCAAATGCACATCCTTCGGTCTCCCCGTTTACTGTCTAGGAATCGTCATGCTGTTCCCGTTTCTAGCTTTTTTGGCCGTCTCAAACGACTCCGTTGTTGTCCTCACCTGGCTCACCAACATCATCACCGCCGCTCAGATCATCGACCATATCGTGATCTCAATTACGTACATTTACTTCTACCGAGCTTGTAAAACACAGGGTATCGACCGAAAGACACTCCCTTACTGTGGCTGGTTCCAGCCCTACAGCGCTTATATCTCAGCCGCGTTCCTCACATGTGTTGTCTGCTGCTATGGATACAGCGTATTCCTGCCTGGCAGCTTCACCATTAGTGGCTTCTTCACTTATTACACAATGGTTCTTGTTGCGCCCATCACCTTTTTCGGTTGGAAGTTTGCCAAGAAAACAAAATTCATCAAGGCATCCGAGGCTGATCTTGTCTGGGAGAGACCCTTGATCGATGCGTATGAAGCGACCTTTGAGGAGGTGCCTGTGGGCTTCTGGACGGAAATCATCCAGATGTTTGGCCTTAAGAGGAACAAGCAGAGTGGCACAGCATGAACGGACATATGGAATCACATTGAATCATAACTTTGTAATCATTGCTTCATCTATAGGCTGAACTTTTAAAAGAAAACAGGAAAGGAGAACTACATCAAGTGCTACCTCTCAGCGGCAGTCTCAGTCTCCTTTCCCTCGCCCCCCTTCTTATCCTCCTCCTGCTCTCCGTAGTTCTCCAACTTCATGTCCTTGAGACCAAGCTCCTCCTCTTCCTCATCTGTGCGGGTATAGTTCTCACGGTGAATCTTAGGGTCAGGAGCAGGGGGGTCTACGAGAGGCTGAACGTAACTGCTCGCGAAGGGGTCGGTAAGAATAATTGTGAAGGGCTTCTCGCCTCGGATGCCGGCATCAAGGCCATCAAAGAAGGCGGTCCACTGAGACTTCTCCTCACTGGCAAGGGAGTCACCACCCTGGCCCGAACCATCGGCCTCGAAGATCTGAGAGTGAAGGTCACCACGGACCTGGGTCAGGAGACCTTCAACAGTAGTGAAGCGACCACCCAGGGTACCGGGGTTGACCTGGAGCTTAAGTTCGGGGCACTCAAGACTACAAGTCTCACTCTTGAGAATATCGCGTGCCAGGTCGGCGCTGTCATTGACTTCGAGGGTGATCTTCTCGCCCTTCTCAGGAATCTCACCACCAGTCTTGACATCGTTGGAGCGGTAGCCGCAGTCGTCACACACAGTGGACATGAGAACAACTTGCTTGAAGTGTGGAATGTCGACCATCTTCATATGTGTGGTGCAAGGGTGCATGCAGCCAGGGCATGTTGCGGGAAAGCTGTAAACCTCGTTGGGGATGATTTCGCCATCAGCAGTCAAGCCAGGGTTTTGTGCTTGCTCAGCGTTGGCGTCGGAGTCGGAGAGACCAAGGGCGGCATTCTGTTCAGCAGTTCGGGCATACTCATGCTTCTCCCACTTTCCAACACCATCCTTGAGATCAGGGGCAATGAAGGAGTTTCCGGCAGGGTCATCGACCCAGACACGGAAGGGAAAGGCATCGCCCATCAACATGGCGCGACCCTTGGCGATAATCTCAGCAACCTTAACATACACCTCAGGAGCCTGCTCCTTTCGCGCCTCTTGTCCCATCTCAAGATCCTCAATGACAGTGGTCAGGAGACCCTCGACATTTGTAAGCTGGCCGCGGCCAGCAGGAATCTCGAGATCCAGCTCGATGAACTTGACGGTGGCGGTATCTGACTTGACGACCTGTCGCGAAAAGTCGGCGAGGTTTGTCAAGCGCAGCTCGTAGTGTGTTCCCTTGGGCTGGACGGTTCCGGCAGCCTGGATCTCGTTGTTCTGGGTGTGGCAGTGCTCGCAGGAGAAGGACATGATAACGACTTCGCGGAAGTAGGGGATCGCGGTGAGAAGAAGTCTGGTGACGCCCTATACATTTTTGTTAGCTGTTTCTCTATGCGACTTGCTCTAAGATGATTTGACTCACATTCTTGCCGCAGTTCATGCACAGAGACTCAATCTCTTCGACAGCGCGCTCGTCGTCGTCGGCATTTTGGGCATCAACAGCAGCAGGCGCAAGTTTGTTAACCTTGTCACCGATGCTCTGGAAGAACTCCTCGGGAGTTTGCTTGGTTGTATCTTCGGCAGCCATTTTTATTTTTTTGTCTGCTGGGATCGAATCTTGAAAATCCAATCGTCTTTTGGTGGTTGAATCCATGGAGGGGTCATGAAATTTTTGGAGGGGCAAGCCCAGTTATGTCATGGGGTCCAGGGTGCAGACTTTGGAGGCAGACGCTAGAACGTTCGGGACGCACCTGCGGCAATGACTCAGGATGGCGGGCCTAGATTCATCCGATTGACCTGTACTGTAGGTACTCTATCCATGGGATAGAAGTCATGATAGCAAGGCATACACTGGTATTTCTCATTTCATAAAGCGAGAAAGACTGAGTGGATTCGTCGTTTGCTGCTTTTGTCCTGAAAGCAAGGCTTGTAAACCAGCCTTTCGATTTTTGGCTCTTTTCTTGCTGCTGGCATTCGAAGTTTGCTTGGGCTGCTCGACAGGTGCAGAAACTTTCTTGACTTTCGACTGTGCTGTCTTTCGCCTCACAACTGGCCCTGGAGGGGGCATAACAATTTTGGCATCTCGTTGGCAGTTGTCGCAGTGCAAAATCTTGCAGGGTCCCTGAGGATCTTGTGTTGGTTTAGGGGTCGAGTTGCCGCTTGACCTTTTGCTCTTGGTCTTCTTTTGAAGACTTTTTCGAGCGTCTAACTTCAATGTCGCTTCTTGACCTAGTATCATGATAATTCCACAGCCTCCACATACGTGTTGCCGCTGAACGTCTGAAAGTATTACGCCATATTGCTGAAGAAGATGGCCGCGTTGGCTCATCAGATGAGCAGAAGTCTCTGGGGCCGTGGCCCGCAGGAGATGTGCTGCATCCGTGAGGAAATCGATAGTTCCTGGAAGTTCTGAGACCGCCATTTTGAAAAGCCGGTGCTTAAAATCTTTTGATTTGTTGAAGTTGATTTGAGATCGAAGCTCGAGTTGCTTGAAGGAACCTTTGCGGACAGACATGGTGAAAAGCGGGTCTGATAAGATACATTTTGATGATATGATTGGCCAATTCGTTGCCCATCAGGCAAGGGATAGGTAAACAGTAACTTATATCTTTCACATTCAGAACTGACGTATAGTTATGACTATATTGTAGGGGAAATTTCATTCCTCAAACTTACTCGAGTTCATCTCATTTATATGGCTTTTCTATCCTGTTCAAATAATACAACCTCTCTGCCCGCACGCTCCAAAACACCAGACAGCTCAACCCAACGTCAACACGAACTCCAAGTCACCTCAAGAGCGGCGAATTTCCCACTTGACTTCATTGATGCTGACTTCCTCGTTGGACTTCTCGTCATATTCGAACCACTCGCCCTCCTCCAAGTCAATACCAGTAAACTTGGTACCTGTCTCAGCGCCCTCGGCCAGCCATTCACCCTGACAGTTTGTTAATTTTCTCTCCATCCAATGACTTATTCACATACCTCAGCCTTGAATTCGGTGAACTCCAGACCTCTGCAGTCAAACTCGAGGATCTTTTGAGGCTTGGCTGGCTCAGTTTGTTCATAAGGGAACGGTCCAGCCTTGACAGAGGCTGATGACTCTCGCTTTACACAATATTAGTAGGATGAAAACAACTTGGTATTAAATAAGTCACCTTGCAGTTCTTGCACTTCCATACAAAGTTGGCCTCTCCTCGACTTCCACTCATCTCATTGGTCTCCTTCATAAGGTATCAGTATATCTTTTCAATCTGGCGAACCAGTACGTACAAATCGGTTGACTCCAACATGGTTGGCATGAGTCTCTCGACAAGAAGTACACTGAACCTTGAACATGTACCAAAAAGGGTTGTCTTGAGTATCGTCAGGGCGCAAGTTTGTGACCCTGTCATATTGAGATTGCCCCTCACGTCAGTGAAGCTCACTTGAGTTGGTGAAAACTTGTTAGTACATACCCTTGCAAGTCAGCTGTTAGGTACAGAGCAAACATATTGTAATGTGTGAAAAGCAATCGAGATGGCAAGTCTCGGAGTTGGGCTATAGTATTCTTAGACGTTGTAAGCTTTAGAAGCAAAATACAGTCGTTTCAAGAGCTCCAGTATCGATGAGCTTCTAGTGGGATGTGGTGGGGTGTGACGATAGCGCATTCCAGCTGCACCCGCGGTCAACTGGGCATAAGCCCCACGTGACTTCAATAATCGAATGATCTGTGACTGGCCAATTTCTTGATTGATGATGGCTCCATGAAACACCTCAATTGAACGATTGCCGACAGCAACGACCCTCAATCGCTCCAGAGCGATGTCCTGATCTTCAGACCGCCACTTAAAATGCAGGCTTTGTGGTCGAGGGCCGGCCAGGTCCATCGCTGCGGATGTCGCGCCTGCGAATCCGTCGTGAGCTCTCTCGGCCGGCGAGTGACAACCACGGCTCGACCACGAAAAGTCACCTTTGCCGACATCTTCACAGCATGCTACAGCTCCATGTTTGCGACTGCCGCCATTGTCGATGCCGTACGAAAGGAGGACCGAAGGCAGGAATTGGACCGGCAATTGGAGGAGACGAGGCGTGAATTGGCACAGCTTCAACTCCGAAATCTCGAAGCCAGCCAGACGACGAATGGCATTGACTCCGCCCAGAATGAAGTGACACTACTCCAGATGGATCAATTATGGGGAGCCATCAAGAGTTTATACACAAACCGACCGTATATGAAGGAGATTTACAAACCTGCTACCATCCGAATCGACGAGTTCCTGAACCGAGTACATACCGAGGAATACGAGCGCCCCGACCAAGCTACGATGGATACTCTTAGACGTACGGACTACGATCACCTTGAACAAGTCATTATGCGCGAGGAAACAGATGTTAGCATCCGTCAAAGAACCCCGTTAAATACCAAACAGCTCCATAACGCCGGACGCACGCTCAGCCATCTCATTCAACAATTACTCAAACGGGCCAATGCCCATGACAAATCCAATTTGCCAAGCCCCAGCTTCGACGAGGCCATGCAACTCGCAAACGACAGAACTTCTTTCAGATATCTTGTGGAAAATGACCCTGAGAGGGTGATAAAGAACCGGATCGACTTGAACTCTGATCTTCGCAAAGTCGTGGGGTCAACACTGAGCCTCAAGGAAAAGGTGGGCAGAGTGTGTTATAATCTGCTTGTATCTGCATATCCGGCCGATATGCACACGTACAATACGTTGATCGTTGCTTTTGATAAGCACGGTTACAAGTACCTATCAGAGCCAGTGGTGAACTCTTTCTACTACTACCGCCGACTTAGACCAACTCCATCAACGTTTGTCGCCATCTTGAATCACTACAAAAATTCAGGCAACCATGGTCGCTTCTTGCGCAGTCTTGCAAGTCTCGCTGGTCTCGATGGTGAGACAGGTGCCAAACTGAGACGAAGACTGGCGGATGAAACATCTGATGGAGCAGTTGACGAAAGGCGCAAGAGCTACAAGGTTCAGACATGGACGCAGACGGGTGACTATTTCTGGGAGCATGCGCCACTGGACAAGCCTCTCATTGAGGCTGCTATCCAAGGTCTTTTACACATGAAGCTGTTTGATCAGGCTGCTGAGTTTTTCGTGTCGTGCATGAAGACCAAGGTTGTGCTCAGCACGCATGTGATCAGGCAGTTGTTTGATGAGTGTATTTTGGCTCTTGACTGGAGATCTGCTGTGCGCCTCATCCAAGGATTCACTGACTGTTCAATTACATGGCCTTCAATGCTACTTGGGAGGGATCAAGACACATGTTACCTCATCGGTCGGGTGCGTGTTCTTCTCGACCTCGCTGGTCTTGGAGATGCAAGCGGTGAAGTGCCCACATCGACTCTCGACAATTTGTCTATATCACGTTACGATTTCTACAAGTTCCTGAGCGATCTGGCAAGCGCAGACTCGACATCTCAAATCGATATGCAAGAGTCAGGTGTACAGACTCGGAATTCGGCTTTAGACCCTGTCAGCGCTTCAAAAAGAAGACTACTCCAGATCGAAGCGCTTTGGAAGGAACAAGACTTGGTTGGAAAGACGGCACGCTCCATCGAGAGCAAACTACTCTATCCCGAATTTTCACCTGAGTTCCGTATGTCAATGGCCTTCCACATTGGAAACGCCGCGGCGGATCAAACAGTGGAGTTGAACAGGGAGATTATGGACGTTATGTCACAGCTTCCTCTTTCAGAACGAGTGGAGAGAGGTATTACGGAATGCAAGTCCTTTCAACATTCGAATAATAGCCGCGCTGAGAGCGGTAATGTCGTTGAGGAGGTGCGAGAATTAAGGCGAGATACATCAGAGGAGCAAGGTAAGGAAGAAGTCGGGACTCTTTTACGAGATGAGGAGCTGGATATAATCTCGGCTCAAAAGGCGATAACGGTTAAGCGGATGAATGCAAATGCAGCAGAGCTTACATTGAGAGCGAGGCCAATGCGGCTAACGGCATGGCCTGTGACAGACCAGCAAGTGGGATATTTGCAGAGGGCGAGTTTTGGTTAGGAATTGGAAAGCGATGAGCCGCATGTAACATACTTTTGATTATCTCACTGACATGCATTCCTTTTGTGTATTGTATATGGCACTTACATATTAGAACCTGCATCAGCATAGAACATGAATTATAAACGTACCATGACTTTATCAGCATGACATACTCTTAGGTAGAGAAGCTTATCATTTCCAGTGGTTAAGCATCTTGTCGCCTTATCTTAAGCTTGCCTCAGGGAGCAAGAAAACTTCTGACCTTGACCTAGGGTACTAAAATTAACTGATCTAAAACCCTACAAAGTCTATACTAAATTTACCTAAATGCTTTATCACTTAGAACAGAGATCCCAAGTTTTCTTGTCTCCCTTGACTTGGTATTGTAACTGTGACCTCGGCCGCGCCCGAGTTGACAATGCGCGAGGATGCAGCCAAAAGCGCCGCCACTAAGCGTTTCCGTTCGTCATCTTGGGTTAACCCCTGGTCATGAGTTGACAATTGGTGTTTGTAGCACAGTATCTAACACTCATTGAGAAAAGAGCCCAGCCATGAATGGCGGTCTGCAACCTTAACTGCAATCTATAGTAAGTTTCGTCGTCAGCTGACACTGTACTCATCAAAACTCCAGCCGCATTGTCCGTCCCTGGAACTTGACAGGTTCCAAGGGGTCACGATGCGACCTCTTCAGTGGGTGCGCACTGAATCGTGCCGTCCAGTCACGAGGCCGTAGGGGGTCCACGGGGCCAATTGGATTGGCAGGCTCGACTCCATTTTCTTAGGGGTCCTTGTGCAGCCTGGTACAGCCCAGGTACAGCACCTCAAGTACGAGGCGGTACTTTGAGCTACCCCAATATGTCAGTGCGACAAACAGGTACCTTCTCCCCCACATTGGATGGATCACATCAAATCCATGGATCCATCATCTATCGGATCGACGAATGTTGTTTCAAGAATCAGTTTGGCCTTGTTCTTTTTTTCTTGTTTCTAGGCTTTTGTTCTTAAGATTCTGTTTGTGTGAGCGAGCGAGCGAACGAGCGAGTGAGAACTGGATCCAGTCAGTTCCAGTCAGTCTCCATTACATATCTCCAGTAGCTTCGTCATTCCCTCCTTTTTCTCTCTTTCTCTCTTTCTCTTCTACATCTTTGTCATACCCTCTTGGTGACTGGTGAGAAGTTCCCATGAGTTATACGTCACCTGCTCTGTCACCTCTTGGTCAATTCACTGGTTACTCTTGATTGTGCACCTCGCGCAACTTGCTTTGACGTCACTGGCCTGCGAGGATAAGCATTTGTGTTGCATTTGACCAGGAAAGAGAGAGAAAAACGTTTGTCAATTTGGTTGTTGACACGGTTTTCTGTGATTGCGCCCTGCGACCAGAAGCTTCCTGTGTTGGACAACTATAAATTGTCGAAACGCGGTGTGCTGTGAAGCAAGCTCTTCTACGCCAACACAACCTTTCTGCGCTACGGCCGCGTTACCTCCCGATCGATCTTTCTTATCTTCTTTGTTACTCCGATTAGAGATTTACACAGCATGAAATTCGGAAGGAAGTGAGTACTCATACAATATGTGCTTTCAACACAACCGACTCACTGCTCTCTTTAGCCTACCGCGCAACCAGGTCCCCGAGTGGGCGGGCTCGTATATCAACTACAAGGGTCTTAAGAAGCTTGTAAAAGCAGCAGCAGAGAAAGCAAGGAATGGAGAAAAGGTGGATCCTGCAGGTGGGCGGCTTTGACGACTCTTGGTGTCGCACACTGAGCCTCTCCCCTAACCCTCGATGCAGAATTCTTTTTCGCTCTTGATCGAAACCTCGAAGATGTCGACTTTTTCTACAACAAGAAATACGCAGAGTTTTGTCGCCGTCTGAACCTCCTCCAGAACCGATATGGACGAACCGCCGATGTAGTCGCTACCCTGGATCAGGATGAAGTGGAGGAAGTTATGGGAGCTCTGCTTGAGCTGAGAAGTCAGTTCCGAAATTTGCAATGGTTTGGTGAGATTAACCACAAGGGCTTCGTCAAGATCACAAAGAAGCTTGACAAGAAGGTTCCGGATCTTGTCACACAGGGTCCCTACATTGATACAAAGGTCAAAGTCAAGCCTTTCGCCAAACAAGCAAACACAACAAGACTTCTCGATGAGATTAACAAGTGGATGTCTGTGCTCTCTGAAGCCCAGACTTTCGATGACACAATGTCTGAGCATTCGACCCGTTCCCTGGGTCGTGCCTCAGCTAAGGGTATGCTGAGCCTGCCTCAAGCTCAGCTCGATGCCCTTGACCAGGCTGTACGCCACGACGATGTTCCTGCTCTCGAGGCTGGCCTCAAAACAAGCAATGTCATCGAAGAAGGCGCCCAGCCGCTTATGCTTGGTCTCTTGCAGCGATCTATTTCCTCGCGTTCGAAAACATGCCTCGCTTTTCTTCTAAGCAACCTCAAAAGTCTGGACGAACCAGATGATATCAACGCTCGTAACTGTATACATCGTCTGGTAATTCACATTGGCCGGACAAAATCGGTTCCCGAAGGAGAGCAGGACTCAAAATCTCGGCCCGTCCCTGCAGGCTCGCAATTCAGTAACAAGCACCTTGAACCTGGTCTGGCAACATCTAA